ACCCAACAAAATTAACTATTTTTTGTTCTTATTTTCCCAGCCTTCAAAATGCAGAATTATATAGCAGACCCATTTCCTAACGATTTTTTTTTTTCAAAAGCAAATAGCATGGTAAAGACCAAAATAATTCCTTTGTCAATATTATATTCATATATATTGTTATTTTTTGGATATTGAGATTTTCTCATGTTCCAAGCATCCATCAGCGACGTTCTCCTCGTATGTCCGGCTGCGGTTCGGGCAAAGTGGGATAGCGGATCCATGGATGATTTTCGGTGAGAAATCTGCGTGACTGCAAGGTTTTGACCTTCAAATTTATTTTGGTTTTTACCACTTTCCTATATATATATATGATTTACAATTCCTGGAATTCCAGGCGCCTACAAGTGTAATACAACAGTACAAAAGCCATTGGCAGAAGCTTTGGGCCTTGGTAGAGGAACCCCCCTGGGGTCTTGGAGGTGCATTCCGACCCGCCCAAGACGTCATGAGTTTCGCCAAATAATTGGGCGCTTTCCTGGCAAAAAACATGCTCCCTGTTATCATCCGTCACAAGTTGGAAGTCTGATCCTTCTATATATACATATAAAAGAAGATACTGTACATATACATGGAAGACAAATGTATTGGGAGACATCCGGAGAGCCGGAAAGAGCCGGACACCTCTTGGGAAACAATTGAGAATCCCAACAGTAAACTGTTTGGGGAACAATAATACTGTGAAATATGGTGAAACGCTTTGTCTATCGCCACCAACATTGTGTTGTCAACGATTTTGGGCTGGATGCATCTGGTAAAAAATGCTCCTGGTAGGCAAATTGAAACCGCACAAGACTTCTTGAAGTGGAACTCGGATTTGTTTCAAGCCCTCAAACCAGGAGATGTTCCATTTACTTTTTATGTACACTACAATTTTACACACACACACCTCTATATATATTTTTATATAGTTATATATTTAATGATATATATATATATATATATCATTGTATATATAACTTATATAGTATCCCCATTCATTTGTCTCCCATTTTGGCTTCCAATCTGGCTGGTGGTGTCCGGCTCTTTGGATGTCTCTCTTCACTTGTCTCCCTTCATTTGTCTCCCAGTATGCCTAGTGCTGCCCGGCTCTACGGGGGGTGCCTCTCTTTGGCTCCCTCTCTGGCTGGTGGTGTCCGGCTCTCTGGATGTCTTTTCTTTGCTTTCACTTCTCTCTCATCATTTGTCTCTTGCAATTCTCCCAATCTATCTGTCTCCCAACTATTTTGTCTCCAATCATATGTCTGCCTTAGTGGTCGTGTCCGGCTCTTTCGCCATCATTTTTCTCCCACGATCTGTCTGCTACTTGATCTGTCTCCAATTGTCTCCAATCATATGTCTGCCTTAGTGGCAGTGTCCTGTTCTAGTTTCATCATGTTTTCTTTTGTGTTTCGTGTTTGTCTCTGTTGTTCAAATCCCTTTGTGTCTTCTTGTTGTCTCAAGATAAATCATGTTGCACCAGTTTTTTTATGCGTTTTATCACTTGTCTCCCACTTGTCTCCCTCTTACTCTTATTGTCTCAGATACAAATGGCGTGGCAAAAAATCGAAACCGCGTGGCATGAGACTCATGCTTTTCTCAATTGATCAAACATTGCCGGCATCAGGAACCAGTATAACCACAAACATGCGAACAAACGCTGCAATGGATTTGGAATAACTGTTTGGGGTCTACGGGGGTGTAATTTGATTTGAAGCACCTTTAGTTTGCACAAACATCCCCAATCTATGGATTCCGTCCATTCGAGACGGAATCCTCAACTTGCATCAACTTGCATCATTTCACAGCCAGATCTTACCGAAGATTCAACTCCAAAATTCGTTGGATTTGTGATCACTCATCAAGAATCCAGAGGTTTACCAAATTCTATCACCTGTTTTATTTTCCCCTGGTCGAAGGAAGAAACCTGCAGTTGTTTTATCCCCATATGTGGGAATAGAAACAATGCTTTCCTGAGAATTTTCCCTTAGATCAATCCATTTTCTTAGTCTGCTTGAACTACCATATTCGGGATATGCCCTCTGGTCAACTAACATAGCTATGGAGACCCATCATTTTTAGCAGGCTTTTCTCAACTATAACTGGGCCATTTTGAATAGTTATGTTAAATTACGGGAGGGTATACTCCAATTATCCGTTCATCATCCATTGTTGTTGGTTGTTTTCCATTATTCACCGTTATAAACTATTATTAAGTATTATTAACCACTATGTTCAATTAACCACGACAAAGCCTAGGGTTTTCCCTAACCAACTCAGCCAAGGTACCGAGCAACTGCAGGAGGTACAGGAAGAGCTGTACAATGTCCATGTAGAGATCTGCGGTCCAAACAACAAACCAACAAGAATGGGCAATATGGTCTGTACATCTGTGTGCGTACGTATATATATATATGTAATGTGATGTAATGAAATGGAATGGAATGGAATGTAATCCAATGTAATCCAATTAACAATCAACAATTGTGATTTATTGGGATTTAACGGGGATATAATGGGATATCTGATCAGCAAACATCCCAAATATCCAATTATCTCAATATTTGGTTGGATATATTGAGATCTCCCATCCAACTAAGCAAATCAATTTTGATATATTCCCCAACTTGAAAGGAATGACATTGGGACATCAAATCAGGAGCTGGATCATCTGGATCTGGCTCTCACGGGTGAAACCACCAGCTGAGGAGCTGCAATGATATGATCATATATCTATATGAGGGTCTGCAATGATATGATCATATATATATATATATATATCATATTGATATAATTATGATCTCGAATGATAGTATATCCGCCGACCCCGGCCTTCGCCAAGGCCAGGGCGGCGCCTGGGACCACCGCAGATGTGGAACTTGTCCTGTCGGACCGCCCTCCAAAACCCTCCAAACCCTCCAAAACCCTCCAAACCCTCCGGGCGCTCTCCAAAACCGTCCAAACCCTCCAAACACCTTGTCCAGCAGGCACCCCAGGGCCAAGGCCACTTCCCCAACAGGCACCCCAGGGCCAAGGCCACAGCAATGGCTTTCTATGGGCTTTCAAAGCTGCCGTTTGCCCGCCTGCAAACACTCCAAACTGCGAAAACCTTCCAAACCCTCCAAAACCTTCCAAACCCTCCAAACACCGTCCCCAGCAGGCACCCCAGGGCCAAGGCCACTTCCCGAACAGGCACCCCAGGGCCAAGGCCACAGCAATGGCTTTCTAAAGTTTCATGCTCAGGCCTTCCCGTGGCAAACTTGAGGGGTACTGTAGAGCCTCCGAATTGAGCAATGTCGTCTGTTTGGAAAGAAATTCTGGATGAGTTTGATCTCTGGATGTCAGATGGATGTGCCTTCAAGAAATATGGCATTTTGGTTGCTGAGAATATTCTGCCTTTGAAAGATGGTTGGTTTTCTTGCTCGGTGATTGCCCCTGAGGGTATCAGCAGTTCTTGCATTGCCAGAGATTTCATGCGGTTTCATGATGACAGGCCTTCTCATGAGGCCACCATGATTTGGAATGTTGAATGGTCGCAGCCCTTGCCTGAAGTGAAGTACATGATTTGCGGTGTTGATGTCTGCCCGGATAACATCCTTGCAGATTTTGAGGTTCCGAAAAGTGCCATTCCATTGCCCTTGCTCCAAGCAAGTGTCATGCCAGTGAATGTGATTGAGCTTTTTTCAAGGGGTTTGGGAGGTTGGAAAACTGCATGTAACTTCCTGCATGAACATGAGAATGTTGCTTTCAAAGTGCTTGCCGTTGAAATTGATATCGAAGCAGCCTTCACGTATGCAGTGAGCCATTCAGTTCCTTTGATCAGTGGAAAAACGCACCTGGACCCAGCATTGGCACAGCAGCACTCACACCTTGTGGTGCATGCAGATGTAGCTGGAGATACTTGGTTGAGTCTTGGTAGTGCTTGGTGCCCAGACATTGTTGCGATTTCCTCACCATGCCCGCCTTGGAGTTCAGCAGGTTCATCCTCAGGTCTCTACTCAGAAGAAGGCCAATTGTTGATCCGATCGATTGCAATCTGCAAGTTGCTCCGTCCACGGGCAATAGCACTTGAGCAGGTAAGTGCTTTTGCGTCACATGAGCACTTTCACTACGTGGTGCAAACCTTGAGATGGGCTGGTTACCAATTATACCATGCTCAGGTCTTGGATGCATCCGACATTCTTCCCATTGCCAGGTCCAGATGGCTTGCCATTGCTTTGAGAGTGAATGATGATGGAGTGAGCCACATGCCTTTCCAGGGTTGGTACCCAGTTGAAGCTCAAGTGCCCAACACATGGGATGTCATTTTGCAAGAACAGTTTTTGCATGATGCACGTCTATACCCGAAGTCCGATGTCCTGTCCTTGTCTGCCAGACATGACCTTTTGCCTCCTGCGAAGCGCAGGGTAGTGTCCAAAGAACATGTGCTTGCTTCCAGATGCTATGACGGAACAATCAAGATCCCGACATTGATGGCATCATATGGGTCCCAACATTGTTTGTCCGACGCATGGCTCAGTGAGAAGGGATTGATGAATCATTTCTTCCGCCAAGTTGGAAAAAATCCAAGATACTGGCACCCAGTTGAATTGTGGCTGATGCATGGGGCTCATGGACAGCAGTTTTTCATGAAAGATTGGGTCAAGGCGTACAGGCATGTCGGTAATCAGATTTGCACTCCTCATGCCCTGTTGATTATCATGAACATTCTCAACTGCTTGGATAAAGTGCCACAAGGTTTTGATGCATCAGAGGTCATCCAGGACTTCATTTCCAGCAGGAACAAGGCATCCGAAATTGCTGTCACTGAAACACAGGCAGGTTTCCTTGCACACAACGCACACAAGATCCTTTCCGACGAACAGAAAAGACACATTGAGAACTTCCAGTCTGGTTTGTATGATGGAACGATCCCACACGACATGTTTTGGAATTTGAACGGATTCCAATCTTGCAATGCCATCATACTGGATGACACAGTGGATCTTGCCCTGACTGCACCCATGCCAATTTTTGAGAAGGTCACCATTTGCACCGCTGGATTGACATTCGAAGTTTTCATCCAAGATGGAATTCCCTGCGAAATGGCCTTGCAGCTTTGGGATCATGCCTTCCAAGACTTAGAGTGCTTCGAAAAACAAGATGCAGTTGCAAAAGTTTGGGTGCCCACTGACAATTGGCAAGAGTCACATGATGCCACTCCGAACTTGTGGGTCGTCATACATGAAAAATGCTTGTACGTTGCAAAGCCATCAGAAGAAACAGTGTCATGGTTTCTGGAAAAGGGAAACGGGATTTACGTTGACACACTTGGCAACCCCATGAATTTGCCAGATTTTGCTGGAGCTCTCACCACTGCAGGATTTAGCCTGAAGTCAATGCCCTTTGTGCCATGCAACATTGCACGCTTTGTGCTTGCCAATCAATTCTGCAGTATGCAAGTGATCAATGAACAGCACAAGTTCCAAGTCACTGCAATCATCCAGGGACCATGGGAACATCGTGTCATTGTGGCCGAATTCTGGGCGAACCTTTTCTCAAAGAATGCACTTGATGCCATTGGTGTGTCCCTCACATGCAATCACCAGAGCAACTGCACAGCATTGATTTGGACAGTCCAAGATGCCAGATGCCCATTGCCGGTGCAATCCCTTTTGATTGCCATGTTTTCCAAAGCTGGATACTGCCTTTTCTCCAAATTGCAGGACTTGACAGGGCGCCACATCAGAATCAAAGTCTTTGGTAACGTGATTTGGGAAGGTAAATTGCCGATCAAGTTTTCAGTTGCCACTTTGAAGCAATGTTTGCACGCCATCACATGTCTTGTGTCAGGTAACTTGCAGTACCGAATGATTCAAGGGGGTAAGCAACCTGCGCCAGAGTCCACGATTGAACAACTTGCCCAAGACAATCCTTCCAGCAGGCTGACATGTCACTTTGTTCTGCAGATGAATGGAGGGGGTTCCGAAAATGGAACAAAGGCAGGTCACAGGACTCAGATCAAAAATGCCATTGCAGGTGTTCTCTTGGAAGAAGGATATGACCTTGCATGGACCTCGAAGTCCGTAGACCAGATGATGACGAAAATTGGCACCAAAGAACTTTCCAAGTTTCTGCAAGTTGAGACCTCCAAGAAAGTTTTTGCAGCCATGGATTTCTTGCGTAGCTGTGACATAGACATTCCGAAGATCAACACGGCAAAATCTTCCCAAGTTGCAGCCAATGCCAAGAAGAAGAGATTCACTTCCATGCCAGATCCTGCCAATTACACAGTCTTGGATGGTGTTTTGGTGAATGAAAACGATTCCCCTTGTGCTCACATTCCCAAGTTTGGGGGTCATCAGCAGGGATATCATTTGTGCACGCCAGCAGTGGCTTTGCCATGGTTGCGTCAAGGAGACATCCTATCCAGGGACGAGTTGGCACTTTTGATTTTTGGGGATTTGCCAGTTACCACAAGATTGGCCCATGAACATGTCACTGTACCTTGCCAAGATGAAAAAGGCCGCCAGGTCTTAGTCGCCGGAGTGTTGGTTCAATGTGGTGACAAACAGGTCAAGATTGTACAAGGTGACGGTTACAAGGTGGACACCGATGGAACCATCCTTGCAGCAGTCACTTGGAGAAAAAGTGATTGGCCACAACAATGGACCGAGATCTGTGCAAACCCATACAAATTCCTGAAGAGCTTCCCTGGAGTGTCCGATCTTTCGGTTTCTGTTTGGGGTAAAGCCTATAGACAGGGCAAAGCACAGGCCACTGCCAACAATGCCAACTCCGTACAAGTGCACTGTCTTTTCAAGGAAGATAAGTTTGCCGCTTTCCTCAAATTATCCGGATTTAACATGCTCTGGTTATCTCCCAAGACAAAGGAGGGTAAGCCACATCCGGCATGGCGCATTCTTTGGCTTGATTCCAATTTGGACATGCAGGCTGCCACTGCATTGGCAGCAAAAATCCATGACAGTGCAGGGCTTGTGTGCCTATCTGAAAGGTATGCCATCCGAGTGCCAAAGAACAGTTATGCAGAGGCATGGGCAATCATATACCCATCAATCCCAGTGCCATTGGAAATGGATACGTCCAGAATTTTCAAACTTGAGAGTCTCCCTTTTGGAGTTACATCCACTATGCTTACAGCATGGGCAGAACACATCAGTTGGCCATTGAAGCCCTTGAGGGCAGTAGGTCCGAGAGCATGGCTGATAGGAACGGGACAGGATCCCCCATCCACGCAGCTTCATTTCAACAGCTCCCCGATTCTTGCCAGAGAATTGAACAGCAAGCCGCAGGCCTTCAATAATCCAATTGTGGCTGGCCCGCGACCTTCCAAGCCAAGTCATGCAGCTGCGAATCAGGACAACTACCAACTGATCGGGGACCCCTGGGCAAACTGGACAGGTCCCAGACCAACTGCACCAGCGGCGCCCATTGCAGCTTCTACTACGATTGGCCCAACAGAGCAGCAATTTGCCCAGCAAGCTGACCGGTTGAACAAACTGGAGACAGCCATGCAAGAAATGCAAACAGGTCAGAAGAAGCAAGAGATTGTGATGGAAAAGATCCAGAAGGAGCAGGTCAATCGAGATCAAGAGGTGCGTCAACAAATTGATGACAAATTTGCCGCCATGAAACATGAGATTGACAAGACGTTCCAGAACGCTCTGAACATGCAAGCATCTCAGTTCAATGCCAACATGGAGGAGATCAAAGGTCTTCTCAGGGAAAGGCCGAAAAGGAAGTCCAAGACGGAAGGTGACCAAGATATGAGTGAATGACTAGATCCTGCAGTCAAGAGCTTTGCATTTCCTTTGCATTGTTTTGTCGCCTGGTTGGTTTGGTTCCCGGTTTTTGTCTTTTGCCAATTTTGCCAAGGAATGCAGTTGTTGAAGCGATCCAGTCCAGTCTTCTTCGCCCAGCCGGGTGTTGGCTATGAACGGGGAAGATGTTTGTACATGATGATTCTTTGCCTGATCATGTGTCACCAGCCCCATGCGCTTGCTTCCAGCATCCCGTGTGGATGGAATAGTTTTGATCATTTTTCAGATCAAGTTGCAATCTCAACTTGGCGACCAACCTTGGGTGCAGCCGAACGTTTTGGTGAAGCATATCATCCAGGGCCTGTAGACTCTTGCAATGAAATTCGATTTTGTGTGACTAATCCTACTTGTATTGCCAAGAAATCCGATACCTACAAAGATCTCATGAAAGCGTATGACATCAAAGTGTTTTCCATGTCTGAAACTGCTGCTACCGAAGTGGTTCAAAAGCATTTTGCCCATGACATGAAGAAACAAAAATGCAGAATGTTGTGGTCGCCTCCAGTGCAACCGCATTGCCAGACTTCACAAGGCCAAGCCCATCAGAGAGGCAAAGCCTCCGGTGTAGCTGCAGCTTCAGCTGTACCCATCCGCCCCATACGTAACAAGTTGCCTGATGAATGGGCAACAACCACACGTTTTGTGCATGGAGTGCTACAGCTTGGACAGTCCCACTGTCAACTTCTAGTACTTTATTGCAAACCGGTCTCCCAGACCAATGCAGTGGAATATAACAACCAATTGCTACAGCTGGCCATTCAGCAAGCCAGCCTCTTGCCGTTGCCATATATGATACTGGGTGATTTCAACATGCCTGTTGAATCCTTTGAATCTTGGCCTTTGCTTGAATCCAAGGGGTTTAGATCTCTTGATCAGTTGCACTTGCGGTTGTACTCCACTCCAATGCCAAACACTTGTAAAGGGGTTACTAAGCCTGATAATGCCATTGTCAGTCCCTTGCTAGTCCCATTTGTGTCCCGCATTCAGGTCTTGGAAGAAACATGGTTGGCCACGCACAGTCCCGTCATGTTTCAGCTGTCTTTGCCGGGTCCTGTCTTGTTTGCCAAACACATCCGTTTTCCCAAGTCTTTTGTCGAACTTGACATTGCTGACCAGCACTGGGATAACATGGTTGACGTTTCGGGGGCCTTGCAAAATGCTAGCAGCATCCAAGAATGGGGAGAAGCAGTTGAAAACAACATCGACAAATACCTGCGTCAAGGGGTGGGTTCAGTTCCCTTTCTTAGTAAAGCTTTTCGGGGCAGATGTCAACCAGTGACTTTTGTCAAATGCCCTATTATGTCTCCCACCAAAGTTGCCAACCAAGGAAGCTTTGAGCCATCCTGTGAAGGCCTATCCATGCCCACAAGGCGTAAGGTCACCCAGGTACGTCGGCTTGAATCCTTGTGGAGACGTTTGAATAAGCTTGAAAAAGAAGGGCCAAAAAATGAAAATACAATGGCAGAACTCAAAGGTGAATGGAAGGCCATTGTGCGCTCTCAATGTTTTGGGTCACCCTTTCTGCAGTGGATTTGTTCTTGGTCTTGTTTTGACTTTCCAAGTTGGCCTCTCCCGGAAGCGTCATGGGTTTTCGAGGTTCTTCAGTTTACAAAGTATCATCTTGAAATTTCTTTGAAAGAAGATGCAAAAATTCAGAAGAATAAGCTTGAATATCTTAGATTCCTGGATGCCGCCAACCATAACAAAGCAGCTTATGCCACGGTGAGGGGCCCCGGCATGCCCCGTGTCCATGAAATTGGGCGGGTTCAAACTTGTGAAGCCATTGCAGTGCCAAGTGACGATGGTCACGAACACTCCCTCTATATGGACTCAATCGAAACGGAAAAATTCTCCATGGACTTCCCTTTGGCCATAGGTGAAGTATCTGCTGAAGTTATATCCATTGAAGAGCATCGCTTACAAGTCCGTACCAAGGAAAGTTTTCCAGAGTGGCCTGAACAAATCATGGTTAGCCAACATCAGTTTGCCATTTCGCCTGCAGACCTTGCCAAGCATCTTGACAGTTTTTGGAAGCCTATATGGAACCGTGATCATGTTTCCATGGATTTCATGCAAGCCGAATCAGACACATGTCCTTTCCATGAACTGCTGACACACATGCCTGCACACCCACAAATACAAGTTGACATGCTCAGCCGAGAGGCGTGGTCCAAAGCAGTCAAGAAACTCAAAGCTCAATCAGCCAGAGGTACTGACAAGATCAGCGCTCAAGAGTTGAAACTTTTGCCTTGGTGTTACTTGGAAAAATTGGCAGTAATCATGTCAAGCTATCCACAGGGTTTCCCAGCCAGTTTCATGCATGGCCTGATATGCCCTTTATCCAAGACCGATGAAATCCCAGAAGCAAAACAGACTCGTCCCATCACATTGTTGCCACAACTTTACAGGCTCTGGGCAGCAGTTATGACTGCGGAGATCACAAAAGTTTTGTGCACTTGGATTCCAAATGACATCACTGGTCTCTTGCCAAGGCGTGGGGCCGCCAATGCAGCCTACTTTTCCCAGTTTCATATCGAAAAAGCACGGAGGTACCATAAGAGCATCTCAGGTTTGACTTTGGACATCATTAAGTGCTTTAACTGTATTCGCTGGGACTTCGGCTTTCATGCGTTGCTTGCCCTAGGGGTGCCCAGGCAACTTTTGGTCGTTTGGATGGCTTCAATCCAAGCCCTCACTCGCCACTGGCTCCTGAACAATCAAGTCATCACTGCAGGTCAGGGATCATGCGGGTTTCCTGAGGGAGATCAATTCAGCGTCATCACCATGATTGCGGTTGCCACAGTTTGGACAACGTCCACAAGAGCTAGGTTGACCAACCCTGAAGACACCCTTTTGTCAGCATATGCCGATAACTGGTCATGGATCAATAGTACAGTCACAGAGCACTTGCCAACTCTGAGAAACACTTTGGCCATTATGGATGCGGCTGGTACCAGCATTGACTGGCAAAAAACTTGGTTTTGGTCAACCTGCAATCGGCATGCAAATGACATCCAGAACATAGTTCAGCAGTGCGTTCCAGGGCAGCAGATTCAACAAAAAAGCTCCGCCGCGGACCTGGGGTTTCAAGTGCAATATAGTGGGAATAATACTTTGGGGATAACAACTACTAGATTGCAAAAAGGCTTCCAACGCCTCTTAAGATTACAGGCCATGCCCCACACACTTGTAATCAAGGAAACCATGTTGCGCACCAGTGTCTACCCAGCGGCACTGCATGGATCCGAAATCAAGCCTTTGTCAATTGACAACTTGCAGCAACTCCGCACTAGAGCGGCAAGAGCACTTTTTGGCCACAACAACAGCATGTCACCAGCATTGGCACTGTCTTGCACCAAAGGTGGTGTTCTTGACCCAGAGTACTGGATAATTGCAAAAGCACTATGCACTGCCAGGCACTTTCTTCTCAACCAGAGTCAAGAGGTGCAACATGCCTTTTTCTACATGTGCTCACGGTTTCAAGGCACTTTGCAGCAAGTATGCGGCCCTGCATCAGCCCTTGCGTTCATGCTGAGCCAACTGAGCCTTCAACTGGATGCCAATGGGTTTTTGCATGCCACAGCATTTCTCAAATTTTCAGTGCTTGGGGTTAGCCGTAAAAGACTTCTTCGGTTTCTTCAAGATGCTTGGATGGAACGACTTGTTATCATGCACACCAACAGGTTCAAGTGGTTTCAATTCCCTGACATTTCCTTGCCAGAAACTGTTCAGGTGCTTAATGGATTTGCTGACTCCAAACGATGGATGCTCATCAGAGAGATCTCAGGAGCCTACCAAGTTGCCACCCAAAAACAGAAATGGTTATCACATGCTACAGGTTTATGCCCACACTGTAACATGGAAGACAGCCGTTTTCACAGACTTATGGAATGTCCTCTGGGGTCAGACGTCCGACAGCATTACCAACCTCTCCTTGATGTTTTGATTGAAGAGGAATCACTGCTGCCGTATTACCCAGTAATCACAGTGCATCCAGACGCAGAAGCAATCACTTTGTTGCAGTTTCAGTTGCCAGAAGCAGTATGGAGTGAAAATGTTCTGCAAAAAGTCAGGGAAAAACAGGATAACAACGAAACACTCCACTGGTTCACAGATGGTTCTTGCATGCTGCCTTGTCAGGTAGGTTCCAGTTTTTCAGCATTTACAGTCATTCTTGATTTGTGCCAATCAGATGATGAACGATGCCTAGTTGCTGATCAGTTCCGTGACTCTCCAGTGAACGTGCCATCATTGCAGATAGCATGCGTGGCCAGAAGCCAAGGGGAACAGGACATTCTCCGTGCAGAAACCTGGGCCATCCTGGCCATTGCTGAAAATGTAGGGTCTGGGGTTGTTCATTCAGACAGCCAAACTGCAATTAATAACGCCCGTAAAGCCCTCACAGCTTTTTCTCCTAGTGACTTTGCCACTTGTGAACACATGGACTTGCTTTGCCGTCTCTGGCAAATTCGACATGATGTGAATCTGGAGCTTGTCAAGGTTAAAGCTCACCAATGCATCCGTACCATTCCCGACCCTTTGTTGCGGTATTGGGCTATGGGGAATGATTTTGCAGACAGTACAGCACAGCATGCATGCCTTTACATGATGCCAGATTTTGTCAGCACAATGCAGAGGAAACATGCAGAGGTTTCCAAGGATCAGAAAAACCTTGAGATCGTTTGCTGTTTACATGTGGAACTGCAAGAAGTTCGTGCCAAAGCCACGATACAAAACCCGGAAGAGAATCAGGTAGTTCAACATGATCACCGTGCCATTTGTGAAGCTTACAGTAACTGGACAATCAACAGGACTCCTTATGTTTTCCCAGAGGCAGACCTACAGTTTGTTGCAGACTGTGCATTTGGTAATGAGATTGCGCTTGAGACCTACGAATGGATGAAAAAGTTAACCTGGCCTTCCACTGATGATGGTCCTTTGGGTTTCAATACGGGGGTAACTTGGATTGAACTGGGTTTGTCATGGATGTTGCACAACAAGCGTTATATGCCAGTGCTACGAAAAGACAACTTAGGAATCATGCGCCTTCTTTACCCTGCAGACTATGTATCAGCAAAGGACAAAGGTTTTACATACGTTGAAGCTGGAACAATGATGCAACGGATCACTGACAATTTGACAAGCTTGATTCCCGGCCCAGTCTGGCCGGATGACACGCTGAGACAGAAAGTCAGTGCAATCTACAGACTTGGTGCACATCGCTTTCATCAAGGGATCAATAAACGGCCGTCATTTCCTTTTCAATCTGAAGTGGTTGACATTCTTCAGAAGTCAGTGAGCTGCGGGCAAACTGATGGACTTTCGGCAACTCCGAGTGTCGACTGTGTTCGGAGACAGGAGGAAGTGGCAAAGGGAACTTGGCAGTTTAGAGTCGATAAGGCAAAGCTGGCCATGAAAAGGGTCAGAGCCAAACGGATCCTTTGTAGCTAGTTGCTTTTGGGACATTTGGGACTTCGCTCGCGTTGAGTGCTGCCTTAGGCTGCGGCCCGGGGTGGTGCTCCCTTTCTTCAAGGAAATAGCAATGGCTTTCTATGGGCTTTCAAAGCTGCCGTTTGCCAGCCCGCAAACACTCCAAACCCTCCAAAACCCTCCAAACGCTCCAAAATCCTCCAAACCCTCCAAACACCCTCCAAAACCTTCCAAACCCTCAACCCCCTTCAAAACCCTCCAAACCCTCCAAACACCTTCCCCAACAGGCACCCCAGGGCCAAGGCCACTTCTCAATCAGGCACCCCAGGGTGAAGGCCACAGCAATGGCTTTCTATTGGCTTTCAAAGCTGCCGTTTGCCAGCCCGCAAACACTCCAAACGCTCCAAAACCCTCCAAACCCTCCAAAAACCTCCAAACCCTCCGAACGCTCTCCAAAACCGTCCAAACCCTCCAAACACCTTGTCCAGCAGGCACCCCAGGGCCAAGGCCACTTCCCCAACAGGCACCCCAGGGCCAAGGCCACAGCAATGGCTTTCTATAGGCTTTCAAAGCTGCCGTTTGCCCGCCTGCAAACGCTCCAAACTGCCAAAACCTTTTAAACCCTCCAAACCCTCCAAAACCTTCCAAACCCTCCAAACACCGTCCCCAGCAGGCACCCCAGGGCCAAGACCACTTCCCGAACAGGCACCCCAGGGCCAAGGCCACAGCAATGGCTTTCTATAGGCTTTCAAAGCTGCCGTTTGCCAGCCCGCAAACACTCCAAACCCTCCAAAACCCTCCAAACGCTCCAAAATCCTCCAAACCCTCCAAGCACCCTCCAAAACCCTCCAAAACCTTCCAAACCCTCAACCCCCTTCAAAACCCTCCAAACCCTCCAAAACCCTCCAAACCCTCCAAACACCTTCCAGGCACCCCAGGGCCAAGGCCACGTCTCAATCAGGCACCCCAGGGCCAAGGCCACAGCAATGGCTTTCTATTGGCTTTCAAAGCTGCCGTTTGCCAGCCCGCAAACACTCCAAACGCTCCAAAACCCTACCACCCTCCAAAACCCTCCAAACCCTCCAAAACCCTCCAAAACCCTCCAAACCCTCCAAAACCGTCCAAACCCTCCAAACACCTTGTCCAGCAGGCACCCCAAGGCCACTTCCCCAACAGGCACCCCAGGGCCAAGGCCACAGCAATGGCTTTCTATGGGCTTTCAAAGCTGCCGTTTGCCCGCCTGCAAACGCTCCAAGCTGCCAGAACTTTCCAAACCCTCCAAACCCTCCAAAACCTTCCAAACCCTCCAAACACCGTCCCCAGCAGGCACCCCAGGGCCAAGGCCACTTCCCGAACAGGCACCCCAGGGCCAAGGCCACAGCAATGGCTTTCTATCTTCTTTCAAAGCTGCCGTTTGCCAGCCCGCAAACACTCCAAACCCTCCAAAACCCTCCAAACGCTCCAAAATCCTCCAAACACCCTCCAAAACCCCCCAAACCCTCCAAACCCTCCAAAACCTTCCAAACCCTCAACCCCCTTCAAAACCCTCCAAACCCTCCAAACACCTTCCCCAACAGGCACCCCAGGGCCAAGGCCACTTCTCAATCAGGCACCCCAGGGCCAAGGCCACAGCAATGGCTTTCTATTGGCTTTCAAAGCTGCCGTTTGCCAGCCCGCAAACACTCCAAACGCTCCAAAACCCTCCAAACGCTCCAAAACCCTCCAAACATTCCAAACACCCTCCAAAACCCTCCAAACCCTCCAAAACCCTCCAAACCCTCCGGGCGCTCTCCAAAACCGTCCAAACCCTCCAAACACCTTGTCCAGCAGGCACCCCAGGGCCAAGGCCACTTCCCCAACAGGCACCCCAGGGCCAAGGCCACAGCAATGGCTTTCTATAGGCTTTCAAAGCTGCCGTTTGCCCGCCTGCAAGCGCTCCAAACTGCCAAAACCTTCCAAACCCTCCAAACCCTCCAAAACCTTCGAAACCCTCCAAACACCGTTCCCAGCAGGCACCCCAGGGCCAAGGCCACTTCCCGAACAGGCACCCCAGGGCCAAGGCCACAGCAATGGCTTTCTATGGGCTTTCAAAGCTGCCGTTTGCCAGCCCGCAAACCTCCAAACGCTCCAAAATCCAAACGCTCCAAAACCCTCCAAAAAAACGCTCCAAAACCCTCCAAACCCTCAACTCCCTTCAAAACCCTCAACTCCCTTCAAAACCCTCCAAGCCCTCCAAAACCCTCCAAACCCTCCAAACACCTTCCCCAACAGGCACCCCAGGGCCAAGGCCACTTCTCAATCAGGCACCCCAGGGCCAAGGCCAGAGCAATGGCTTTCTATTGGCTTTCAAAGCTGCCGTTTGCCAGCCCGCAAACACTCCAAACGCTCCAAAACCCTCCAAACGCTCCAAAACCCTCCAAACACTCCAAACACCCTCCAAAACCCTCCAAACCCTCCGAAACCCTCCAAACCCTCCGGGCGCTCTCCAAAACCGTCCAAACCCTCCAAACACCTTGTCCAGCAGGCACCCCAGGGCCAAGGCCACTTCCCCAACAGGCACCCCAGGGCCAAGGCCACAGCAATGGCTTTCTATAGGCTTTCAAAGCTGCCGTTTGCCCGCCTGCAAACGCTCCAAACTGCCAAAACCTTCCAAACCCTCCAAACCCTCCAAAACCTTCCAAACCCTCCAAACACCGTCCCCAGCAGGCACCCCAGGGCCAAGGCCACTTCCCGAACAAGCACCCCAGGGCCAAGGCCACAGCAATGGCTTTCTATGGGCTTTCAAAGCTGCCGTTTGCCAGCCCGCAAACACTCCAAACCCTCCAAACACCCTCCAAAACCCTCCAAACCCCCCAAACCCTCCAAAGCCTTCCAAACCCTCCAAACACCCTCCAAACCCTCCAAAACCTTCCAAACCCTCAACCCCCTTCAAAACCCTCCAAACCCTCCAAAACCCTCCAAACCCTCCAAACACCTTCCCCAACAGGCACCCCAGGGCCAAGGCCACTTCTCAATCAGGCACCAGGGCCAAGGCCACAGCAATTGCTTTCTATTGGCTTTCAAAGCTGCCGTTTGCCAGCCCGCAAACACTCCAAACGCTCCAAAACCCTCCAAACGCTCCAAAACCTTCCAAACACTCCAAACACCCTCCAAAACCCTCCAAACCCTCCAAACTCTCCAAAACCCTCCAAACCCTCCGGGCGCTCTCCAAAACCGTCCAAACCCTCCAAACACCTTGTCCAGCAGGCACCCCAGGGCCAAGGCCACTTCCCCAACAGGCACCCCAGGGCCAAGGCCACAGCAATGGCTTTCTATAGGCTTTCAAAGCTGCCGTTTGCCTGCCTGCAAACGCTCCAAACTGCCAAAACCTTCCAAAAACCCTCCAAACACCGTCCCCAGCAGGGCCATCCAAAGGCTTATTGAATCCCCATGAATCTATCTATCCATCTGTCCAACAATCGATCTATCCACCTGTTTACCTAACTGTCTATCTACCTATCTATCAATCTATCTCTCTCTCTCTCTCTATCCCTCTATCTATCCATCGATCTATCTCTCTCTCCCTCTATCTATATATCTATCTATCTATATATCTATCTATCTATCCATCCATCCATCCATCCATCTCTCCCTCTCCCTCTCTGTCTCTCTCTCTCTCTCTCGCTCTCTCTCTCTCTCCCCACAGTGCCCCCCAAATAGAGGGGGGTCGGCGGCACCTGGGCGCTAGCCCATTCTATATAACTCTGTATGTGTGTGTATATATATATATATATTTTGACACAAACATGATGGCTTCAAGCACGTGTTATCAGCACACACACACACAACTCCACCTGCCCAGCTCGCGACAAGACACTGATGGCCGCCATGCAGTAGTCGTCCACTCCGAAGCGGTACTTGGAATGTTTGCCGCCCACCTTTCGCCACGGCAGAACTGGGGAAAGTTGGACTTCTGACTTGAAAAGTGGTTTAAACATGTTCCGTCCAACCCGGACGTTGCTCCACACTTACAATCATCCTCCTCCTCCTCCTCCTCATCGTCATCGTCATCGACATCGTCATCGTCATCGTCATCGTCGTCGTCGTCGTCATCATCATCATCATCATCACCATCATCGTCATCACCATCATCGTCATCACCATCATCGTCATCACCATCACCGTCATCACCATCACCATCACCATCACCATCACCATCACCATCATCATCATCATCATCATCACCATCATCATCATCATCATCATCATCATCATCATCATCATACGCTGAATGGGGTAATCACATCAACTCATCTTCATAAGGGATCAAAAATCCACCACTATAACAAATATGATAAATAGGGTAATCGCACCCACTTATCTTCATACGATATCAACATCCGCCACCCCCTCTGACAACTATGATGGATAAGGACTAACATCAACTTATCTTCATAAGGGACCAACATTCCACCACCCCCTCCGACAAATATAATAAATGGGGCAATCACATCAACTTATCTTCATAAGGGATCAACAAATCCACCACCCCCTTTGACATATGCTGAGTAAGGAAGAACATCAACATATCTTCATAAGGGATTCAAAAATCCACCACCCCCTGTGGCAAATATGCTGAATCTGATAATAGCATCAACATATCTTCATAAGGGACGATGATGATGATGATGATGATGATGGTGGTGGTGATGATGATGATGATGATGATGATCATGGATCACATATACATCTACATATTGAAAGTCCACCGACATGGCAATTCAAAAATACGCAACCCTTTCGCAATTCCGGCACGGAGCAACGTCAGGCTTGCGCCGAACATGTTTAAACAGTGTCCTACCCTGGTTCCGTAAAAGGCCTGCTGTGGTTGTGCCAAGCTTGACCAGGCTGCTTCTATCCAGTCACAAATGATCAAACACATTGGAAAAATGCATCTCAAATAATCTCAATATCTATATGGAGGTTTCCTGAAATGGGGGTACAGCTAAATCATTCGAATAGGATTTTCCATTATAAACCATCCATTTGTGGTACCCCCCCATTTATGGAACCCCCCATATACCCTCTGGTGAAACAACTAAAACTTGATGCTGGAAACTCCACAACATTGACGCTACACCGATCTATAGATTTTGTGATTTCCCATCACCAGCATAAGTAGTTTTGAATTACTGGTGCCATGTGAAACTCAGATGATTTCCCGGCCATGCCCTCCATGGAAGAAGATTTTTTCGCCAACTTCACAGCTAAGATGCAATGAGCTGTGTGTCCAGCACGATGAAGCACGAAAAGATTAAGACCTCGCAACTTTGTTGCGAGGTAACGACGTGTCAAAGAAGAGACGTTTCCGAATATCATGTGGGCAATCTAAACGGGGATATGTCTCAATTTGACACGTCTAAGAGATGTTTCCATCCCCAAATTGTCAAAGAGATGTTTCCATCCCCATCTAATAATAAACTTACAATTTGGGGATGGTTTGTACCAACCATGATTCTGGGGTGGTTTATTATTGGGTTTACCACATTGATTAAGCGACTGACCAAATAGGGCCTTATTCACCTACCTAACTCCTAACTTATTGATCTTGTTGGGAATTATGAGAACCCACAATTAATGGGATAGGGATGGATAGGGGGATACCAGGAGATGGGATAGTGGTATTTTTCATGGCATTTGATGGCTCATATTGCATCAGATGGGATCAGATGGGTATGCGTGACAAAATGGGGCACCAATGGAACCCATAAAGTCTGCTATTACCTTGAAGTTGGATATAGATGGATATAGTTGGATCAGCTAGTGCCTCTTCATGCTACCTTGTAACATCTTGTAACTTTTTTATTGAACCACCTTGTCGTTCCACCAGATCCCAGCGGATTTTCTAGGCAAATTCAGATTTCCAAGACCTGTCAAGTCATCTGTGCGTCCAACGCCGCAGATGGAGTAGACCAGATGCATCCTCAGAAGGGGCTAACACACATGGAAAGCAATGAAAGATATTGACAGGCATAAAGATTCCTCTCATGAATCAACTAAATCTCACCTCTAGTCTCCTCTTTGATTTCGGAAACTTTAACAAATAGATGGAGCTCATGGCTTTCAACTGATCTTGAGGAACATAACTGCCAATCTTGGTGGCGACCCACCAGTCTCCATTTCAGAGTTGACCATCATCCCATTAAACCTGCCAGTGGAATCAACCACCATTTGTAGCTTGTACAGTAATCAAAAAAACATGTCATCTGAAGGTCAAAGGATGTTAAAGGCAACCATCTTACTTTATGTGGGTAATTAAAACCATGGTTACTTACACAATGTATCATATATCCCTTTCTAACCCCACCATTCCATATTTTTCACTACCAGTGGTGGCCACCATTCGAAACACCATATTTCTACACCGAGAGGCGTTTGAAAGACGGGCGACGAGGTGGTTAGGGCGCCAAAGAACACCGAGAGCGTCAGGATCATGCCGAAACCTGAGGGCATAAAGGGGTGAAAATTCAAGGGTGTAGACGGGAAAAAGCCATGGTTAAGCGGTTATCACCACCATTTTTCTTGGGATGTAACATGATATAACCCTTGCAACTATAATTTATAACTGAAACTGCACCCCCAATGGAAGGTCCAACATTGGAATGGTTGGGATGGTTGGATCAGCGATGGGCGGCTGTCGCAGAAAGGAAACATAGCAAAATCAAGGCATATTTACATACTGTGTATATCTACATGATATATTGACATATCTCTATAGGCATCTCTCTATAGAGTTTGGGTTGCTGGTGAATGTTTTCCCTTTACCTTTTTGAAAGCGGCTCTTGTAGCTCTTGTTGCACTGGCCTGTGCCTTCTTGAAAATTTGTCGACCATGGGATCTTCACCATTTTTGGATCAGAAATCATGGGGAAAGATGACGATATTATACACATTTATACACTATTCCATCGGAATTGGGGCTAAAATAGCTATCCTATTTTCAGACGTTTATCCATGAGTCCCACAAAAATGCACATTGAAGGATGCCTAGGAGGTTTTTGGGCTACGCCAAAATGGCCTTTGCTTATGGGCCTGTCCCAACATGGGCAATCTTTGTGGGAACATTGTTCGAAACCACCCAATTTTTGGTCACCTCATTGTTCAACAAAAACATCTCATGGTGTTGGGTGTCTATGTCACGTTCAATTGCGTCCAAAAGTCATCCGGTCCACCAAAACACGTTATGGTATGTTATGGTTGGGATTCATAGTATGTTACTATATATATATACATAACTATGTCATTCACACACACATACGTATATATATATATATAAATATATATGTATATATATATGTACGTATATAAACATATGATCATATATGTATAAATGTACACATATATATATATATCATATCTATATAAATTAATATATACATATATCATTGATATCATCATGTATCTAATGGAACAAATCTTGAATCACCCCCGTCACCTGCATCGCTGGGTCCCTGTGCCAAAGAGCGCCAGGCATGCAACCAGAACGTACGGCCTAGGAGACTTAGAGATCCCCCATGACTGACCCTCTGGAAAATTTGTTACATAGCTATTGAAAATGGCCATTTATAGATTTTATAGTTGATTGATCCATTAAAAAAATGGTGGTTTTCCATAGTTATGCTATTTTACCAAAGGGTAAGAACCAAATATGAACAATCCACACATTGGACTGGAGGGCCAATAAATATCACTAAATGGTGCCCATGCCAGTGCCAGAGATTAGATGAAAGTTTAAGGCGGCCTGTGTCCTCCAGTGCAACCCGTGAGTCTTGCCATTTTGCAATGCAGCGATGGGCCCCTTGCCAGGCCCAACAAAGGCCACGATTCGATGGATTGAACACCAAGAGTTGAGGCTGTCTCTCTATGGGAGGTCATCCCTCCATTGTTGGAGCTTATTTAGAACTCAATCTTAGAGTGAATCCCACGGATTCAGCAAACTCGTCTCGTCACAAATCAGAAAAATAAGCACAATCATTTTTACCTCTTTGACATTCTCCATCGAACTCCAATAAATAATAATAAATAGCTGTTTTAGTTGTAACGAATCCCGGCTTCAACTACAAGGTACAAAAACTATGACGAAAATAGGCTGGTACGACACCTGGATGCAGCTGGAAGTTGGGAGTTGCCCCATCTACAAGTAGTAGGGGCACATCATGGTACTACATATCCATATATATATATATATGTATATACTTATAATTACTTACATGTATATGTCTATATAATATTACATGACCTAACTTGATCATTCATTTGTTGGCTATCCATGGCTATCCCCATTTTTAGGTGGTCAACTTCCAGGTGTTTGCAGGTCGAACTGCCGCCATAGGTGCAGGAAACCAGTGATGTCGTAGGTGGTCTGACAGGCAAACAAAATCAAGCCCATCACCTCTGTCGGAGGCACTGGAGACCCTTGGTGATCAAACCGGGAATGGATCAAGATTTGCTTGGGCCGGAAAAAACAAGCACATTCTATTCATTTTTCATATTAACGACTATTAACGATCCATTTTTAGAGGTATCGAATATTTTCACCCAAAGAAAGCAAAGAAGAGACATGCCTGCCAAAAAACAGCAATGGGTTCATCTTCAACAAGTCCAACATAGAGAAATCGAAATCCGGATTTAAGTACAGTAACCCCCAAAAAGAGAAAATCTCACTTGAATAGTGATGAATCACTTTTCTATCTTTTTGGGCTTACTATAGCACAAAATATTCCGGAAGATATACCTTTCGCATACCTTTCCTATACCTCTCCGTGCCCCGGTGGCGATAACCGAGTCGAGCACCACGATGCACGTGGTGGCCAAGACAATTAGAACCGACCTGCCAGAGGTGGACCGTCCCACTGCAACCAAATCACTTCCGCGTGAGTCTCAGGCTGGAAGTTTGATCGCTTCAAGTGGATAAGTCTCTGGGGTATCAGTACCCCAAAAAACATGGAAAAATAGAACAGACATAAATGGTCTGGTATAGGTGCAAACCCAAAAATGGCAGGCTTTACTAAGTTTACTATTGGACATGCTCAAGAGCGTAGTTCCAACATGAAATATTGGTTCCTTGCAATCATGGGTCAGTACCATATATATATATATTCACACTTCGGGACACTTGGGTTAGGTCCCCAACTTTATAGATTTTGACAACATACAAGAACAATCCAAGTATACCCATACACACATATATATATACATATACATATATATATATGTATATGTGTATACATATATATATATATGTATATTTGCATGTGTGTATATTATATATATGTACATACATTGATTTGAGGTGTCAAATGCCTGGGTAATTGCTAATTGGACTCAACAAAAGGCTTGCAGCACCCCTTTTTCATCACGGGGCACAGAAGATCTCAAATGGCCATCAACTGGGCTTTGCATTTCGGGAGTTCACTGGGGGTATCCAAAACGTATATGATATATGCCGAGAAAAATCACACACACACACACTTCTATATATATATATATGTACTGTATGTATATATACATAATAATATATATATATATATGTATGTATGCATGTGCATGCGTATATGTAATTACAGTATATACATCGACAACCATACTCATCTGGGTAACTTAGAAATACTTGTAAAATTTCAAGGATTCGCGTCGCTCTGAGCGTCCCTGGCGCTTGGGTGTATGATGCACTGATGAAGCCGACCTCAACACAGGCACCGGGTACGAAAAATTCATTGCCGGTCACCCAATAACAAACCAAGCCTATTGGGGATATAATAGGGATATAATTAATGGGAATATGGGGATATAATCTTCGAACTTGCTTCATTGCGATGGTTTGAGGGTAAATTGATGGGACACCCTGGTTTATACCCCCTCAAATTTACCGGTTTCCAGAGAAAACTGCCATAAACCAGTCCATTACATAATAGTTCTTGCCTGAAGACTTTTCCAGAACGAGTCTTTCAAAGTAGTCAGAGATGACATGTTATTTTGACACCCAAACACAGCAGGTCACGGAACATGACAAATCATGGTCGGGATTCTGAACTTCAGAGTCTGACATGATCTGACTCTGAAAGGCCACTGACATCTCGTACGAATTGCAAAGACATGGTGAAATATAGCTTTTCTCCGCAAAAGAATGTGTATGTGTATATATATATAATTATATATATAATTATATATATATATAATTATATGTATATATATATAATGAACGGCATCTGGTATAATTAATATGATGTATTCGTAAACAAATGATAAAGCATGATAAACAGGTATGCCGTTCTTTGTCGGTGTGATGTCGTTTAGATTGTCGTTCCCCACCAAATAGCACACCCTGAGGCATCAATTTTGCTCTGAGGTGCCTCAAGGCCCACATCAAAATACCTACTCATCAAACTGAGCAGTGTTCAAGAGCCTGTTGGTTGATGGTTGGTATGGGTTGTATGGGGTTATACTATGTCATACCATCCAATATATTGGGGATCATCATAAACCACTACAACTGGGGACTCCAATAATATACTTCGGGCTGAAGTGATCCAAGCGATTCCAAGCCCAGGGACCAACACAGCTTCCGCCAAAGTGAAGGCACCAAGCAAGATGTAGTTGGTGGGCATCTCTCGCATAGTATGGGGACCTGCCATCTCTGGATCATCGTTAAACAACCATTTCAAATCCGCGACGCGACACCGATACAGCCCCGAGTAGCTTGCCCTCCAGTAACATTGGATAACATAGATATGGACAACTCATGGTTTCCCATTCTTGAAACTATCTATATACAAATAGATGTTTCCATATCTACATATGTTGGTCGACTGCAGGACAAATTGCGCCCATTGTTCTGATTACACGTTTTTCTTGAACCACAGCCTGCATGGTCCAATGATCCACATTTCAACAACCAATGGGGGATATAATCCAGAATGTTGGGAACCAAAGATCATTGTAAATATCGTATACAGATACATCTGAATGTATATAAATATAAACAATTTATTCAATACCCCCTTGTCGAAACAATGGTTTAGTTTTGGATCTATCTGTTCATGTTGGGAGCTTTTACAATTGCGGGAACGGATCATCGTTACATGATGTTACATGGATATTGATGGATATGAATGGATATGCTTGCGGGTCAAAACCTAGTACCCCGCTGAACCTCAAAAATAGTTGGTAAATGGATGTTCATTCCAAAAATTCGAAGAACATTATGGGCTTTAACCCATCCCCATAGCAAAAAAACATACTATCATAATCCCACTTTATCCCCATTATTGCTGGTCATATTGTGGATGGTTGCGAAATCCTGCGCCACCAAAAGCATGGTTAAAAGCCCAGAAATAAGGGGATATATAAATCACCTATGATCTGGTGCAGGATTTTTTAAATCCACAGTATTCCACAGTATCTGGAGCTGTCGGCGATCTAAGCTGCCGCACAGCAAGCAAAGATGCACATGCAGGCCTTGCCAGGAAGAAACCCAACGCATGTTTGTAAATAAATAAATAAATAAATATATATATATATATATGTATGATTGTATATGTATCAAAATCAATACCAATATCGACATCAATATGTACATATATATGTATATTTACATATATATATATATATATGCACTATAAAATAGGCATACATTGTATCAACCGATGTAAATGTGTCTATGTCTAACACATCTAGATCTGGTGGGTCAAGCCGATTGGTCCAAAAAGTATGTACTCCCATCCATTCCCATTTATTCCCATTGGCCAATTAAAAAATACGTGTCCAACCAAGACTGTAATGGTTATATAATGGTTCTAGAACGGATATATAACCAGTAATGGAACCATTATGGATGGACATATGGAGAACATTATGGTTTTATAACGCTTATATAAAGGTTATATAACAGCTATATAATGGTTCTATACGTATATATATATATATGGTTCATTATATATATATATATACACAAAGGACATATAGTGGATGTGATGATATGACCATGTAATGATTGTAGCTCCAATGGGCTCCCCAGTTTTCATATCGATGGAAGATGGATACCCATAGCTCCGAGACGCGCTCCCTCCTAACCGATTTTGCTTCAAATTCCGTAGACTGGATGCATGAAATTTCACCACCCACAAGTGCGACAAAATTTAACACTAAAAAATCATGTTCATCATCTTCTCAACCAAATTTCTTTTGAGGCCCGAGGCGAGTTTTCAGCGGAAGATTTTCCAGCTTTTCAAGCCTCCCGCCTTCCATTTTGAGGATCTGAAGTGAAGAGCTGTTGTGAGCTAGATCCCATGTCCATCATGTTTCCCGCGTAACCCACTTGTAGCAAATCCAAGACGATGTTTACATCGATCAACCGTACATCAACCAGCACAATGTTGGGGATCCTTATGGATCCTTATGGATTCTTGTGAAGCTCCAAGAAATGGAGGCCCAATTTGGGCCACCAACCAGGTTTCCATGGATCCAAAAAAAAGGATCCACTGATCCCGCCAGCCGTGCTACAATGGCGATCACCATAGAGCCCATCATCAAAGCCCTGGCGAAAGCGCAAGAGATCGATTGGGAGATCAGAACATCACAAGAGCAGCACAAAGAGTCCAGTCTGATTCATGGGAGATTTTCAACCACAAGATTGGGTTATGTTATGATATTTATCGTGATATTTTGTATATATATATATATGTATATATATATGTATATATATATACATACACATAGATCTATATCTTAACTTGATGACATCAGTATGACAAAAAGGAGCATGCCAATCATAAGCACCAAATGTGGTCGTTTCCGATAGTGGTGCTATGATGGATGATGAATTATTTCCCAGACTAATGTTTGACCCAAGGATACTTTTTCCAGTGAGTGCTCAAAGTTGATGGTTTCGAGCATTGGAAAACTTCGTACGGACAACTGGTAGACCAAATGTACACATTGTCTTGCTCCGCGGAAGAATTACATTGAACCACCCAAAGATCGGTTTGAAAGATGGGTTTGTCTGAAAATAGGGTGCCAAATCCAATGGACTATCATCATGTTATCTTAATTAGAAGGACTATGAAGGACTAGGGGTATACCGTATACCTCCAATTTTCGGACACACCCAGATGCTGCCACTATTCTTGGCAGGCTAAAATGGTCAAGGCTCTCTTTGCAGCTCACATATCCTTTTTTTTGGGCTCTCGAGATTCCCATCAATTTTGGTTTGCATGGACAAATCGTTTAGCTTTTCTTGCCTACCTGCTTGTTGATATATGTTGATATTGCTGTTCATTTTGATCTTCGTGGCATTGGGCAACATTTTAAATGGGCTAGAGTCTCCCCGACATTTCCCGAATCCATTTCTTGGGATTTCCAGCCCAACTCAGTGAATGGATTTCCAGCGGACAATCGACAGGAAGCCATTGTTTCTACCACCAAATACAGAGCTTTCCTCATGTTTCCTCTACATTTTCCCATCATCCAATTCATCAATTCCAACCCTCGAAGTTTTCACTGTACACTGCCCCATCTGGGCCACCCTGACATGGTCAGAGCTGGGTTGGCCTTTGAGATCGGCAAGGCCTCCACGAAATGGTAGCCGATCCAATGTTCTTTTTTAAATGTCTCTGATGTCAATATATACATATGTAATTGTATAATTGATTATAATTATATATAGATAATTATAGATAATTATAAATAGACAGTTAGATATATATAAATCTTCGATGGGGGTGATTTTGATGATTTTTGATGTATTTTTTGGATGGGGCTCCATTCTTTTTGGATCTTAAACACAGAAGATTCAATGGATCTGAAACCGAGTGGTGGTTGAGCTACCCGGGACCCAGAAATCTGTTCATGTTGAGCAGAAGCCAAGTTGCTAAGTTTGTGGTTCTTTGTATATGTATATATATATATACACGTATTATGTATTATACACATTTATACTATATAATACATATCTATTTACATCTGTTCTATATCTACACTAATATATATATATATATACATATATATATATATCATTGCACACTTCTCAACAAGCTCATTGATTAGTCTCTGCCAGTGATCCCATTGCCACTTTGTCAACTCCTGTCCTCCCATCAGTGGTTCGAGCATGTTCTAGCTACACTGGCTGGTGGTTTTAACCATCTTAAAAAATATTGGTCAACGGGAAGGATTATCCCATCTATTATGGAAAATAGAAAATGTTCCAAAGCACCAATCAGTACATGTTTGCTGGTTGACACCCACCCATTTCCATTCTGGCTGCCCCTTTTGAAATGTGTTCAAAACCTATGATCGACTCTCCAGCACCCAAATGGCCCAAAGGGGCCAAGAGGCAGCTGCTCAACCTTATTTTGGTCGGCTAAATCCAAGTGTTGATTAAAAACGGCTGTAAACAACGCCTTGTTGCAGGATCAAAATCGATCAAAATGGTTCAAAACGGTTCAAACCGGCTCAGAATGCATCAAGCTGGTTCGATCAAACTGGTTCAATCATTCATCAAAATGGATCAAGTAATGCCTTTTGTACATATCATGACATATTCATCCATCAACTGCGAACTACGGTGGATGGTTGCGAAATCCTGCACCACCATCCTAGGATGAGTTTTTCACCCAAACAAAATCATGGGATGTTTACCACCTAGCCTCTGGTAAACGTACAAAAAACTATGGAACATCACCATTTTTAACGCGACAATTCACAATAAATGGTGATTTTCCATAGTTTTTTGTACGTTTACCAGAGGGTATCAACTGGTGATTTCACACCCATCGCAACCGTCCCTCTGCAGGGCGGCCCAGCCATCTTCATAACGACACCTCCAACGAGCACCGTTGTCACCTAGGATCTGCCGCTGGGAATCTGGGGGAGTTTCACCAAGAATTATGGGGATATCTGGGGATATAAGATGATATAAGATGATATAGGATATATATCGGGATATATGGGCACAATCTGATTTTCAGTGGATTGGAAAAAAAACTTTTTCATGTCACATCTGGTGAGTTTAACTGGGAAAGAAGCCAGTTGCAACTCAACTGCCGCTCCGGAAAACTTCCACAAGGTGGTTTCTGGATAGATGGCACAGTCGATCGGTTTTTTAAATCAATAGATACCATTTATCGACAGTAAGTATAGTAGTCTTCTCTAGTTATATAGCTTTTTGGTAATCTATAGTCATCTACAGATTCTCTAGCCATCTATAGTCATCTATAGTACCCTCTGGTAATTTAACATAACTATGGAAAATCACCATTTATAGTGATTTTTCCCATGAAAAATGGTGGATCTTTCCATAGTTTTTTGTATGTTTACCAGAGGGTAATGGGGGCTTTATTTAATTCACCAAGCACCGTCAGCCGGGGGCAGTCTGGGGCACTGGCCAACTGCACCAGGAGAATGCTAAAGACCTGGTTGAGCTGATCTTCCTCATAGTTTTAGGCAAATCACTGGTTATAAAAAGCCAAGCATAATTTCGGAGGGATCAATATTATGATTTTTCATAATTCCGGTTATAAAAATTTATAAATCACCAATGCTGATCTTCCATAAATAGTGGAAAACACATTTGGTGATTTATGGATTCAAAAAACCGAGAAATCACGAAGAAACAGACGGGTTGAAGTAACTAACAAGATGGGGCATTTTGCCCACAAGAACGAGTAACAATGGGGATTGAACAAACAACAACAAGAATTTGTTGCGATTTAATCAGGGGATGCAATCTCAGCAACAACTGGATATCAACCCATCTGGACAGTTGATAACCTATCAAAACTCCCAAGCCTAACATCTTTTTTTCTACATTCCCAACTTCAAAAGCAGACTCGAAACACCTCATGTGGATGATCTTCAAGAAACACACCCTGCAATTATAAATGGAGTTTTCCTGGGGATACCCCCATTTCTGGATGGTTTTCATGGGAAATCCATGGAAATCCATCGATGTGCATGGATGAACATGGATGATTTGGAGGTACCCCTATTTCAGGAAACCTCCAAATATTTCCCAGTCAAAATTAGATACCCCGTCTCCATCCAGCTGACCTTTTTCAACGGTCAAAAAGGCGGCGCCTTCCGCACGAAGCCGTGACGAATGGCGGTGTCTTCGATGCCATACCTAGGCGCGACTGGCGCGACTGACGAAACCATGGCTATTTCTGATGGTATATTGGGTATGGGTTACCACCAAGGTTAGTAACCACGATGATTTTTGTAGATTCTATGGAAATCTATGGAACAACCCCCAGTAAAAAGATGTAAAAAGAGATGCGCTGGATCGGGTTGGTTTCTGAGTTCTAAATAGATCTAAATAGTAATAGGATGTTTGCATCACTTATACAGGTATCGTCATGTATGCACCAATTGTACGTATAATGCACATGTATATAAATATGGCTATGGATCAATACCTATAGATACCATTTTTAGTGGGATGAACATCCATTTACCAGCTATTTTGGGGTTCACTCGGTACCAGGGTTTTGACCCATCCCCAAATATGAATCAAGATGTTGGTTTTCATAGCTTAAGATCTCACTCCCAAACGGTGATGAAATGGTGGTGCATTTTGAACGTGAACTAAGCCTACTCAACCCTAGATTGAACCCCAATGAAATGGTAGGCAAAGAACCTCCCGCTGGACTAGGAAGGTGGAACAAGCTCGATTTCTGTGGTTCAAATCTATTGGTTTTTGGATAAAGTCCCAATCTTTGCGGCTTAATTCAACAATTATGTGGCCAACATCTCCAGTCTTGTGGTTGACACCTCCCTTTTTCATCATTTCTCCTTGTTCTATGCCTATTTTTTGGTGCTTAATCAACCTACTACCACTGGGTTTACCCCGGAACCCCCATCCCCATCCGGGCTCGCACAGCTCATCAGTTTCAGGCCCTTCATCCGTCAAGGGCGTCCTGGCTTTAGCAAAGTTGGGATTTCATCAAGACCTGATTTTATCTGGTTGGTGGTTTCAACCCCTCTGAAAAATATTGCTCAGTTGGGATTATTATTCCCAATATATATATATATAATATACATATGTAAAAACCAGTTATATACCAAACAAGTTTCGACGTCTGATTTTAAAGCTGATTTTGGGAAGAATAGAGATGACTTATGATTCATTTTGCCAACATCTGAGTTTCTGCCAAGATAGGGTGAAACATGGTGAAACTCAACTGGCCAGAATGGGATGATACAATATTCACTGCTTGGTGGCTTCACTCTTGTGGTGCACGATATGTCAATGACGTGTCAATGCCTAAACTCCAGACTTCTCAATGACCTCCCCTTAGACATGGAAAATTATGGTTGACGCATCAAAAATGGCAGATTGCCCAAAAGTCATGCAGTTTTCAAACGAGTGGAAGCTTTTATCTTTCGGACAAATTCTTGGAAGCCCCCAGCAGCCACATTGACAATATGCCATGTGTGCTTGGGGCAAACTTCCCCCAAAGGGGACGATCCATGGCATTGAAAAGTCGTGGCCTGGTTGGAACTGCTCCAATTTTAGCATCTCGATTTGCCCGATTCTTTAAAACCATTTTGCAAGTGTTCCCCATACCAAAAACTCGAAAGGCTGGCCAGAGGTGGCCTTACATGTCGTGCGCCAGTTGGAGGACCATCAGAACTAGCAACCAGGACGCATGCAAAATCCAAATCCAACCAGAATCAGCTAGACATTTTGAGTAAGTCATGTTGATCCGCTGTCACCATCCGACTCACTCTACGTCCCATGAGTTCCTAGCTCCCCAAGGTGTCGCTGTGGCAGTGGCGCCTCTCAGTGAACATGCCACGGCGTCCATGCATGGCCCGGATTTTTGTCTCCTCGATTCTGGCAGATCCCTGAATGTTTGGCCAAGAAACTGGAGATGCCAAAATGGATCCGAAAATCGGGTACACATGGAAAATTATGTACAACATGACAAAAAATACAAAACATAGAAAAAAATGAAACATTGCAGACTATTCCACATATTCCATATATATATATATATTCCATATATATATATATACAGGTTATGCCTCTATAAAATGGAACATTATGTAAAACATTACAAAAAGGCAAAAACATAAAACATCCCGGAATAATTAGTCCACACAGACCAAATATATACAGGCTATGCCTCTATAACAAGTGTAATATGGCTCAATTTTAGGTATCCTGAAGCTTTTGGATGCATTTTGTAAAATGTGGTTAAAGTTGTAGCATGTGGTAGCACTATGTAGCAATAATTGTGGCATTTCTGTGTTTTTCCCATTTTATAGTGGCGTTTGTTCTAACTTCCTTATCTTGAAACGGCCATTCTTCGCGAATAAACAAAGAAAAAAAATCGCGAATCTTTCGCGAACCCCACGTTTATCTTTCGCAGGGGTCTCATGTTATAACCTGTTGCTAAATCTTTTGCCAAACAAATACTTTCGCGGGGTCTGATGTTGAAACCCGGCGGCCTTGGCAATTAAAAACCCTTACATGGACCTTTAGAACGAGTCCCAGTTGTATAGGTTGGGTTTTGACGGGATGGGTAGGGTATGGTATGGTGTGGTATGGTGATGTATGTTTTTTTTGGGTGATAACAGCTTCAGCCACTATAAAATGGGAACCCATAACGTTGGAAATTTGCGGTTTTCCAAAGTATATGGTCTCTATAGAATGGAAACCTATGATGTTGCACGTGGCTGTCACCCAGCAGGTGAACATCACTAGCTGCTCTGACCCCCCCCAAAAATCTATAAAATAGGGGACTACACTCGAGCCCTAAAAATGAGAGATAAAATGTGTATTAAAAAATGCTCTTATCCGTGGCATATCCCTCCTCATTTTATAGAGGAAATTCCTAAGGGGATTCTGGGATCATGTATAGTCCTTTGAACCCCCCCATTTTTTTTTGTAAACATAATCTTAATTCATTAGGGATATCTAAGGACCATTATAGATGACCTGGCTGATGCCACCGCAAAAGTTCGGAATTTTCATCCAATCGCCTTTAGTTCGGAAAAAGAATGGTCTCCCAAAAATCATGATCCACTACTAAACCAATCAATGGATTGGTTTAAGGGAAAATCTACAGGAAACCATGGTTTTTACCATCAAATATAGGGCTTTCCTGTAAATTTTCCCATCATCCAATTCTACTAAACCAAGGGTTTGCTTTCAGGGGTGTTTCATATAACAGGGATGGGATTGATGTAAGTCAACGAGCTAACCATGCCCCTTGGCTGGACGTTCTAACCAGGGCTCTGGGTGATGTTCCATGGCTCTCTTAAAGTGTAAGTGAGTACAGTAGCTATATGCATGACTATGCTATGTTGTGGTAACTCCAGAGCCCAGCCCTGGAGTTATCACAACATAGCATAGTCATGCATATAGCTACTGTACTCACTTGCACTTTAAGAGAACCATGGAACATCACCCATTTTAGGGGATTTATCATCGAACTGGCCATGTTTCAAATGTAAAACCTACCAGGGTAGAGTTTTCCTGTATATCTAGATTTAGAATTTATCCATAGGTGGCTTTCGATGGGAACTTCCACCAATTCGACCCACTTCCACCAGGCTCTCCGGGAGGACTCCTCGGTTGCCCGGAGATCTTCGTTGGCTGGGGCCAAATGGCTGGGGATTCCAAGGATTCAAGCGGCCATCCATGGGAGGTTTCCTCCAGAAATGAAATCCCACATTCTGCCCACTTGAGATCTCCAAATGAACCAATCCATCCAAATGAGCTAACAGATTTTGATAGTTACAGCAAATGGTTAATCAATCTTCATGTTTCCTATCACAATGGACAAATTTTGGTGGTAAAATCCAGCTCTTTTGATCCACTACTTGGATTTGCTCAAAGGGTCCCAAAGGACTAACATGTATTTCCTATAGATTCACCAAACATTGGATTTCCCATTGGGAAAATAGAAACTCACCTTAGACAACCTAGGATCATAAGTTTGTTTATAAGCCTCATTAACTACAGTTATATCTACCATAAATGTGTATTATCCCCTACCAGTATCATGTGGATTATAAGCCAATGACAGTCTTTTTGCGGCTCATCTGTTTTTGGCGCCACCCTTTCGCCGGCGCTTCACCTGGGCGAAGGAGATGAAACCCAACCAGCCCAACGGTCGTTAACGGTTAAAGCTACTGCTTGATGTCACACGCCTCCACCCACAAACAAGTTTCAAACAAAAACATATCTGTGAATCGGTATACATACACATACAATCGTATACATATACAGTAGACAAATAAACACATATATGTGATATGAAACATCATTCAATATATATATAATTATAATATAATATTATATCATTATATATAATAATATCATACATAAACAACTATTGGCACTATAAACCTATGTCCTTGCTCTTTCAAAACGGCGGACGTGGCCTTCTTCTTCTTCTTTGGGCCCGAAGATGTCGGCGTCGGTACGGGCGCCACTGGGATGCTCGGTCCTTCGGACGCAGCTGGGAAATGGGCTGGAACTCCATGCCTACCCGCTGGTAAACATACAAAAACTATGGAAAATCACCATTTATCCATGGGTAAATCAACTATAAAACGCCATTTTCAATAGCTATGTTAGTTTACCAAATGGTAACCTGAAATCTAGGATTCAAATTTTCCGAGTTTTCTTACCTAAACCAGGTTTATTCAACCCGCACGTTTATGAATTATGTTGGGGACCCGGTTGATGGTGATGATGAGCCAAATGTGGATGGTACCGATGCTACCCACCATGGTGTGTGCGTTCATTGAACATGTGAAACGTGGCTTGGGATTGTCCCAAAAAGTGTGGAGATGGGTCAAGTCATTGGTGCAGCCCCAAAAATGGGATTCTTACGATCAGAACCTGGCCGAGACACCGGAAAACCGTTGGCGCAGGTATTCTCACCACATTATACCATTGTTTTAGAGACTGACTGTGATCCTTGAAAGGATTCTTACTCTTGCCGTCGTTGTGAAAGTAAGTATCGCCATCTCCATCAGCTTTGTCATAATCATAATCACAATCATAATCATCGACATCAGCGTCATCATTATCACAATCACCATCACAACCATCTTCAGTCAGCTTCACGATCATCATTGAGAAGCTTGTGCGTTCAGCAAGACTGAAACTATCCACTACCACCAGGACACAAGCGATGGTAAAAAAGTATCATTCTCACCAAAGGTCGAGATCGACAATGATGATAAAAACGACTTCTCATCCGGGAGGGAAAAATAAGTTCTAATGTATAACCGCCACCACACCATGGCAAATCATTGAATAATCAATAAACAACAACCATTGGCTGGGTAGTATGCAGGCACATAGTCACACTCATGGCATAAAGATTGACTATCAAAAATACCTGCACTCGCTATGTTCCTAAACAATTTGGTTGTTTGGGCAGCTCCTTCTGAGACATCCTCCTCGGAGCTTTCATCCTGCGCGGGAAAAATGATAATGCAGCGGCATCCACGTACCTTCTTAATTAACCGATTTGGGAGCATCTCCAGAAATCTGACCTCGATAGATAGTAACTGCAACATATATCAACCTCCCAAAAAAAATAATCAACCGCGACTCATCAATCACCATTACCATTACCATTACCATTACCATTGCCAGCACCAGCACCAGCGCCAGCAGCAAGAGCAGAAAGAGCAGAAAGAGCAGCAAGAGCAGCAGCAGCATCATCATCATCATGATCATCATGATCATCGTGATCATCATGATCATCGTCATCGTCCTCCTCCTCATCATCACCATCACCATCACCATCACCATCATCATCATCATCCTCATCCTCCTCCTCCTCCTCATCATCCTCCTCCTCCTCATCATCATCATCATCAACATCATCATAATCGTCATCATCATCATCATCATCGTCATCATCATCATCATCCTCCTCATCCTCATCATCATCCTCATCATCCTCATCCTCATGATCATGTTCATGTATTAAGAGTCATGAAACATGAGTAATGAATCGTCATCATTTTCTCCCTTCTAGGGACAGATAACGAAAGGAACATCTTTTTGAGACATCCGGTTTCAAGCAACACCTCCTAACACTGTGCTTTTCATCTTGATCCGGATCCAGGCCCAAGATATGCATGCGATTCTGCTTAAGCCCACTTCAGCTCTGCCTGGAAGTTGAGGATGCGGCAATCCAGGCCCAAGATCAGTGATTTGGGATCATCCGCCCATAGAGATGGAAAGTATTTGAAACTACCATCTGGTAATTTAACATAGCCACGGAAAATCACCATTTTTCATAGGTAAACCATCTATTCTATGGGCCATTTTCCATGGCTATGTTAAATAACCAGAGGGTATTCAACAAGATCAGAAAAATCAAAGTCATCCACCAACTCTGAAAAGATCCCATCATCCAACGCGATGGGGTCACCCAGCAAAGCCCCACCTCAACACCTCCCCGTTTGCGCGGCGTAATGCGTAGTCCCCCGCCGCTGGGGCCCTTGGAACGCTGGGGCCCGTTCTGGGTGAGGTTGGATCATGCTGGATGGAGGAACAGTTAAAGGATGGGATGTCAAAAGAAGTTACTGGTAGGTCACTAAACATTTTGATGTTTCAGTTGCAGTTCAAGGATTTTCAAGGAATATCAAGCATTGGTTGGGCAGGAAACAAATTCGGGTAGCGGGATATTCTCATGGTATACTTGCCCCATCATTGGGTAAAACTGTATCTTTGATACTACAAACAACTAAACATTTTGCCTGAGTCAAACATCTTGACACAAACCCAAACCGTGTCATTCGCTTGTCATCTCCCCATGCTTCATTCAGCGTCACCCCATGCTTTTGCTGGGTCGACACACCCATTGTAATTTCCAAATTTTGTTGAAGGGAAATACACATATGACATGTGAAACCGATATTGTTCACTGCCCCGTGTGGCGTTTGCATCACTAGTGTGTCTCTGTGGCAAAGCGTCGCTGCTCCGATAGGAATTCCCATTTTGCCAGGGTTCGGTTGGAAACGCCAATGGGGCAACACATTGCTGGTCCCGTCATATTCCATGTTTGCTGACGCTCTTCCCTTTTTTGCGACCCTCTTGTAATCAAATGTGGCACTGGGAAAGGCTAGTTCCATGAGGATATAGCCCGGCTGAGTGCTGGGAAAAATCTTACAGTCAACAGCGAGTATGATCCGAAATAAGATGGAAAACAACACAAAATCCCAACAACCAACCAGCCAAGTATAATCAATTTATGGATAATTACAGTGTATATAGTATATATATATACACACTGTATGTGTGTATATATATATATCATATGTATATATATATACATACACACTGTATATGGCTTATTCAGCACTTACCAATTGGGTCCTGTACCAAGTAGTATGATGCCAGTTTTCCTCACCAGCGACCCACCGCGATTCCCGCCCTGAGGCCCACCACCAGTGGTGGAGCCTCATCGGCACTCGCTTCGTCCACAACTTCTTCCGAAGCCTTCCCCGACACGCGTGGAAGATCTCCCCATATAAATCTACTATGGATATATCAATATAGTTGTAAAATATATATCTATACCACCTATATCAATACGTGTAATTATAGTACACATAGATACAAAATGATACAAATAGGGAATATTTTTCATATCTATCTATGTATCAAGCTCGCTCTCTCTCTATGAATATCATGTATAACGCGAAGGTTTGCCATGCATAGATCACAAACAACAAACACAGACTGAAAACTTGGAAGCGCAACATCATTTCATGACTTGGATCTGGGAAGGTTCTAGCTGGGCAGGTGAGTCTCCCATCGATGCGTGTCAATTGAGCACTGCTCAAAATCCTGTCGTCCTTACGTACTGGTTGCTGAAAAAGGAGCCTCATCATGGGCACAATCAATCATGATCAATCATGATCCAGTAAATTTTCAATCATGATCAATCATGGGAAATTGTTTCCCTTGTTTACTGGGGAAAATGGTGGTATCCTCCCAAATAAACCACCTGGGATACCACCATTCTTTCCAGTAAACAAGGGTCAACCGGGCACTGCTCAACTGAAATTATCATGATCATCCCAGATTTCTTGGGAGATAAACATCTGAAACCACCAGGCAGCTACAACTACAGTTGTAACTGTAATCTATTCACAGGAGAAATTGCAAACCCAGGAATCAGGCACTTTCCAAAAACATCCAAAAAAGCAAGCTGGATCCGTCCAAACGACTTGGATGACGCCCCACAGGGCCAGTATAATAGGGAACAAATGACAAACCAGCGGATTTGGGGTACTCTATTTTCAGAGGGCAAAGATGTGAAGATTTGGGATTTGCATCGGCTTGGGGTCGAGTATTTTGACTTTCGATCCTCAGCCAATCCAAAGACATAAGCAGGAGCTAAAACAATGAGATGGATGCACGAAGCATGCGGCTGCACATATCGGCTGTGGATGGCTGTGGCATGTTTGAAACGGAAATCAACTTCGGTTGCATAGAATCTGAGCTCCAACACTTGTCTTGAATGGCTTTGTTAGCCGGAGCTCGGAATGGAATGCCCAGCTTTCGGGGCCGTCATCACAAAACCAACCAAGCAGGACACTCATCAACTGGCTCACAAGCTTCAATACCCAAGAAGTTTCAAATAGTTCAGATTCCTCCATGTCCGCCGGTCCGCCCACCAGTGCCAAAACATGTCGCATTTTCACAACCAAAATGTTCACCTCACCTGACGCTGAAGACATCCCTTCCTCCCCCGAAATGGGCCACCTCCTCTTCCGCGCTGGATTTTTCGCCTGCCGTGTTCGATGCAGGGTCTGAACAGGATTATATTTCAGCAGCCCATCCTGATACATGGGGATAGAACATGCAAACCATGTAAGAACATATTTGGAATTGAAATGGATTGAATTCCTAACATGATCAATCTATATATATATATATCAATATGAGATAATGACCAGTCGCAAAAGGATGCACCAACAAACCATCAAAACACCAGTGGCTCAGTCGCGCAAAGGGGTCCCCCCAAAACAGGGTGGCGAATGTCTCGATATGGGGAGCCATTTGGGTGACCTAATGATTGGATGACTAGAGTAATACAAACATTTCACAAACTCTGCGTTTTGTTGGGGTTACCCTCTGGGATTCAGACTTGGCAATGGAAAATCTCCCATTTATCATCATTTATACTGGATTTTCCCAAAAAAACCTCCATTTATAGTGGATTTCCAATTATCATGTTTGATTACCGGAAGGTAAGATTCTCACGCAGACCAAGTCGCATGTGGACAAGACGAGATTCATCATGCCAGGAACCCTCGAAAAGGTAAAGGAAAAAGATCTCAGCGCGTCCGCTTTGATCAGAAGGCTTGTTAAAAACAGAGTTTGACCAATCCTTGCCCTGCAGACATCGCAGTGGAGTGTACAAGTAAACGGCCCCAAGCCGCTGCCCAGGAAAACTTCTCATTGCCCCTCTTCGCGACCCTTCTGAGGGGTTCATGTTGCTCTCTCCCTTCGCCGCCTGCTTCGTCTTTTGGGCCACGTGTTCAGTCCCGGGGCGACAATTGCCCCTCGACAAGAAGCAATTCCCATGTAATGATCAGAGGGCCAGTAGCTGGACCCATTGGGCTGAAACAACTGCCACAGGTGGACAAACCGAACCTGTTTTAAGTGATAAGATCATGAATTCATCTACCAATAGATAGTAGTTCGCAAAATCCAACTCCGTTGTTGAGATGAGTTAGTCTAATTACCACCCAAGCCTCAAGCACTAGATTACTGGAAGCAACCTATGATGGGTGCACATCCTTCATTGACCCATCAATGGGTAGCCCCCACACAAATTAATGGTTTGGGTAATATACTTACCCATATCCCCATCGCTTCTTGTATCTGCACTTGTTGATCCAATGCTCCATTTGTATCCATTTGTTATGGGAGAACCCTGTTAGGGGACTTGTTAACCAGTGGTGCTATCTGGTTGCTAAGTGGAATGATCCTCCAAGTAATCTCCATGCGTCTTTGATACTCCATTTCTGACCTTTTGTTCCATATCAAACCTTTTGTTCCATACCAAACAAGATCTTTTTTTGCCATGCTTTAACAGTTTCTATCCTGTGTTGGTTTGCTTAAACCTCTACTTCCTTGGATTTTCTGGAGATATTTCCTATACATATTCCTGCATATCATTTACCCATCTGGTCTTGTCTGAACGGAGGGTACCCTTAAATCCATCGCTTCATCATCATTTTCCGCTACTAAAGTAATTAACCACGTTGGGGTTTACACTTACACCATTGTCAGACACGCCCAGCTAGCATATTATTGTTGGTAATATAGATGTATATGGATGTATATAGCTGTATGTAAATATATCATTATACGCCGCCATCTATCTCCAATATTACTGATTTTACACCCACTAGATAATAATATGCTGAAGTCAGTTGAACCCACTGGATGTACCCTAGCCGCGAATGTCGAAATGGATCAGCCTGGCTGCTGGACTTTGCCTGATGACTTTGGCCGAGGTGAAGCTTGGGTTCAGACCCCTTGAAATGACTGGGCTCACACAGGACGTACATATTCATGATTGATTGATACGTGTATATATAGATATATAACATTATAAAACTATGTATATAAAACTAACTCACTAAATATATATATATATATATTACATTATATTACACACATTATACATTGGTTCATAGATGTGTCATTTTTTCGAACATAGTAATTTAAAAATTCAATCTTGGATATATGGATTAAACATGAATCCCGCTAAATGCACGAACAAACATATGAACACATACTGGTTGATGGTTTCAACCCCTCTGAAAAATATGAAAGTCAGTTGGGATGATGACATTCCCAATATATGGGAAAATAAAAGCCATGTTCCAAACCACCAACCAGAATATGTACTGTATATGAGAACGCTTAGCAAGTGAAAAAACACGATGATACACGATGGAGGGAGGTTGAGCCACCCGAAAATCAATGGGGATGCCACACATGGAATGGCCGATCCACCCATCCCATGACTATTCAGAAGGTTTTGTGCTGTTTGAGGGGTCACAATGGATGGAGTTGGACCGAAAACAACAGTAAATATGTATACATATGTATATATATATATATATAATTATATATATATACAGTATTATACACCTGATTAAAGATGATTGTATGTATTATATGTATATAATTGTATATAGTATTTACATATGCACTTGATATTTCTGGTCTTACACGTACTTCACTTGGTGAAGTCACCAGTGATAATGATTTCATGAAGATCGCCGCAACCCCGCTGTGTGGCAAATGGCACTGTGATAATTAACATCAAGATAAACATTTTTTTATTTTCGCTAGGAATTTCGAATTTTCAGATATGCCCAACATTTTTTTTTTTTTGGGGGGTGAAAATGAGAAATCCCCAGACTGCCGCGCTGGTGCCCAATCTGTTTCCCAGGTCCCTACCATGCCTTCAGCCAGTGCTCGAAGATTCGGATCGACCTCTGAGGTGCCGTGGCCCGGTGGACTTGAGGCATCAATCTACGATGTACATCATGCACATCATATGATGTACCTAATTGTCACAGATTACATATATATATATTATATTAATATAATATATATATACTGTATATATATATATATGGAGTATGCTTGTAATCTTTATGTATCAATGTGTAGGTATCAATCTATGATTTACAATGGATTGCGGTTCATGTACATAATATGGGGCATATATACATATATATATATATATACATATTATGTACATATGCATACAAGTTAGAAGAGTTGCTTTAGTTGATTTGATTTGACTTAATATTCAAAAACAAAACAACACATGTCAATAAGTACGTGCCTAGATGTTCACAGTATATACCACATAAACACACATACACACTATTGTACACATATCAACTAGTCTAGTGCCGGCCCACTGCTACCAAATATGGGATGTCATCAATGTATCAAACCTCGCTGGGGATACCACAAGAGGATGACCAACAAAAACGGTCATTTTCAAGCCACATCTACATGGCTAACCCTGGATATCTACAAACCACAGAATTTTTGACAGATTTTCATGCGGATGTGGGTCAAAATGGAAAACCTAGGGGACCACAGCTGTTAGTCTAATTTAGTATTAACAATCCAATTATTGGGGTACCTAATTTTGACCCATACCCATGTGGTGAAGCCAAGAAACAAAACTTACTCCCCCAGGGATGGTTCACAGCACCCATAAAGATGGTGATTTTGTGGGGTCTTTTGAGTTGACCATGGCCCATCTTAGTGGCTTACAAGCTGGCAGTGTGTCAAAACCCATGGAATCCCCTTCGGTGAACATCAAAATAGCTGGGATTTATGGATGTAAATGGATGTTCATCCCCCTAAAAATGTTATTTATGTAGGTATTGATCCATACCCAGCTTTTGAAACCTATGATCTCCATTGATCTCCAAGTTTCAACAGGTTCTTTTACACTTAGAAAAAAATACCAAGAGCCTTCAGTCGCACCAAATCCATCCGGCGACGGGGATTCACTGGATTATGATCATCCACAATATATTGGGTACTAAAACTCCCTATCATAACCAATCAGCTACCCTCTAGTGAACTAACATAGCAATGGAAAATCACAATTTTTCATGGGAAAATCCACTATAAATGGCCATTTTCCATTGCTATGTCAGTTCACCAGAGGGTATCATTTACCAATTGTATCCCCATATTTTGTATTGCTCAACCAAAAATACTATACCAATCAGCAATTGAACAGAAGCAAAAAGGAACATCTATAGACTATTTACCCACTAAAATTGTCATTTTGCAAAGCTGCGTTGAATTACCATGGGGTTCATCGTGCTTATATAATCGTCCTCCTATTATAACCCAGCAACCACCATTCATCAATTATATCACGGCATTTGCATACATTTTCGATGGTAAACAAATACAAATGACAGTTAAATCCCCATTGCTTCAGTTATATACATCCCCAATGTTTCTTTAGACTTTAGCCTTCGAAAAGTTATATAAATGATGGTTCAATGAAAGTTCTTGGCTCTGCTTTTCAACTGGCACAACCCATTCTTCGACAAGGCGTCGAGCACAAGCACCTGAGCTGCCTTAAATGAAGCGATGCTGCAGACGGGAGGCAAGGACTTCAGGGTCTGCATGTCCAAGGAGCTTTCAAGGAGGGAAGAGCCTCAAAAAACTGTACCACGCTTGACGATATGCTTTGCATGTCAAGGCAAAGCCCGTGGACCTTCAGTGGCCCCTTGATATTGTCAATTTGGCAGCGAAGCAAAGCAAATCTCCGACTACCATCTGTGAACCTCAGAGCGGTGTTCACCAATCCCCTTCATATCCTATTTACTATCGATATGCCTATTCTATTCCCAGCTATTCCCATTGTACCACTATTTTTGTTAGTTATTGTAAATCCGTTTTCATAACCCATCAACAAGGCTTTATATTCATTATTATGCATTTATCAATTGTATCCCCGAACGTTCGAAGGTTAAAATATGTTAAAACAGTTCTAAAACCAAAATCAATGGTGGCTAAATCCCCCTTATATTCCATTTAAGATTCCATTAATACCTGATATCCCTATTATATCCTCATTATACCACCGTTTTTGTTGGTTAAATCCCATTTCAAAACCCATCCACCAACCGTTTTCCAACCACTTCTTCTCAGGGCCTCTTGGTCACTCCTTTCCAGCAACTGAATCAAGTCGCGACTCAGAGGAGCCAAATTCCTCCCAAAAAAACATGGTGGGGAACAAAATCCAGGGGTAAAAAACCGGTCAAAAAATGGGATATAACCAAAAAGAACATGGATTTAGGCAGTAAAAAAAAGGATAATGAATCAACAATGCAAACGCCGGATTCACGATGATTCAACCAATTAGAGCAGGAAACAAAGGGTGCATTCACCATGAAAAACTACGGATTCAAGCGATTTGGGTTTGATCTTGACATCTGGCGGTTGAGCCACTAAAGCAGAAATAGGATGTCGCTCAAGTCGTTGGGGTTAGTATGAAATGGACCCGCAATTTGCAAGTTACGTCTTTACCTCAAATTTGCTTAGGATGGTCCCCCAAAACAAAACATATTCCCTTTTTTGCTTCCCCAGTCATGGTGGGTTTACCACTGGGAAAAAACCATCATCAGCAAATCTGGGTGATTGAGCCATCCCAGAACTGGTGGCTTGGGCGGGTTCTTGGACTCGTTCCCTTCGTTGGGGATCGTCATCTCATTTGTTGGAGAAGAGTAAATCGAACAATGTTAAAACACCACGCAGAGCCACGCAGGTGTTAGTATACCCATTAGTTCCTCATTCTAACCCATTACTATATTATAGCTTTCCCATTAATCATGATATCCCCATGATAATTATCTGGGAGGTTGTTTGTTCAGTGGCTGTCTCCCTACACCTCGTTGTTTGTTCAGCCGGCAGGACCCTTGTCACAGTGATTCTTCTAGGGTCAGAATAGAAGCCCCGAAAAGGAACCCGGACTCCGGAAACGTTTGGATTCGGAACATGATTTTGGGTACCTGAAAATTGGCCAAAAACATTGACTTTGCTCGAAAACATGTTTTGAGTCAACGATTTTTAACCCAAACTTCACTGTGTCTAGGCATGGATCAAAGTTCACAGCCGGCTTACCTGGTAAAGAAGGAGTAAGCGGTCCCGGCCCTGGAGTGTGGTGGGAAACTTGGGTACCAAGGAGAAGGGATGACGGGGTTCTCTTTGGTGCTTGCACGATGTTCCATAAGTTTTGACAGAAAATCAGGATCAAACTCCGCAAAATTTTGCGCCCTCAAACACATCGGATGTAGCCAATAAAACTAATGAATACAGATGAATACAGTATACAAGCATGCTAAAGCACATACTAGATGTAAGCGGATATAAATGCAACCCCAAGATCAAATTAAACCAGCCTAGATGAGACCCCCAGATTTGTCGCATTTCACCAGAGTTTCCACTCACTTCTGGATGAGCCGCCGAATAACACTAGGACAGTCCCACGCGCATTGACTGGAAAGAAGGGTAGATGATTCGCAGCAATCACAGTTAATGAATATTAACCGGAACTGCACCCCCAAGTATGATGGAAGGCTCATTTGATGCACACATTTTATCATCTCATTTTTTGTTATTTACAGCTAGGTTTGGATAGGGCTACTAAGTCGGATGGACATCTCCGGCACCTCTCATCCTTTCGATCAGCAAGGATTCTCAGAGACTTTCTACGTGGAACAGGATGAACAGTATACGAGTCCTCAAACAAATAAAGACAATTTCCATCTGCAGGTAATGTTCAGTTTGCATATTGGACTTACCTAGATATCTCATATCGATATCTACTGCAGCATTTAACATAGTATTTCCAGGCCAAGGTCATTCATCAATTTTGGGCCATAGGATTTCTACCGATCGATCTTGGGAACTGGGTTCCCACACTCTCCGTCGCGGCCGGTTCGACCAATGCGATGGCAATATTGCCTAAGCCCCGGAGCCCAGCAGTCGAGTTGGACATCAGACAATGGCTGCAACGTGCTGCAACAGACATGGGAAAGCATGGGGAAATAGTACTATGTATAAAAGGCATTAAAAGGCAACACATCAACAGAAATAGCTAAGGTGGGAAAGGTGGGACTGTGGCCATAGCCCACCATTAACAAAGAAAGATGCGGAAGCTCTCACCAAGCCACTCGAGATTCGATGGGAAGTCGTAATTCACCACGTAACGCCTGGGAGGTCCAACGCAGGGGACCGCACCAGTTGCCCGTGAAATGGCCATAAATGATCTTTCAACACCTAGGATTTCGACCTCTTCATATGATGATCTTGCCGGGTTGGTGAACCTCGTGGAATAGTACTATGTTAAAATGTTCCCCTCTCAGAAACATTCAACATGAAACAATGTTCACCATGCTTCACACCTAAATTGGTGCTATCTCAAGCTGAGGCTGCCATTGATTCCAGTCATGTCCAACTCACAAAAGGTGTCACATGTATATCATTGATTATCATTGCGGACACCGGGCACCCCTTAAATACCTTCAAGAGTGGAACGTATTGGATAAAGATTCATTTTGGGCTCCCATAAATATCATAAATAAAGCGGAGCTTATGATCACGGATGGGATAACTGGGATAACTCATAAGTCTTCCACCCTGAGGCAGATCCTTGCCAAATCCACATCCTTGGTGGCTGAATCAGTAGTATTGTTGGGTAAACATCTTCAACCCAGGATCGGATGGGATTCTCCAGTGACTATTCCAATATAGATATTATCATTTGTCAACCCATCCCCATTGTTTCCCATCATCCTAAATGGCTTGGAGCAACAAAAACCATCATCAAATGGTATTGCGATTTTCACATTTTTTTTCCCTAAACCGGATCAAACATTGATAAGTCAGACAAGTCAAGCCAGGGCTCGGTCTCAAAGCATCATGCCACTTACCCTGCTTCGTGGCTTGTCCATGTTTATCTCCAACTCAGGTTCCTGAAATTCCCATTGAATAAATGGCTATGATGAACTATGATGATTAGCAGTTGTTGACTCACTGGATCCTTCTGAATAGTTGGTTACATCCCATGAAATCCCATCGAACATCATTAAATATGGTTAATATAATGTTAATATGTTATGGTTATAAATATGGTTAAATATGGTTAATCCCATTAAATATGGTTAAATATGGTTATTAACGTATATATCAACATATTAACTAACCCCCTAAGAAATCCGTCCTGCGCGTTCCCTCAAGAATCTTCCCCCGGATGATCCTCCAACATTGGTGCCGTTCAAGGGACAAATGCTTTACATGAAGACCACGCGCGGCCACATCTGTGGCCACAAGGACTTGCATCTGTCCCGCCTCAAAACAGGGGAACCTATGGGGATATGGTCGAAAATCATGAGCAAATATATGCATCATTCATCATGTTGCATAATGGTGAAAATAATCATGACGCAAGCATCAAAATCGGGACATTTAAGCATCAGAATATGCGAGAAACCATGGACAAATCAATGAGGATATGATGAAACATCTTTGGAACTCCTTAACACAATGGTGATTGAATCAATTGTCAATTGGGGAATTTGATCATCAAATATGGATTTTAACCACCAAATGTGGGTTTTAACCATCAACTAATGATTGGATACAATAGGAGCACCGGGAAACAACATGGCAACTACGTGAAAATCAAGGGAATCTGATGGGGATAGACATGTGATAGGATAAACAAGCAGCCATCCTGGATGAATCATGGATGAACCTGGGGGTTGATCTAGGGATTCTAATTGGACAAGTTCCAAAATAATATGGGGATTAGAGACATCCAAATAATTGCTACATAATTATGTAAATTGCCAGTTCATGGATAATAACCACCAGAAAATTAATATAGGCCCTGCAATTCATTGGGGCTGGAAGATGAGTGATACCACTAAAACTTGGTTATTTTCTGGGTCGAACTGCTAATTTACTAGAGAGTAAGATTAGAAATGGGGGGCCTTGAAACTCTTGAAGTTGGCTTGAGATGCCCACTTACCTATTTGCTAAGGGGATAGCTGAGATGCTATAAATATCAGATACTTGATGATACCTACTTGGAAGTGCAGTTCCCGTTATAATGGATAGATTTCACCAGAGGTTAAAGGGTTCTATCCCAAATTATTGGGATTATTCAGGGTTTAAGCTTAATTTCTCATGGTTATAGCCGTAAAAGTAACCTCAGCTGCACCCCGAAGTATGCTGAGGTGATCAAATTCGTAGCTGCGTGGGGTACCCATTTACCTGTCGAAATCAGGAGACCGATCCTTACTTCTGCCTGCATCTTAGGCAATAGAATCTTGGTAACAATGAACGGGTCCTCATTTTGGAAAAGATGGACTAACCTTAGTGATGTATAAATATGCATGCATGCATGCATGCATGCATGCATGCATATATATATTATATGGCCTATCTGTGTACAGAACATATGTGTATATATATGTATATATATGTATGTAACATTAGATAACCTTCCAAGAAGTCTGGTCTATACATACATATATAATATCATATGTATGAACCAGAGTTCTGTGATGGTTATCCCTGTGGATGTATCAATGACCAGCAGCGGATAAATACTATCATATATCTGGGTAAATTAAAATAATTCACTAACCTGAAATAAGGCAATTTTGTTTTGATTCCTCTTACTAACCATGATTCCAGTGAGGTAGCAGTGAGGTCGTTATAATTTACCGTAGAAATCCTCAGATTTGGATGATATATATTGATATATGATGAGATAATATCTCATCATATATCATCCAAACCTGAGGATTTATACCCACTTGGAGCGTATATAGATGTATATAGCCTACCAAAAAATCAAGGGGATCATCAGAAATGATGGGTTCATGGCTTGGGTAACCCATGCGATTTTCCGAGATTCCGAGATCTACACCCCCAAATCCATCTTCTCCAAGCCATCTTTTGGGTTCCACTCTGGAAATGATCTGAATCCCTTTCCAGGGGTTGATGATCCAGGCAACCATCAACTGAGGGTCCCATGATCTCCCATGTCTCATGGCTCCGTACAGCCGCGCCTTGAACATGTTCAAGGCATTCTCTCGCTTCGCCTGTGGCTGTTGGTCTCAATGGGCTTTAATGGTTTCCCCGGTTGGGCCCATTTTGTCGTGTCGTGGACCCAGGGGTGTGTATCAAATTCGGAATGTCAGATCCAGCTCTTCCTTTCACTTGACATATTCAAGCTCAGACTATATCCAAAGTCACTAAAAGAAACATACATATTTGAAATATCTTGGTTTCTGATTTTTCAGTAACTATCCAAGCCTTTTCACTTTTCCTGGCTGCAAACATCCACGTATTTTTCACACCAGTAAGCCACTGGACTCTCAACAGCATTGTTGGTCCCAGATCCGCGTCCCAACTATGGGTTTGTCCAAAAACCAATGGACACGTCTCATTTTTGTCCTACAGGATGGTGCCCCCCAGTTATAAGTTGGTTTATAAACCCCATTAACTATAGTTATATCTACCATAAACCATAGTTATTGGACTTACTAACCAACTTAGCTAACTATGGGGCACCACCTTGTATGCTTTGTCATAATTTTCTCGTTTTCCATTTTATAAATTTACCATCGATGAATTGTAAATTTTTTTTGACCATTTACCACGATGTATCACCATTTGCACTCATTTACCAACATTTTGTTATCACTTGTCACTTATACTCACTTGTCATCATCACTTATTCCCATCATTTTCTCCGTTTCAAAAACCTTGGGGCCTTCCAGCCGCGCTTTGAAAAGTGCCTGAGGGATGCCGGAGTGTAGGGCCTCGCAGTGGTGCTTGTGTTTGCCTCAGCACCAAAGGAAAATAGGGGATTTCAACAGCAGAAAAAACACCTGCTTTGTTTCTCCGCAAGAAAAATGACACTATTCCTCGCAAATTGATAATCCATATGAACTCAATAAGGGTTTTTTTGGTTGGGAGGGCGTACTTGATTTTTAGGGTGATGGGATTACCAACATGGGATCCTCCGAAGGCCTTCATGACCTGAGACCGACGGTCTCGACATGTCTCGACCGTCCACCTGAATGGATCATAGCTATCCCCGATTTCCAGTAGGATATCATGGTGATGAGTTTATGGTGATTAATGGTGATTAATGGTGATTTATGATGCTTAATGATGGTTAATGATGGTTAATGATGATCAAAGTCAGTACCCTCTGGTAAACTGTCCCAAACAACTATGGAACATCACCATTTCTTATGGGACAATCCACTATTTCGAATGGGCCATTAGCAAACTGTTAGTTTACCAGAGGGTATGTACTTCATCTGGAAAAAGTCGGCCATGAAAGTCAACTATTCACTGAGTTTTACCCAGATTGACCCCGTGCTACTTACAAATCGGGCCCGAGAAATTCCAAACACTATCGCGAAATAGTAGATATTACCGGATCATGCCCTTTCGATCCTTGGGAGGTAAAAGGTGCGCTGCAGTCACTAGGATGGAATGTGGGCCCTTTGTGGGACGATTCCCACGAATGAAACACGAGTATTGTGGCCAATGACTCATGCTAGTTTCTTCCAACTCGCTCATATTTAACGAACTCATTGGAGTGTTTCTCGTATGAGTGTTTCTCGTATATGCGTATACACATATTATGTATTTATATATATATACAGCGGAGAAAATTATTTGCTAAATTTAATGCAATGCACAAATTAGGGTCGTCCCCTACAGTATCGGTTGTGAGGATTTCAGTACTCCCGGAGGTATCACACATGGGGTATCGGTATAGGGTCGTCCCCTATCGGTTATGAAGGTTTTGTGCAGCCTCAGAAAGGCCAAGGCGAAGCAAAACTAAATTGGTATTACAATAATCTTGTCGGTTACTCATATTATATATATATAATATATATATATATATATAATATATATATATATATCAATTAATTTACTTTCATATAAGGAGATAAATCCAATTTTAAACACAATCCCCAATATTTTCATGGGTGGTAAAAACCATCCCCAAATCGTAGCTTGGCATTGGTTCTGGGTTTGCCCCACATGACATCGATGATTTACGTACTCACTGGGGATCTTCCAGTTCGTTTTCCACTTCGCAGTATGTGAGTGAAAACTGGAGGCCACGGACGTAGAAATCCGCTGACCGATTTCAGGGTCTGGATCTTGTTGCCTCGGGCCGCAACATTTCTCCGGGTTCCGGGGATCCAATGGCCACTGAAACCACTGAAAAACATGCTTTGAAACTCAATGTCATAGATAAAAGATGATAAAAACTTCCAATTTTGGATGGAGTTGAAAGGACAGACATGGATCAACATGGTGAAATTCGATGTTGATGAACATGGGCGACGACTCGAGGCTGCGAATGACAGCAACTCGGCAAATGGGATTCAGGTTGGAGAACTAGGGGTTTACCTTGCATGATTTTCATGCAGACCTTGCACGCACTTGGATATTATGTGCGCATATATAGATATTTACATCTATATCTATGTACAAGCGGCTTGTTGCGGTCAATATTGAAGGCATTTGGTTCTGTCTGAAAATGGGGCATGCCACCCAAACTATTTGGCTAGTTTAATGGTGAAAATGATGATAACCATTGATAAACCATCAATTTTAGATGGTTTCCCATAACTTTCCATAACTTTTGATTGTCTTACAGTGGTTTTTCCATCACTTTGGATCGATTTCCCAATGGTCTCCCACCATTTTCCACCATTTCTCATCACTTCCAGGATCCAGATGATATCAAGCTGCAAAAAATGATGACCAAGGCCCTCTGCCTTACCTCGGAAGGCGCGCGTTTGAAAAACCCAGATGGCTGCAGATGGGCTGGTGATATTTTGAGGGAAAACATCCTTAACTACCGGCCCATAAAACATAAAATACCTGCGAATTCACTCAGTGACTGACCTGATTTTGAGGTCCTAGAAGATAGTAGAAATGAATGGCATGTATGGTATATGCAATGTGGTACACCCCGCCCCCATCCCAGTAACCATCCCAGTGTCTTTTTCTTTTCATCATCCCAAGAGAGGTACCCAATTTCAGAAACCTCAATCGGGATGACTTAGTTATTGGGTTTGCATCATTCATCAAAAAAATGGGTAATAGATAAACTAATACTTAACTCCAAACAGCATCTCTGATTTTCGGTTAACATGGTGAACTCCGAAGCATAATTCAGCATACCCTCTGGTAAACCAACGTAACCATGGAAAATCACCATGCTATTAATGGGTAAACCCACTATTTCTATGGCCATGTTCAATAGTTTTTCGTATGTTTACGACGAAATGATTCACGACGAAATTGGATGCTTCACCTTGAGCAACCCGCCCACAGCTGTTGAGTGAGGCACCCCTTCTTCCTTCTCCTGCGGTCGCTCTTTTGCACGGCAATTTAAGTGACTCATCTCCCCACAGTATGGGTCGAAATATAAGTCATATATAGGTATATATATATATGTATGTATAAGACTTTCCCACAAGTATAAATTATCAGGCTTCAAAAATATCAGTTCCATGAAAATATCCTAGGCAGTATTGCAATGAATGGTTCCCCCAATTACTTCGGGTAGCGAACACCCCTCAGTGTTGGGTACTTGATTTTGGCATTGGATCCTTTTGAACTATTTGAAAATCCCAAGCTTTCTCCTCCTAACCGGTTGGTGGATTTTGGGGCCGCCAACATTATTGGGAACCCAAATCCAGGAGTTTCAGAATCTTTCAATTTTCACCGACTCTTGGCAATGGACAATTGACATACACTGAAACGGATCAATCATGGATCGCTTTTTCTATCTGGGTAAATAACGATATCCAGTGGTGATTTCACATAGCTATAGAACCCAACCATTTTTAATAGCTATATCATCATAAATCATCTATAGATGGGTCATTTTCGCCATGTTAAATTGCCAGAGACTCATTCAATAGGGATGCATCCCGACTGGATTCCCCAACAACGCCAATATCAGTGGAACCAACTAACTAGCCATTTTTTTGGGGGGAAGGGGTCTGCTTGTGGGGCGCAGGAAAATAAGGTGCCTTATTGTTTTTACAGTATATAATCTTATATATATATATATATGATTAATTAGGTGCTCCAATGGCTATATCATGCTTTGTTCAGTGCCGTAAATTCTCACATCATATCCACATATTTTTATTGGTTGCTAACCATACGAAACATATGTCTAATAGTTATATATATATAATAATATAATATAATATAATATATTATAATATAATATAATATAATATAGTATAGTATAATATAATATATATATATAAAATATAATATAATATAATATAATATAGTATAATATAATATATATATATATAATATAATATAATATAATAAAATAACAAATGATATGATATGATATGATATAATATTATATTATATCATATTTATATCATATAATATATATACTATATATATAATATAATCTAGATAATATATGTATATATATATATATTTGTGGCTTGCGGTTCTATGCAGATGTTTCTCGATGATCTCGCTGTATCCTTGCTGTCCTTGGGCAATTCTTTGTCCCGGCCTTCTGCCGGATCTTGTCCATAAACCGCGCCAGCTTGCGAAACCTCAGGTCGTCGATGATCCCGAGAACGGGGCCAGGTAGACCAGGGTTCTGGACCTCTGGAGCCCAGTGAAATGTGAGGTGGTGCACCCAAGATAGCTAAGTTGGTGCAAAGAACTCCAATAACTATGGTTTTTAGGTGATACATCTAGAGTTAATGGGTTTATAACCCATTTATAACTAGGTGGCAGCACATATAGGCAAGCAAGGTTAGTCCAGGTTAATGATAGAAAAGTGGGTGGTCTACCAACGTGAATTAACTGGACTAACCTTAGTTACCCTACTTATAACATATTATAACTGATAACTGGGGGGTTCCCCCTCTTACTAACTGTGGTGAACCACCACACATCAAATCGTAGCGAATCACTTTCAATTTTTATGAACCCTGGTAGGGTGTATACCGCTTCATTTCTTGGATTTGCGCCGCATTTTGTGTACACGTTTCTTTTGATTTGGGGTCAAAACAAAAAGAACAGTTGATTTGCTACTAGAACATGACTAATCTATACTAATCCATCGGTATTTTCCTGGGCTTCAAAACTTGCCGCATGCCCCCCTTTTGTTTGGCTTATGTATTTTTCCCACCCCCAGGAGCTGAGGAGCTGCGGAGCTGGTCGAAGTTGCGATATCACGGCTGTTGCTCCATTCACAAAAGTGCCACAGAAATGAAGCATTTTCATCCTTTTTATCATCTGTATTCATGTTAATTCCAGTCCTTCGACTTATATATAAACAACATTAAACAACTACACTACAGTAACTGTAAATTTTGCTTGTATATACGTACTTCCCCCCCCACGCCCCGCCCTCCATTTTTTTGCTGCCTTCCAGGCGTATAGTAACCCCCAAATGATCTGCTTTTCAGAAAAATATAAGGGCTAGCTTCGTATATCATTTCTTATCATTTGCCCATTGGTCGTTCAATGTGGGTTACCCTCTCTATAATAGATCCAAATAGTGGGAAAAGGATATCCACAACCAAACTTAGATACACTGGAAAAAAAAAACATGTAGCTTCTTAAGACATCCCCACCTAAGTGGTCAATTTTCAAGTAGACATCCAACTGGTTGAGCCCCGCCCTGCTGAGTTTCTGGACTTCTTGTGCTCCGCACAGACATGCACCATCTGCGTAATGTTCTTGCTGACCGTGAGCGTGGACCCCGTGGACCCCGTGGACGCCTCTGGAAGCGACCTGGTTGCGACAAAACCCACCATTTGAAGAGATCGTTTCCGTAGACCTGGGGAATTGACCCGGCCTGGTAAACGTTTACAAAAAACTATGGAAAGATCCACCATTTTTCAATGGGAAAACTCACTATTTCGACTGGGCCATGGCTTCAATAGCTACGTAAGAAATTACCAGAGGGTAAGCATCGAACATGGGGATCCAACCATGAAAAACCACTGAATTTCACCGGGGTGTCACGGCAAAGCATAGCGTCATAGAATGGGAACTCAGGGAACTCATATTACGTATTGTCGCGCGTGATCCGCATTGTAATCCACATGTCAGAAATGCAAAACATTCCAGTGTGGCTGGTGGTTTTAACCATCTTGAAAAATATTTGTCAATGGGAAGAATTATCCCATATATTATGGAATAACAATGTTTGAAACCACCAACCAGCAGTTCATCTTCAGGGGTCATTCACAATGGATTGCTGGCGCGAAACTGCGCTCCCTCGCTGGGTCCATGGCTTGGATAAGGTGCCGGTGCCCACGTCATCTGGTCGTGATGAACCCCAATTGGGGATGGTTCATGGCATTGGGTTTACCTCATCGATATCGTAACCCACAAAGTATGTAGATAATTGGTGTATACACGTGAAGTACCCATTGGATATCACTTAAAAGCCTGGATGCTTGCAAGATATATATAGATAACTCATAATAATTCATATCATAGTGCTGGACAAAATACAGGTCCGTTGTTTTTTGCAGCAAAACAAAACATTTGTGGTTGTGCAGAAATGTGGGGGTCTCATTCCCGTGTTATGGTACATTAGTACTCATTAGCACTCATGTGCCAAGCGCAGGAATAATGTGCAGCCAACAGAAATTGGAATACACTCAGTGTTTCACTGTTTTGTTTGACCAAAAAAAATCCTTGGCATTCCTTGATTGGAGGGTCATAGATTTACCATAGATTTACCATAGATTTACCATCCCACTTACTAACTGGTTACTCACCCTGATTACCAAGTCCCCCGGAGGATCCCATCACAACCCTTGGTCACTTGGTCACTTGGACGACCTTGGGGATCACAGGTATACGGATGAAACAACACTATGATTGAACTATGTCTGACTAAATTATGTATCATTAACTGTTGTTTCATCCGTATAGTTTATAAATTATGTATCATTATTAACACTATCATTGACTATCATTAAATTCAACACTAAATTATGTATCATTAACCTGAAGAATCATATACTGTTGAATATGATCAACACATGTATAGAACATATATGTTTCGATTCACTTATGACTTATGTCTGACCAAATTAATTGCATATTATCAACTATATGATAAAATATGATCAACATATGTCTGATTCAAGTATGTTTGGTGAAATGAATTATGTTTCGATATGATTGAATATGATCAACTTATACATGAATGACTATGATCAACACATACCAGTATCTGATTCAATTACGTCTGATTAAATAAAGCTTGATCAGGTATGATAAATTATGGTCAGTACATACAGTGTGTATATGTATATAAATATGTAAATGTATATGTATATGTATATATATATAATGTATATATATATATGTATGTATATGTATATAATTTATGTATATATGTATGTATATATATATACACACATATGTATATATATATGTATGCATATATAGACATATATACATATATGTATATAAATATGTGCATATATGTTTGTATGTTTATACATAATTACGTATGATACCGTGTGACACATATATACGGCTCAGGCACCTTGCGGCACGCTGCCCACATCCACCGCGGCCACGCGAATCTCAGGGCGGTTTGTTTGAGCTCCCCGGGGATCCATGGGATATCAATGGAAGATTAAGATATTCATGGGACATGGGATGATAATTCATGAATTTTCAGTGGATAATTCATGATAATTCATGGATAATTCAATGATAAGTCATGATAATTCATGATTTTTTAATGAATAATTCATGATAATCAAGTTGAGTGGGATATGAATGGATATACCCTCTGTAGTAAAAGGTGTCAATGGAGGTTTCCATGGGGAAATCGTTTATAAAGACCTTAGAAAGTAGCACAAAATCCCCCAAACAAGCAAAAAGTCAGAGAAAATGGCTGGGAACTTCCATTTTTCAAGTCATGTTCTTATTTCATGGCTATTGACCCAATTTGAGTTATAAGCCCTCCTGTAAGGCAACATGGCAACAAGAATATTTTGAAGGTAGTGACTCGGTAGTGACCCGCAAAAACCAACTAAACTTTTTTGGGGGAATCAACCAACAATGGTGGTTGACCATTCAAGACAGGATCGATTTTCATCCCTTGAGTGACATATTGAGTGACATTTTCAATTGGTTTGAAGATCCTTTAATGGTGGTTTGTAGCAATTTCCATTAAAGGATCTTCAAAGCAATTGACCGATTTCTGGGGCACGACCTTTGTAGCTACCAGATTTATGTGATGATATGTGATGGTGATGTTCGCCAAGTTACCGAATTGGGGACCCAACAAACACTGGGCTTTTCGTTGTAAAGCCCATCAGGCCCATCATTGCATGGTTTCAGGGCCAAACAGCAAGAATAAAAAGAACTGGGGTGTCACCAAACAAAGTGATGATGTAGTGAATGAATGTGGGGAATTACTTACTAGTACTCGCATATTTTGGACAAAAACGACCTGGAATCTTGGACAGGACAAAGTACAGTCGCAGCCAAGTCAGAGCCCCCTTCTCCACGCCAAAGGTCACGGTGGTTGATAAGGGTAACATGTCATAACCCCTATCCACAAAGCCTCACTTGGAAACTTCCATCTGGGTAAATATGGGTAAATGATCAGATGTCACTAACTTGAATAGTAAGGCCATAAAAGGGGATGATTTCCCTGAACCATGATCCATGGATCCAAGACCCAAACCACCGTTTTCTCAGGAAAAGTCATCCATCGGTCCGCTGCCTGGCGGACCACCGCCGGCAGGTCAGTAATTGCCCAGCTACCCTCTGGTTATGTCAAAATAGCTATTGAAAATGACCATTTATAGTGGATTTTCCCATTGAAAATGGTGATTTTCCATAGTTATGGGACAGTTTACCAGAGGGTATAATCTTTTTGCTTGGCAACATCATGACAGACTCTTGGCAGAAACTCCCAATATCTAATTATTTTACATAAATCTACACATTTCCCATTCTTCAATTTATAAACCAACAATTTTTGCTGACTATTTAGGACCTAAATATCCCAAATCCATGTGAATATCCCATCATCATCGTAGCCTGCCGAAGGCGTTCCGGGAAGGTGGCTGAGAAGAGCAAACACTGCCGATCGCGTCGCACAGCCTGGGGAAAAATGTCTCAACAACGAGAGCTTCACCATGGAAACATAGGGATTTTTCACCAAGAAGAATAAGCATTGAGCAATCAAAAACTGGGGTTTGTCAGTTTCACCACCAAAAATTGGGATGGTTCATGAGCAAAATAGATTTTTGAAAAGCATGGAATGGATTGGAATGGAATGCAGGGCATGCGGGCTAGTCGAACAAAACCATTTGGGTTGGTGTGCTACCCATTTACAGCCATTTACTGGATTTCACTGGTATGTCTACTAATACGGTGGTATGTTAGATGCAGTACTCAAGGGATTGAGGTACGAGTATATTGAGGTTGACTGAAGTACATCTTTTTTCTGCATGATTTGGTGGCCAGAGAATTGGACATACCAATCTTTTTGCATAAAACCACAACGTCTCTGGAAAGCAAGAGGGAACCTTTGAAGCACAGACATTTTTTATGTTCAAATGGGGATGGGGATGGGTCCACGACCGTACTCGCCCAAGCGGGCACTGGTCAACATCTTCGCTGCCGGGGGCTTCAACAGATAGCAGGCTTTGTTTAGTCCGGACGACTCTGCGACAGCTGTTCCCAGGTCACTGCCGCTGTTTGGAGATACTTGTCTCCCACATTTGCCTGTGACTGGATGCAACAATGATGATGCGGAATTACACTGAAGGACACTTTTGGTAGGAGTATGTCTAATGGATTCTAATGTTTCCTACATGTATGTGGCAAACACATCTGGATACGTCCAAGTGCAGATGCACCAAAGGTTCCAACTTCCCAACCTCGGTAGTAGGTGAGTAGACTCCCAGAAACTGTCAAGTGGTGACTTCGGGCGACTTCGGGCAGGGTGATGGAACGGAATGCAGATCTGCCCGTCGCTGAAAAGATACGTAGAACTGACTCGCTATTTTTGCATTTGCATTGCAATTGGGGTAATCTAAAATGAGATGCAGGAAGCGATTCTACCACATTGCTCTGAACAAACATTAAGTGACATGTTATCGTAGGACAGCTCGGACAGCACCCTCAAATCCCAAACAAAACCAGAGATCATTTAATGTCTATCAGTTTTCCGGAATTGTTCCATGTCAATTCCAAGTTAACACGACTACAATCATACCAGTGTGCATTTTACTGGTACTTGTACGAGTAGTTAGGCATTTTGATAGTCGGGTCATGTCCGGTACAGCCCTTTTGAAAAATGGAGATTGAACCCCCGAATGATGGCTAAGATGCACCCGGGGAAAAAAAAACGTGGTTGTTGGTGGTTAAGAAGCCCTTTATAAGTCCCAGCGTTGTTGGGGTTGGTTGAATATCCCATTATACCCAGCCCATCCCCACTATTTCTCCAGTTGAGTGGCCAATAACCATTTTGTGGCTTCATCCCCACCATCGTCTCCACTTCTATTCCATTCTTCCCTGAGGGATAAACAGAACAAAACACATCTCTTCCAACCACTCATGGCAGGCTTGATTTTAATTGAGGGATTGCAACTACTATATGGGGGTTTAACCTGAAATGGGGGTATGCCAATAGCTGGATGGTCTATTTCATGGAAAATCCAATCTATAAATGGATGATGACTGGGGGTACCCCTATAACTTAGGAAACCTCCTTGCTGGCGGACTGGCGCGCTGGCGCCTTCGCCACAGCATCCAGTTGTTCTTCGAAACCCAGCTGTAACATCCTGTCCGCCTGGCGAGGGTGGAGAGGGATTTTTCACACTGGACGTGAAATACCCCCAAAATGGGTGGTTTTTATATGGATTTAGATCTTTGCATATGTTTACTTTCTATTGAGCAAAATATATTAAAATATGTATAATTTAAATGTATAAGATTGTATAAGATTTCCAAAACGTGGATACAGTTGAAGGTTGGATGCTGATCAATAACCTTGGCCAACGGCGGATGCCAACAAATCAGAATTCATGGAATATCAAAGATCCTCCATTGATGGCTGAAACTAACTGATCACACCCACGTTTTCATAGGAACTGATGGAAGCACGTGGAACCAATATGGGACAGATTGCGGGCAAAACAGTGGGACAATATATGGACACGTGGCAAACATATGTGGGAATATCTGCATCAGGGAACCGTGATGGGGCTTCAAGGGGCCTATTATGGCCTAATTATATGTATATTATATGATAAACATTGTAAAACACTCCCATTTAACAAATCACGTGTGAGGTGAACTGAAGCCATCCCATCCCAGTTCCACGGTCCTCATCCAAAACCAAGAAGGTCACGGAATCCAGGGTCAAGGCATCTAGGCCCAACAAGTCCAACCTGGGCCATGGCACGGCACCATGGCCCAAGGTTTTTGGGATGACTTGGGCTATGACAATGGAAGTGTTAGATCGCTCATGTTGCCAGCTGCTTAACATGCTCAACTGTGAGAAAATGAAGAGTTGATAGTTTCTGATAGTTTGGTGTTTTTCAAGATTTAAGCGCCCATTTCGGCATGTTCATCGGCCACAGCGTTTAGATGCCACATTGGAATTCAGAAGCCAAGCCGCACCGAGATATGAGATGACAGCAATGAGTTCTGAGCAAACAATTTGCATCAATGTTCCTTGGACTTATACTGATTAACATATCAAACAATGCTCTGTCTATTGGGCCAGAACTTAGCAACAACAGTGACTGAAATGATAATGTTGACAACGCTTACCTGAGAACCTCTCTATGTTTTATAATTATCAAGAAAATTACATTATATAGAAGGCTATCTGTTGCTCTTGAGAAGATATAGAACCAAATCCATTTCAGTAATTATTCTTTTCAGACATTATCCTTTTCAGGATCCATCTATTCGATGTTACCTCTTTCGAACGAAGTTTCTCATAAAAAAAGAATAAATAAATAGCTCGAGCTACAAGTAGAAGCGAACTTATAAGTTAGTTAACAAACATCTACAAAGTTCGCAAATTTAAAACTATGTTGTAGTACGTTGCAGGTATGTTATAGCTATATTTATAGTCAAGTTGCATATATATATAATTATATGTATGTGATGCAACTTTGTCGAGTTTCATAACTTCAAAGCCACAGTCTCCGGAGAGCAACACTGAGTCGAAGCTAAGGTGCGGCAGCATGCTATGTGTGGCTATGCGGAGGTCTAGGGGCCACTCCGGAAGGGCTGCCAGTTGGTCTATGGAAAGGATATGTAAGGATCATGCTTTCCTTGAAATTGCCCGGATCATCATTTTCCCTTATTCTTACATCTTACATCTTACAATTTTGTGAGGTTGACTATATCTGTCCATCTGGGTTTGTCTGAAAATATGGATTGTACTCATTTTCCCTATTTAAAAATAGGGGTTTCCCCTAATTTCAGAAAAAGCCGTCCAGTGATATCTGCTTCAATCTTGGTCTCCGGCAAACGCCCAGGAGTCGCTGACAACACCTGCAGCTGCAAGCGATTCTTCCACTCTACACCGCCACAGGTGATGTGCAGAAATTCTGACTTCTGATGCCAGTTCCATGGTTCAATATATTTCGGATTTTATGATGTATTTTATGTTCAATTCCTTGTTGGATGTCCAATGTGCAACCCTGTCATACCCTGTCTAGTAGTGGCGCTGTTTCATCCAATCATTGCGACACACACCACTTTCCAGACCAAATGCCAATTTTCCCTGGTTAATTTCAGTTTTTTGAAGGTTCAAGACATTTTTCCTGCTTAAATTGCAATTGTTCGAGGTGAATGACATTTTCTTGCAAGTGAATTCCCGATATTTTTCAGTGAAAGCCATGCGTTTTTCAAGTCCCGATTTCGGGGAACTCCCATCCGGCCTCAGGACACCCCGAAGTCAGGAGCTGATCCAGCTGCAGCTCTTTGCCAACCTCACCAATTTCAGCCATAAAACATGGCAAAGCTGCTATAAATTCTGGATTTGAGATGATTTAACCATTGAAATATACATAAGACTATAAATTGAGGAAATATAGACATCACAGATGCCGTTAAGTCGTGGATTTCACCGATCACATAGTATAACATGTGGGGATTCAAACGTCAAGACGACAGATTTATAGTTGATTTATGCTGATTTGGGTTTGTTGTAAAATGGGGTATGATTCCATAGAGACATGATATCTTAAACCAATGGATTTTGAGGCACCTTATTTTTAAACGAACCCGCGTCTTGAAATGGATGACAAACCCATCCTTTTTTCTATGAAACGCGGGAGACCATAAACAACACATGGAAACACGGGCAAAAACATTAAGGAAACCCTGCATGTCCCAGTGGCGAACCATGGTTCTTTGAGACCTTGATGAGTGTTGCTAATGGTGCCTTCACAAGGCATTCACGACATATGGAGCTTTCCTTAGTCACGGGGGTACCCCAAATCATGCAAAATATAAATCCAAGCCATTAGATGTCATTTGATCAAAAAATCGACCATGACTTAGTGACTTGAAACAACCATGGTGACGACTGGGGATCCATGACTTAAGAAACACCCCTTAGATACTGCCTGGGGCAGCTTGGACCGAGCCGCACCGCCATAGATCGCTGCGCAACGTAGCTTCAGAACCTGCCTCTGCGAAAAGCGGAGGCAGAACCGACACCAGATTCATTTGGCATATTCAATGGCTCAACTGGGTATGGGTCAAGAAGGGGGTACCACTAAACCTACAAACAATTGGTCAGTTTTAAAATTGAATCGTCCATTTGTAAGGGGCCACGAATCGTGATCCTTGTGCAAATCAACCAACATGGGCATCATGAGGATGCACCCTCTGGCAATTTCACAGTTAGCTATACAACTGTTCACCATTGTTAATGTTTGAATCATCCATAAACGGTTAATTTCCATTGTAAACTTAAATGACCGGAAAGTAACTGAAAAAATTGATATAACGGTAACGAACATCATTACCTGAAAAAGGGACATCTGAATCTGGGATGCAAGCGGTTTGGGGTTGCTGGCATTGATGAGAGCAAAATGCTAAGATTAAGGAGCACACACACATAACTTACCTGACCATAGCTAACCTCTAGAAATCTTTCAGCAAATGTTGCCCATGCTGGGTGGCCAGGCGTTCGATGATTTACCGTTCTTAGTCGCATGGATCAAATTGTGACTTTCCGAAACTCGCTTGCAGATGACCTCTGGGATTTCAAGCCAAAATGATACGAAGATTCCAGGTGGGCTTGAACATTACAAACATATGTAACATGTATTTATACAAAATAATCACAGTATATCACAGTACATGTTGTAGATGTTATATAATGTTAAATGTCATTATATAAATGAAAATATAAATATAAATATAACTATATATATATGCATACGCAGTGTAGTTATTATGATGAGTCGTTATTGTATGTATCATAATTCTACCAGTAGTGCCGCACAAGGCGGTGGCGGAAGTTTCAAAATTGGAAACCTATAGAAGAGCTCGGTTGTTGTGAATCACGGATAGCAGAGCGAACCCACTGATGGACTGAAAGGTGGTTGGAGTTGTGTTTTTTGGAGTGGTTACAATGGTTGCAGTGGTCACCTGGTCGGTCACCTCACCCACAACTGCTGGATGTAGTGTGGTGTAGTGCAGCTGTAGTTGTAGTTGTAGTGTAGTGGAGTTGTAGCTGTGGTGTAGTGTAATTAGCCAAGTGTAGTTGCAGTTGCATTTGTGGTGGTGTAATCAGTGTAGTGTAATGTAATATAGGGTGCTGTAGTGTAGTGTAGTGTAGTGTAAAGTAGCGTAGTTGTAGTTGTAGCTGTAGTTGTAGTTAGTGTAGCGTAGTGTAGCGTAGTATAGGGTAGTGTGTAGTGTGTAGTGTAGAGTGTAGAGTGTAGTGTGTAGTGTGTAGCGTGTAGCGTGTAGCGTGTAGTGTGTAGTGTGTATAGTGTAGTGTGTAGTGTAGTGTCGTGTCGTGTGGTGTGGAGTGTAGTGTGGAGTGTGGAGTGTGGAGTGTGGAGTGTGGAGTGTGGAGTGTGGAGTGTGGAGTGTTGTGTGTGGTGTGTGGTGTGTGGTGTGTGGTGTGTGGTGTGTTGTGTGTGGAAGAGTGTAGTGTAATGTAGTGTAATGTAATTAGTGTAGTGTGGTGTGATTAGTGTAGTGTAGTGAAGTGTCGTGTCGTGTCGTGTCGTGTTATGTAGTGTCGCTGTAGTTGTAATTGCAGATGTAGTTGTAGTTAGTGTAGTGTAGTGGAGTGTAGTGTAGTTGTAGTTGGAGCACGACCCGTAGTTGGCCGTGTCGTTTTCTGCTTTTTTTGACATTGCTCATGTTTTCATGTACGCTTCCGCACTTGTCACATGCTACGCTATTGGCTTTTACTTGTGTCTGCTCTGCTACGTTAATCTACGTTACTTATCTCTTCTTGGGGTGGGGTGGGTTGGGGGGTGGGGTGGGATGTTAACGTTCAGATACACTTCCAGACTTGTCACAGGAGGTCATGGAAGAAAAAAGAGAAAGTGTCAGGCAAACGATGCGCCAAAGAGAAGTAGTTTTGGGAATGTCAAAGCCGCAATTTGGACAACGAAGATATCAAAATCGATACGGCGCCACAGCGCCACGAACATTTTCAAGAAGGCAGAATGCGGTTTGTGCCACGGCTGTCTGAGGGTCGTGCACCTAGTAGTTGTATTAGTAGTTGTAGTTAGTGGAGTGTAGTGTAATGTAGCGTTGTGTAATGTAATGTAATTAGTTTAGTGTAGTGTAGTGTAGTGTAGTGTAGTGTAGTGTAATTAGTTAGTGTAGTGTAGTGTAGTGCACTTAGTGTAGTGAATTTGTAGTTGTAGCTGTAGTTTGTGTAGTGTAGTGTAGTGTAATTGAGTGTAGTGTAGTGTAGTGGAGCGTAGGTTAGCGTAGTGTAATGTAATTAGTGCACTGTAGCGTAGTGTAATGTAGTTGTAGTTGTAGTTGTAGCTGTAGTTGTAGATGTAGTTGTAGTGGAGTGTAGTGTAGCGGTGGCTGTAGTTGAAGCTGCAAAAAACCTACACGCTTTGCTCACTTTTGACAAGGTGCACAGTCCCTTGCGGCTGCCAAGCGAAACGACATCTGAACGTCCAAAAGTGCTCTGAACCCGTCCTTGGAAATGTGCTTCGCGCCACAACGGCGTGCACTTTTTCGACATCTCAACTTCCAAAACTGGTCCGATGTTGGTGTATTTTGCACGTTTTGACTTTGACATGTGCTTCGCGCCACAACTGCGTTCACTTTTTTGACATCTCAACTTCCAAAAGTGGTCCGAACATGCTGCTTTGTGCATTTTAACTTCCAAATGTGTTTCGCGGCACAACGGCATGCAACTGTTCATCTCTCATCTCATCTGGCCAGATGGCTCCGCACCCGCCGCTTTAGCGAGCCTACTTTTCGACCCTCCGGAGCCACGAATCATTGGAAAAACACAGTGTTTCGCGACTTTCCTACCTTTTCGCGCACCTGCATCTTCTTTCTTCTGATGCTTTCTCTTCTTCTCTGTGTCTCTTCTCTTCTCTTCTCTGACTCTTCCCACCTCTGCTGTTCCATCTGTCCATGTCGGAAGTTTGACTTCTAAACTTCGATAAAGCCCTCAGCACGGTCAGTTGAGTTCACCAGCCATCTCCGACCACCAGATTTTTTCAGTTCCCATATGGGATTGATAGCAGTTGCAAATAGCTTGGTTATAGATCTTAGTACCCTGTCATACTATATAGATAACTCATGATAACATTAAAATATTGCAACTGTTCATAAACACTTTGACTTTGAGCTCAAAACAGAAATGAAAAAGAGTGTGGAACCTATTGGAACCTCATTTCTCTCCTTAACTGAGGAATCGAGGAATATGGCATTCTGGGCCGACCCGGTTGACCCACCTGAGACCTCCTTTGCCATTGAACTGGTCACTGACCTGCGGCTGAGACCCCTGACTGGCAAATCATGGCAAATCATTGTAGGCGTGCCCAAGGAGCTAGAAAAGCATCACCAAAACTTAGAAAAGCAAAGGGAAACCCTTTGCTCTTTTTTCGGATGAGAATCAATGACACGTTTTTTGAACGGATCGTTATACATAACTGGTGCTGGTATGGTAAATCAGTCCCCAACGTGCTGCTTGCATGTTGTCAAATATCAATCCCTTGATCACCATTACCCTCTGGATATGTAACAAGGCAATGCATGGTCTGGGAATGCTGAAAGAGATAGACCGGCAAATCACCGTCACCGCGACAAGTCACTGAGCTTGAGACCTATCAAAAACAGATCTGACACAAGTGCAGTGTCTTGATCCCGGTTGACACATCCAGGTACCTGCATCCTTCTCTGTGTAAAACATGCCTTGGGGCTTCAGATAGAAACCCAAATCATCACAGTCTGAGCACTGGCACGTCTAGAGGTTCTTGAAGTTGCAGAGCCAGCTTCAAAATGTTTTCCTGGATGATTGGACTCCACGGTCTTAAGTCAAAGCTCCAGTTCTTGAAGACGAGCGTCTTGGGACTTCATCATCCTAAGGAACAACATGTCTATCATTTTGAACAACTAATTAACTAACCTCTGGTAACTGTAAATTTGCAATGGACAATCTCTCATTTATCGATGATCTTCTGACATCTTCTGACCATCAATGAGCTTTTCCACTGCTGACCACCTATAGTTGGCTGCTGATGGCCCCAAGTTGAACCGCACCTTAATCGAAAAAAACAGCCAGGTATCCCCCAAATACACTCCAGAAAGCCAACATGACAATGCGTTCTTTCCTGCTGTTCGCCAGTAGGATCCCACAGGATCTTGACTTGCCAGGTTGAATTGTCCCAGATCATCCAATTTTAGGGTCACGTCCCTCAAAAAAAACGAGGCTTTTGTCCAAAAACTGATGCGTAATACATCGTAATGCCATGTTTGAACCAATCCATACAGTTAAGTATCCGTCAGTCAATCATAGTAAAAACATATCAAGCCATAAACCAATTCATCTTGAAAAACTCTCGGACCTCACATTTTCGCCTTGCTCAAAACTAGGATTCAATACGGTCCAATGGAACCACTAAGCAGTGTGATGATTTCCGGATGTGTTTACTGTCAAACCATCCCATTTATCCGAAAGAGTAAAATCAATCCATGTTATCCATCCATGTTGGGCGTGGTTTCCAGATTTTGCTGCAGTGATCAAAAAAAAACAGCAGTCAGCCCAGTCAGCCGTGCCTGTGAGGCCAACTCACGCGTGGGTAGCAAGACCAAGGCCCCAGGACCTCGGTCTCATCGAAAAACACGGGATGACCATTGGAAAAAAGGGAACTCATCATGGAAAAATATGAGAAACATATGAATATCACATAATATAACATGATGTCGACATCAAATTGTGAGACCTAACCGGGTTTGAACATCACAACATTCAGGGATTTTAAGCATCAGAAATCAGAGATCTAAGAGATCTGGGGTTCTCTGTAAAAATAGGCAAGCTGCAATTGATGATCGTCCTCTGGACATGGATGCTCATCACCCTGAGATGGTATCATAATGTATCATAATGGCTTTGTATTACGGTTTGTTCCATTATCATATCAAATTGCAAGACACACCGCCGAGTGTGCTCACTTTATGTCATTCTTTGGTGGAAAACCATGCATGTTTAGGGAACTTGTGAGTAGGTTCGTCAATAGGTTAGGTTAGTACAGATTCCAATACAAATGATATAATCAACGAAAAACAGGCTCTATACAACCAGCAAAACCATGGACTTAATTGAAACCGGTTGTTGATACCGCCAAAGGACATTTCACCTGACTGCAGCTCCTTTGTCTCTTGGACATTATCATGGATGATTTCCAGTGTTGTTGCAACAATGAACACGTTTAGATATTTCTAGGATTGTAGAATCACATCTTTTTCTTTTCAAAACTGTTTCCAAACTTCCAAGGCTCCACAAAAAATCAGCAGAAATCCGCTGGTTCCAGCCTTATCATCCACGATTTGACTTCTCATTCCCCAGGTAACAGTCTTAGTTGTTCAAAACATCTTGGCAAACCATTCTGTCTAGCAATCCTAGAACGGTAGAAGTTGGCAAAATCCATTTCCAACATTGTGATGAATTACGTGTTTGCATCTTGTCTGCAGGTTACGATGATTCCCGAGACGTGATTCTCTGAAGAATCTTGGATCCTCGTCCTGCTTCGGTTCATCCTCCATCTTCTGGTTCTTCAACATCCTCAAAGTCATCAGGCTTTGGTGGTGGTGATTTCGATTCTGTTGGCATTTGGTTTGCCTTTGGCAGGCAGAGGAGCTCGTCCCATGTAGCAGCGGCCGCGACAGCTGGTGATTTGACAGCTGACTGGTTGTTCAGTCGCGACCTTTGAGGATCATAGAGATCTTGATTTTGTACACATGGCCAAACTTAGAGACCCTGCAAACAACAGAATTTCATGATTTGGGTAAAACATGTTCTGATGTGTATCTGATATCTATAATATATAAAATACAATATACATGTATGTATCACTCTGTACATTCTTTTACCGCAATAAATAGCCCAATAATCTTACTAAACTATCCAGCCGTTTATTTTCATTTTACTTGGGTATGAAATGTTCACGACGCTTTTTAGCACAAAATCAGCAATCCATTCTCACTGAAGCTCAGTGCCAGGCTTAGGTTTTCCTTCTTGGATTCTTGCCCTGCGACATGCACCCTGAGAGCGGCTCGGAAATCAAAAAAAGTGATTCAATCATTCTGATTTTATGGGGATACAATGGCATATCTATATATATAAGTGATATGACTGACAATATGATGTTTGGGTGTCTGAAAATAGTTTACACCTCCAAAATGGCCATCTTGATAGGTAAGAAACCCAGCTTCTCCCCTCTTGCTAAGAATGAAGCTTCATCCACTGCAAGCCTATCAAGGCTTCACAGCTGAGACTCAAAATTGGATGGCTGAATATGTACACATATATATATATATGTATATATATGGGGATATTATATATTATATACATGTGTATATATATAATTATATGTATATGGTATACATATATATATATAGATGGCTAGAGCGAACACTATTTTGTGGGCCCATCGGTCCATTGGAAAGCCATTTTAGCGTCATGGGCCAGGGGTTTGTCCCAAAAAAGATACACCAAGATGGCTATTGTAGTAGGAACACATATGATATAATAATGATCATTCATTTTAAGTGGGGATACCCCATATTCACACCTAATTATGTCAGAAACTGCGCTTCTATTGGCAACACCTGATCTGGGCTAAGCTCACGCTGCAGGCAAGAGGTAGGCGAGCGTCTTGCCTTATGCGAATTGGGGTCAACGGACAGCAACGATCTTTCTTGGGTACTGTTGGGGTTCTCGCCAATCTTGATACCATGCAAAGAAAGATAGATCATTTGTACGTGTATATATATATATATGTATATTGTACATATCCATTTACATATATAGCAAACAACTTATATAATTAAGTATATCCCCAGCAAATACGGAGAACCATGTGGCGACAAGTAGTGGACTTTTAACCCCAAGACCCTTTGGGTGTCCACATGTCAACTTCAAATGTGAAAAGGATGTCCAGACAGGTGCAATCATTCCTTCCGACCAAAGAGTAATAAAGAGTATACAGTATAATGTCTGGGTGGAAATGTTTAAAGAAAGGTCGTAGAGGAGTGACAACTACTCTCTGCCAGCCATAGCTGCCATAGCTATGAAAGTTCCAATTTCGTAGATCATTTGCATCGCTTAGGAGATGGTCTCCACTTGCCGTGGTTGTTGGAAAATACTCCGGCAATTTCTGAAGTTCCATAGTTCTCTGGGGCGCGAAACATCCCATTTCTGTGCTATCTGCACATTCTGCGGCGTTGACCCCATCGTTGGTGCAAGCCTCACAAGTCCCTGTTTGGCCAGTTCACAAGGCCTCACTCATGTTTGCCATAAGACCACCATTTTTGCTGACACTTGCTGATGAAATCTGCATGTGTTGCTGATATTTGGTGATATCTGCTGATCAAATAGACAATTCCTGTCGATATTTTCTGATAAACCAAAAACTCTCGCCGATATTTGGTGATGAAATCATCTCAAATCATCTCAAATCCAAATGTTTTTCATGTTTTTCGCTGATCAAACCCCATCCTTTGCCGGTCTCTAACCCGAGATGCCACTGCCGGTGGGTGCAATGCCCATGATATCCAGGCCGCAAAGAGCCGCAGGCCAGACCTGGGGAATCATGGGGAAATCTTTTATATAACCGGATAGGATCCATGGTGCTGGTATATAATGGTATTGGTATATAATGGTATATAATAGGTAACATTACCAGTACCAAAATTATAGAGCAAAACACAATTTTAAAGAGTACTTGGAGGGTCTAGGTATTGGTATATAATGGTATATATAATATTATATAATATAATATAATATTATATCTGCTTGGTGGTGCAATAACCATCTTGAAAAATGATGGAGTTCGTCAATGGGAAGGATGACATCCCATATATGAAATGGAACAAAAAATGTTTGAAACCACCAACCAGATGAATATGTTTGGTGCACCAAATGGAGAACATGTTGCCGGTTTAGTGAATTTGTGCACGGGTGGCCGTGGTGCACGGGTGAAGTTGGGTGCGAAATCTTGGTAAGACTTCGCCGGCAGAACTTCGCCAGCAATTTTTCCCCAGCTATCTGCATCTGACAACAACATATTTTGCCTTTGTAGGTACTTACACGAACATGCATGCTCATCGGCATATATAAACCTGGCAACCCGTGAACAAAAATAGACATTCTAAATTTTCACCCTAACTTCAGAAAACTTCATTCTGCAGGAATTTTGGCCCAATGGCGAACAATACAATATGGCACGGTCCCTCCATTTTGGGGTCCTGAAATGTCCACTGCTTTACTGGCCATCATGGATTAAATATGATTACCCTCCAGTAAATTAACATAGACCCTGCCATTCATCGGGGTTGGAAGACTAGTGAAACCACTATAAACTGGTCATTTTCAGGGTCGAACTGTTAATTTACTGGAGGGTAAATCACCATGATTTTCGTTAAAGCTTTGATTGCTACGTATCATCGAAAGGTCCGCCCAAGCAGAGCCGAACAGGTTCCACCTGCATCTGGATGGGTGTAGGCCTCAACGGCAGCCGTTGACAACGTCCGGAACGGATGTTGATATGGCTATGGGTCAAGTCAGTTTGGGCTACACCCGACAAAATTGAATATGTTTGAAATTGATTCAATATGTTTCACCCCTTGAAGTCGGATCATTTTGGGTTCCAAACTAAAGTGTTGAGGGGGGTGTAGTGTACAATGTATGGTTCTTACACCAAGACATAACCAAAATCTGCGTCTTTTCCGGGTTTTCATCTTGACCCATCCCCATATCAGCCATCTTAAGATGTCAATTTTCCAAAATCCAATGGCTGGAAGGGAACCCGGGATAGAACCAGTTCAATAAATCTTGAGAGTTCATAACGAAAAGCACAGCAAATATTGGTCGAATGTTGGATTATTCATAGCTTCCACAAAAAGCACCTAAATCGCTTTTTTGTGGGAAAAAGCCACTCATGAATAGACCGTTCCAGTACAGTAAAACCGCTTGGGGAACATGTCTGAGATTAGTGTCAAGTCAGAGGGGATCGGCATCCCAAAGAACCAAGTTGAAACTTTGAAAGCAATTGAGCCAGTCATGTTTGATACCCATTTCATCCCATTTCTAATCTATGAAAAAAATGATATTTATCATCATTATATAATAATATATATATATCTGTATCACCATGATTATTAAATTACTTGATGTGACTCACCCAATTCATGTGCCTGTATGATCTGTATGACTTTGGCCAACTTTATTTCCACTCACACACACAAGACAACCAGTTTTGCAGTTCAGCGGCTTTGTGAGTTTCCGACCCCTGGGGGGACACAAGTGGACTGGGAAATACCGGGGCCTGGGTCGGGTTTACTGCGCCATGGTCTGGGTATTGCAAAACCAGGCTTCTGAAAAGATTCTATAGAGTCAGGAGATTGCGACAAGGCCGAAGGCAAACACTTTTTCCTAGCACATCTTGCAAATCATTGTAATCATCCGGTCCCAAAGTTCGTTCCTGGAACTTCCAGCACGTGGGTCATTGGCTGGCACCAAGTACAATCTGGAACATAGATAGGTTCGACCAGGTCGCAATCGGAGCATCCATTTTTTACGTAAACTTATCCTCATCTAGTGTAACTGAAACGATGGACGATGGTTTGGTTTTGTCAATACAGGCCCAGCTTCAAAAACAACAGCCATTTGCAATGATCATAATGATCAATGGCGGGTCCCCATACTACTCATATTACTAGTGCTTTGACGATTCAAATATATAGATTACGGTTTTGGGCCCCCAAACAAACATCTATGTATACTGTCTATACCGGGATCAAAGTTCTTGCGAACGCACAGAATCGGGTTTTCGCAAACAAAATAACCACACCAATCCAAAAAGTTGCCCCCAGTAGTCCCGGATCAGTGCTCGATACACCCATATACATCCTTGTGGCCCCCCAAAACTCCGAATTATGATTATCATTCTTCGTGCACAGACAAGCACGAGTACCCTCCAGCCAATAAGCACAAAAATGGAACATCCATTCTTCAATTTCCTAGGAAAAACCTATCTAAAACCAATCTTATTTCACTGGAGGGCAACTCCACTTGAACCGTTGCCAGTCTGTATCGGCTACCACCTCTGTAGCTAGGCTGGGGACGGCGAGGCTGTTGGATTCCCTGAAAAAATAGCTGTCACTTTAAGGGCTTTGGTATGCTCTGGCAAGGTCATGTCAGCATTTTGCCACACTCCATGTTAACCACTAAGCTGATTGTTAACTGTTACCTACTCAATTGTTGACTCCATTTTAGGGTAATAAGAAGATTCCCAACCATTGTCACCTGTTTCCATATTGTTACCATTTAAACCACAAACCATCCATACCTCTCACAAACCACCAATCAACCATTACGATCACCAGTCAGTTTTTACCAATTACACACATATCATCAACAACCACAAAGGCATCATTCAACAGATCCCATTGACTCCCTGAAACTCTGAACATCATTCAGCTTCCATAGCTATATACCTGACCTTTCACATTCTCTTGACATCCCAAATCCCATGAAGTCCCAATCACCATGAAATCCAACTTAATAACCATGAAGTCCCATTCAATCACACTTAAATCCCACTAAATCCCACTATTTTTCATTAAAATCACACTAAATACTACTAAATCCCACTAGAATTGCCACAATCCCAATCCGAACTCCCAACTCCACGATACTCCACGCCTTGGTCCCTTGAAGAAGAGGCCGAACTCCGCTGGCAGCCTTGGTTGGGTTTATCGTAGGTATATCGAACTAGTTCATCGGGGAAACCGGGGAAACCAACAAACATAACGGTTGATATATTAAGAAAATCACAATTTGATATATTCTGTGGTTTATTTCTATAAAACCAAGAAAACCACGACATTTCCATAAAGTCTGTGGGAAAAAAACACAAAAATTTCACTTGGGTGCCCCATGGAATCCCAGCAGATCAACTGGTCTATATCGTCCTATCATTGTTGCTTGTTTTTGCATTACCAAGAACTGATGACATAGCCATGGAAGCCCCCCATTTATATCCATTTGTAGATTTTAGTTCGAGGATTTACTTGTTCAAAAACTGGGGCGGATTCGGACTTCTCAAAGGTCCCGACTGCGGCGCCCTGGTTAAAACTCACCAATCTTAGTCACGACAGCATGGGGATGGCTCAAGTTACCTATGAAATTACCATATGCTGGGGAATAAACATCCATTCACCAGCGACTTGGGTACCATGCGGGTACCAAGGTTTTGACCCATAAGCATATTCATCCCAACAGGTTGGATGAGGATTTAATGTCACCCCTGATCCAATAGGCGGTTTACTAAAGGTTGCTGGCCCTGTCTAACCATGCAGTCACATCAAAAACACAACTCTTAACCTAGCTATAAACTCACTTAGCAAATTCTGGGACACCAACCAAAATATCATCTTTGTAATCAAACACGGCTTGCTGGAAAATGGCCCATTAGTTCAATGATGTTCCCAGCTATCAACCACCATTTAGTTCAGGATTTTTCCGGCCAGCCACGTTTGATGACACCGGAGGGTACATTACAGTAACCAATATTCAATGTTCCATGATATCCCCATTAAATCACCATTTTTGTTGGTTAGTTAAACCACGCTAAATCTCATTAAAATTCCCAGTAACATCCAATGAAAATCCCATGAAATCCGCACGAAATCCCATGAAATCCCCATTCAAACCGCTGTACCTGGAATCTGCCAGCTGCTCGACAGGGGAGGGGATCGGGCTACCCTTCACCTGCGTCCGCATGGGATCCATGGAATGCCCTTTCTGGTTGGTTTTGCAGTTGGTTACTCTCTGGTAATTTAACATAGCGAACTGGAAAATCCCATCTATAAATGGAGGTTTCTAGCTAGGAAAATCACCTGTTTCTATGGGCAATTTTTCATAGCTATGTTAAATTACCAGAGGGTATAGCTCATTTTGTTGCACCAATTTTCATATTTCTTAAATGGCAGATCACCAAGGCCAATCTCTGGCGATGTATCTGCGATCTGTATATGTACACATATTCTGCAAATGATTATATCTATACATCTGTACGTATGCATACATACCAATACATTATCCCTTATATTGTATTTGTTCAAATTATGTATATAATATGATATGTATAGAATATATTCCATGTACAAGTTATATATAGGTACCTCGTACATACCATGTATCCCCATCCATCGGGACCCACGACTAAGCCTTGATCCCCAAGTTTTTTCTCAGCAGCTTCAGCTGGTCATCTGGTTCCTCCGGCCTTAGAAGTGGCCAACCGCAGTCAGACACAATACATGTGTGTGTGTATAATTATATAATATTACTAATCGTATTATATGTGTATATATAATAATATGCATAATTTGAATGTAAATATGGAATCTGTTCATTCAGTATCTATATAATATCTACATGTTTTCTGAGCATGCATCGGATGGACGTACATACTATATCAATATGGACGTGGCTGGAAAATCTCCTGCGGATGGAGGCGAAAATAGCTGGGAAAATCCTCGAAGTTTCCTGCGGATGTGATCTTCAAATTGCCACTTTTCATCAATTACTGGAGCTACAAAAAAAAACTCTAGGATGATTCTGAATCCTAACCTGCTTACCCCCCTTTGTATCCCAAGACACAACTTAGCTCCGATCGCTGGATCCTTTTCTTGCGAAGATCCAGATCGAACCTTGCTGTCTGAGGGTCACTTCATTGACATCTTAGACATCTTCAAGAAAGGGCTCCGCGGCTCTGCATAAGGGAACACTTTTGGCACCAGGAAAGTCTCAAGTTCTTAGTTCCACTATTGCGGTGCCATCGGCCAGCGACTGTCACAGTGCGGTGTGGGACTTCCGAAAGGAGATCTCGACAGCAGTGATGCCTCTAGCAGCTCACTTGTCACTACCAAAAGTTCAGTGGATCACATTGCCGTGGCCAGCACTTTCCAATTTCTGGGAAACTCTTTGCGAGGTGTGGACATGTTTGGACTTCTCACTTGAGGGCCACCAGATGCGAGAATCTCATGGCAGCCCAGCCCGTCCCGAGATCTTGTTATCGTCGTTGTCGTCGTTCTATTGAGAGGATGGCCGTGGCACCAGTCACATGAAACTGACTTGGATGAGTTCACAGTGCAAATGACGAAGGTTGGGAAGAGTCACGCTGTGCAAGCTTTGTCCTCGGGAAAGTGAATGTTTTTTTTTTTTTTAACGTTAAAACATGCTAAAACTGACCTTCCAGTGAAAAATGAAAATCGAGCCTTCAAAGAATGTTTATAACATATATATATATACATATGATCATCATGTGACCTTCAGTTAAAAACATGTGGCTTTCAGTTTGTAAAGCTATCATGCCTATCAAAATTGTGCATGCAGGCCTGAATCTCTTGATGATACGTACATCACATCTCATTCAAACAGTACACAACTTATAGGGGATATCGCCACCAACCATTAATTTCAGATGTTCCAGCAAGACCTTACCAACTCCCAAGCATTCGACCGCACATATCATCAAAAATTCACTCGCCTCTGAGCAGAGCTACTAACTCCCATCTCTAAGGTCAGACTCTCGCCGTGACAAAAAAACCCATTGAGATCTCACAGTCGTGGTTTTGTTTGTGTCATAATTATAAGCCATCCATTTCGTCGCCAAAACTAGCGGCAAGCAACGGAAATGGTCTCCAAAGATCAAACGTTCAAGCGTTGCTGGCAGCGAAACACCTTCCAATGTCTGGTTGAAGCTGTTGCCGAAGGTCAAGGACCGTAGATTTGGAGGGAAGTTCACATTCTGCAGACTCTGATTAAAGTGACGGCCAAAGGTCAGCGACCTCATCCGTTGAACGGCTGGGAATGGCGACAACCCAGTAGCTTGACACTATGGTGGGCATGGCATGGCGTGGCTAAGCTTGATTCCTGGATATATCATGCTGATAAAGAGTTGGGTATCCATCCCCAATTGAACTATTTACCATGTGGTCTTTCTCAGTTGCGAATCTTCAATTTGCTCTTTCCCAATATTCCCACCACATTCACCTTGGTGGCTTCGTTAGTGCAAACATCTTCAGCAGTTCCAGGTTCCATATCTGCTGCAGCACCTGACCATACTTCTAGCCAGGGGACTGAAGGCCGTTCCATACAACGCCCTCAATGCTTGAATTGAAGTGAGTGCCGAGGACCAATTCTTCCAACGCGTCAGGGAACTGTACCTTGGAGCATCTGGAACAATGATGTCCTTCTGAGAAAGGACAAAGGAGCTTGTTTGGCATACCATGCACCATCATTTACCAGTTGCTTGTGAAAGGTTGCATCATTATTTAATCTATATAGCGCTTTGCGTGGTATTAGTGAACTTTTAAGGCCCAGGGGAGCGCAGGTTTTGCCTCATTCTTGTATCGAAATCCAGGAGATACCACATTTTAATCCATACATATCCATACCCATATGGGCATGTTTGAACATGGGGTAAGCCCCATCATGTTGCAGTTGCCAACGTTTCGAACCTTGGGATAACCGGTTTTGACCCATCAAAAGCACATCGAAATAATTTAACATGGGTAGTGCGGAAGAAAAACCCTTCCAACGAGCCGGAAACTTGAAGATCCAAGGCCAATTTTCTGCAGAGTTTTTTTCAATAAGGTCCAGTGCTGTGTAGTGAAGAGAACCATGAACAAATCAACAAAAACATACAAAAACAAACACCTCCCAAAACTTCAACAGCTGGAATTGCTCTTAATTTCCTCAATAATTCTTAATATGTGCCATGGTCGAAACATGGTTACCATGCTTTATGGATGTTTATGGTCATTCCACCATGTTTGGACATCATGATTTTGGCCATGATAAATTTCCTTTCAATGGTGGTAACACCATCCCTTGATCTGGGTATATATAAACCCTCCAAATACCACCAACAAATGGTAACATTACCAAAATTATAGGGGAAAACATAATTTTAAAGAGTACTTGGAGGGTCTAGGTATGGGTATATGATGGTACATATAATATATAGAATATTATATCTGGTTGGTGGTTTTAACCATCTTGACAAATATTAGTCAATGGGACGGATTATCCCATACATTATGGAAAAATGTACCAAACCACCAACCAGTATTTATATAATCCCACTTTTTTTGACCATGGTCCAGCTGTTAAAGTTTCATCCCAAGCTTTGAGCCAAGATCACGCCCTTCAAGCTCCACTGGAATTTAGCACCCAAGGTCAACTTGCGCCTTGGACGAGGCGCAAACGACGAGAAACGGGGGTCATAGATTTACCACTCGATTTTTTTTTTTTTGCACATTACAGCTTGGGATCAGTTGGCCATCAATAAACAATGGATTATACTATCGATAAACCATCGATTTGTCCATGATTTTCACAGCTCCAAATCCCTTAATGCAAAGCCAGGGCGCAACATGGGTGGAAAATGCACGTGATCCAAGCTCTGTTGAAATTCTTCTCCGAAGGTCAAACTTTCCTGGCACCATTTCTGGGTGTTTGTCAGGTCTCCGGAACTGAGTTTTTCAGCCACGATAAGCCACGATTGGATGGGGGCATGATTCATCTTTACTGGGTGACATCCCAGTATAATGTATATATATATAATATATATATATATATAAATATCATATATATATAATATATAATATATATATATGGTCTAGCAATGGGACTCCCTATAAATGGGAAACTCATCGATTTTAGGTTGCCATAGTTGATTACCAGAGGGTAACTAAACAGTATTCCATTGACATTTCCATAAGTTCATATTCCGCGAATATCCCCATGATATCTTATTTATATACCCATCAGACCCATCATTACATTTACATCACCATGTCTTTTTGTTTGCCATGTGCCAGGATGTACCATCTTTGTGACCAAGATTCAAGGTTGTCAGGTAAAGACAAATTCTGGAAGCTCCGGTTAAAGCGAGAACCGAAGGTGAGATTTCCTGGGTCCGCTGGAACCCAAGATGTCCAAATGTGGACCCAGCAGCTGCACAGGTTGATATGGGGTTTCAAAACGTGTATCTGGGTCCACCTGCAACCCTGAACCTAGGATTTACATGTCTAGTTTCTATTCATTTTGGGTTATATGATGTTATATCGATATACGTATGTATTTAGAACATTTTAGAACAGCTTATAACCAGTATGTACCCAGTGAGAGTTGAATGAATGGCTGTATGCACAGCCAGGTATCCTTGCGGGATCCCATAACTCAACATCTCGACTTCTCCAGCGCTATACGTGGGTCGGGATTTGGGCGCGGGTTTCATGCTTCTATGATGTTTAGTGTTTAATAAATCACCGAAAAAGAAAGAGTCAGTAAATGTGTTTCATGCTCTTGACAGGATCTTATGGTTCAATGACCGTGTGCAAAATACCGAAAAAAAATTGTGCAAAACGTTTCCAGCCAGCCACGTTTGACCACCAGGAGTCTAGATTGGATGTCATTGACCCACTGTTTCTGCATCTACTACCCCCTCCATGGATCCATTTAAAGTTCACAGATGCTCACAAGTCACTGGCTGTAAACCAAAAATCACCACAATAGCCTCTGGTAATCACAGATGGCTTTCTTTTTTTTCCCCATTTACATCCGTTTACATCCCGAATTTCCCAGCTGATGGGGATTCCCCAGCGCCAAACTGCGGAGGGATGTGGCGCGGCCAATGTGGAGTGCTCGGTTGAAGCAGCTGCCTGTCGCCATCTTCGATGGGATAAGGGGATCAACTTCCAACACCTCCTTGTTTTACATGTGCAAAGATAATCTATACATGTAAAACTATATGTGCAGTATACAATAAGTATATATATATATTATACAAATATATATACATACATATCTAATATATTTACATATGACATGGATTCACATATATATATATATATTCACATAATATAATATATATACAGTTATATTGTATATATTCATATATTCATATATATATATACACAATCATACTGTGCATGCGCAGTATTATACACATTAATCAGACATCTACAGACAAGATACATGAATAACCGTATAATATGATCATGCAAAACACACCCACATACATACATAAGCAAGTGCACATGGCCTTGCGAAGTCACATGTACAACATATTACCCCTTGTCAGGCGTTTGTCTCTGGCGGCACTTCTCCCACCAAACATTGTGCATGTCTTCCGGTGCAACTGTACCCATGTTGAATACACATGAGCCCAGCCACACAAGAACTTGTACCTTACACTCCTCTGCAACCATCTGCAACCTGGATTGGCATGTGGATGATGAGATTTTGAGAAACCACGGCCACGTTTGAAGGCGAGGGCTCCTTGTAGTTTCTTTGGACAAATCACCAATAGTTTTTTTTCCGAGTTGCCAAGGACCAGGTTCTGCAAGTCGCTTGGAAATGCGACCTGCGCTTGGAAGATGACAGCTGGTCGGTGGATTCAAGCCTCTTGACAAGTAAATGAGTTAACATGAGTTAACTATTTGCTTAAATGAGAAAAATCACTTGCTATAATAATTGGTTGCTTAACTTGTTTTTTTCCGTAGTTACCCTCTGGTAAATTAACATAGACCCTGGCAGATAGGGGTTGGAAGACTAGTTTCCAATTAAAATGGGTGATTTTCAGGGTCTATGTTAATTTACTGGAGGGTAATTAAATTTTCAATCCCCCCTCATTGAAACATATTAGTTGTTGGTCAACTGGGCTCATCACCACCATCAGTTTAGCATCCCATGGCGCCTGATCCATGCAGCGATCGAAATTGGCGCCCAAGTGCAGCGACTGCAAAGCTGCGGGCAACTGCACCTGGAAACGCAGCGGGCCGGCGGGCCGCGATGCCAAGATGGCGCTTAGACGGGTCCCTCCCAAAAGGAGATATAAATATCGATATATATATATATCAATATGTATATTTATTTATATATATATATATATCAATATGTATATATATACACGTATAGTAGTTAACATGAACCATCAATAACAACATGGTATTTGGGTCTGCAAAGCGTATAAGAAACTCATTGAAGCTCAACATGTGGTGATTGGTGATTGGGCCAGGATTGATCCATCTTTTCGGGCTTCCGAACAACCACCAACTGCCACGAGTTCTGCAGCCGTGTTCCACAACATTGCTGGGCAAAGTAACACCATTCACCAACCATAGAGGCGACTGGATGGGTTCCTCTTCATCTTCTTTTCCAAGAAACTACCTGTTCACCTTCCAAAAACTGGAATTGGAAGATCTTTCTTCTTGTGATTTTCACATTCGAAGCCGAAGCGGCAAGTTTCAGCTTCCATGTTCATTTTCAGGGCCTATGTTCTCTGGAGGTCCATGGGGGGCCAACTTGACACCCCAAGCGCCTTGTCTAAGGGCTGATTGAAGGCTGCCCCAAAGGTCAGGGACTGAAGGCAACCTGGCAGCTGCCTCAAATCCGCCGTTTCGGTGCTACTTAGTAGGAGGTAATATGCGAAAATCAAACAAGATCCCATGGATTTTTCAATTTCCGTTGGACTGCGATTGAACAAATACCTCGTGGGTTCTACTGAAAAACGGGGGTCACGGGGGTCATTTTGCATCAGGAACCCAATAATTTTGGTGTACACTAATTGAAAGAAACATCAATCTAGAGACGCAAAAAATACCAGCAGCAGGTTGGCTAGGGGACGAAAACGATGAAAACTGAATGTGTGATAATACCACCATCCTTAAAGCCAATTCTTGGGTGATGCCAAACCCTTTATTATAATAAACTACCAGCTGAACTGTTTCATCGGAATGGCTTCAAGGTACCACCCCCGATGACAGTAAATAATCAGCCACAGTGTGTCAAGTCAAAGTTCAAGCATGTTTAAGCAACATGGATCACAATTTGGCAATCTGAAGAAGCTCTCCAAAGCTTCCAAAATCCGAAGGACAGCAAGCTGAGCAACTTTAAACCAGCAAGCGACACTCTCTCTAAGCTCTGATTGAAGTTATCTCCAAAGGTCAAAGTTCGAAGATTTGGCCAAACCACCTGCCAGAACACGGCCAGACCGAAATCACCCCATTCTTTTCCGAAAAGAAATCCGACCTCTTTGCAATCGTCCGCAAGAACCATGCGATTCAAACCCACCAAACCTTACACAACCACCCCTCGTAACTATAACGTAACTATACCAACAAGGAGGGCCGTGACCTTGGCCATGGATCAAAACCGGCTATTTCTTCACTTTCTATCCTTCAGCATGACCTGAGTTATGTTTGTTCGCTTATAACCCATCTAAATATAGATATACCCTCCATAAATGCTACTTAGATCTAGATGGCCTAGTTAGCCTAGTTATGAACCAACTTACCTAGTGTTGGGGCCCTTTCCTGTGGGTTCTCAATTTCCTGGACCCTCAAAACCACGTGGTCCAAAGATGGCCTTGTCCAAACTTCGGTTGAAAGACCGTGAGAAAGTCAGATTCTCCTTGATTTCTTCGTTGGTGAGTGGGTGAGGAGTTATATAATTCATATAATTCGCTGGAGTATATCCTGTTAAATCACCAGTTTGTAAGAGGACTATTTCAAAAATCATCAATGATGATAAGCCATTTGCACATCCGGTTGGTGGTTGGGGGCCTATTCTGGTTGGTGGACGAGCACCCCCTATAGCAATCAGTCGTGATCACTTTCTAAAAAAGATGGGAATGGACGTGACACGGGATGACATATAGAAAACCACGAGGCAGTTCTTGCATGAAGATGTTCTATCAATATTGGCAACAGCAATTGCACAGGTTTTGCCAACAAACCCACACACACACACTTTACGCAAATAATATTGTAGAACCTGCAACAGTGTGAACATTGATCGGTACTCGTGTGACAACACGACCAAATGTCTACTCATTTTTGAGATAGTTTTGCAGTTAAACAAAACACATGTGTGTAACCATGGCTATGAACCCGCCATAAGTTGGGATATAGCCCCCTATAACTATAGCTATAATAATCATATATCCACTTATAACTGGAACTGCACTTCTAAGTAGAGCGACACCCTCTGGTAACATAGCTACGGAAAATCACCATTTTATCAATTTTTAATTGGTACATCAAGTATAAATGGTCATGTTCAATAGCTAGGTTTTCAATTACCAGAGGGTAACCATGACATTTTGGGACACCAAGACTCCAACTGCATGGGAAGTTGTACATCCACGAGGGGCTGGTTGAATCGTGCGCCCAAAGTCAGGTCCTGCACGAGGAACTCGATGTGTCGAGTCACAGATAGTCACAGGCTGCAACGGACATGAAAGTGTTGGATGGTACCCTCTGGTAATTTAACAGTTTGCTATTGAAAGTCACGGTTTTTTAGTTTGGTAAGACATGGAACTAAAATATTCTAAAATGAACTAAATAGGTCATTTTCAATAGCAAACTCTTAAGTTACCGCCGGGTAATCAGTTGTGACGAGTCCCACACGGAGATACCATTGGAACACTCCTTGTGGATCATGATGTTCAAAGTTGGAATGTCACCATCGTCGTTGCATTCAAATATAGACAATACTCGTATTTATGTGTATCTGGGTAAATTATAATATTTCACTAACCTGAATTAAGGCCATTTGGGGATGATTTCCCTTACTAACCATGTCTACATGATGTTATATGGATGTGGGTCAAAATGGAAGACCGTTAAGGGGACCACAGATGTGAATGTCTAGTTTAGTATTAACCATCCATAATTTTGGGGTACCTAATTTTGACCCATACCCATATATATATATATATATCTATACATCTGCTCCCTGGATAGTCACTTTGTCGATTGTGATTGCTACGAGTTTTGCTCGCAAACTTGTACCTTAAACTTTCTTATTCACCAATCTTTATTGAAATAGGTATGGCAGGTATGGTTAGACTAGCCCACAAATGGATTAGTGTTGCACCAACCAACTATTAGTATAAAACGTGCCCACCAATGATCTAAATCCAACCCTTGACCTGCCTGCAGAAAATCAAGCGGCCCGCGGGAGATAAAATCCTGGAACATCAAATGTTGCTTGTGGGGCACATGGGTCAACAAAAATAGTGTCAGTGTTCCTGACCATGAATCCATTCATCATGCATGGACACATACGTGCATTGCATAGTAATCATAGTATGTATGTAGGAATGTATGTTTGTATGTATGTGGATGTAGATGTAGGTGTGCCCCTGACAACTATGTATGTGTACCTACATACATGTGTATATAATTGTATACATGTATAAGGTCACACATCTCTAAAATAAAAAACATGTAAATACATTGTGTATGCGTCGGTTTAACAATGTATCCCCGAAACATCCTGAAAACATGTGGGATGACAACATTTCAATGATTGACGTTGTACAAACTACCATTTGCATCCATTTGCAGCAACGAGTTTCGGCATCGGGTCGGACTTACAACGTACTCATTGCAAGCATTGAACATATATCCATGAACGATCTGTTTTTGTGTGGCCTTTCTCAGTCGCTTGACATACAGTCATGGGTTATTGTTAATTACACCTTCAAATCGACATGTTGGCTTGACTGTTGGTGCAATTCCAATGCAGCGTTGGCTAAAATTCAGTGATCGCCGCTGTTTAAATTCATCCTTGTTAGTTAAACTGCGGTAATAATATGTAATAATCACGTTCAATGCTATTTGATTAGGTGGATCTTAGCCCGTTGATTTTCCATTGCCATGCTTGATCAATAAGTAGATTTTAGTTTGCGAATTTTCATGGATTTTCTCCGCGTGGAACATCTGTTTCAGATCATAACTAGTGTATTTTCGCCATGTACGTTTGTCATCTTCCCGGTTTCCCTCTTCTCATCAAAGAGTCCAAGCTCTCGTTGAACTCGTAGCCAGTGGTCAGGCTTCTCCTGACGGAAAAACCGGTGACCCAAAAGAGTTGGAGACTTTGACACTTTGCTGTAGAACATCACCATCTTAAAATATTCTAAATAGGTACCCTCTGGTAATTTAACATAGCTATTGAAAATGGCCCATTTATAGTTGATTTACCTATTAAAGATGGTGATTTTCCATAGCTATGTTAGTCTACCAGAGGGTAACTCAACTACCAAAGGGCCATGTTTATTCATTTTTCCGAATCAGATATGCCAGCATCTAACTAACCGGAGGCTACCAGAAGCACCAGAACTTCGATGGCCCCGACCCAGTTTTGTTCCTTGTCTCGACGTAGGAATCATCATCCCTCTGGGGAAATCAACGCACGTGAACCACCAAGCAGTTCTGACCGAAGTTGGAGAAGCGCAAGGTGATATGATCAGCTGGTTGGTGGTTGACCTACCCCTCTGAAAAATAGGAAAGTCAATTGGGATGATGACATTCCCAATATATGGAAAGTCATAAAATTCATGTTCCAAACCACCAACCAGTCAGTAATATCAGTATATCAATTTGGAAGGAGGATCCAGTCAGTTCAGTCATTTGGTTTCTGTCACAGTCATAACGCCATCCTCAAAAAATGCCGTCTAGTTCTGACATGTAAAACCAACCTGAACTAAGGTCATTACAAACAATATGGCGCATTATGGGCTGCTTCCCCTTACTACCCACCATCTATGCCTTATCATCATTTGCCCAAGCTAAATCCTCCGTACTTGGCGGTTCAACCCAGGAATCGTAAGCGGACACCAGGTTTCAGTAAGTCGTGCGCCAGTCAAGGTTTTTTACTGGCTGAACTAACCCATTTACTAACTACAACTGGGGTGAACCATGATGTAGATGTTCCACTTCTTTTTTTCGACGACACCTCTAAAATTATCCATATCATTTCACATGTATATACCCATATACCGTACCATGTATCCATATATCATCATATATCCATTTGTATATATTCATATGGAGGTTTCCTAAAATCAAGGGACCCCTAAATCATTCATTTTATTTTCAGATTTTCCATTCTATATATATATATATGAGCGATTGTGAAAACCCTAGGTTCGCGGAAAGGACATCCACAAATTTGGGAAGGTCCCATCGCTTACCACACGTTTGTACAATAATGATATATGGTAAACTTGGGGGGTATCGCTTGCAGGAAACTGCTGCATTTATATATATATGTGATGAACTATGAATAATATGTCTAATATGTGATATTTGGGTATCGCTAATGTGGATATTAGAGAAATATGATGACATAACCTTGAAAAGGGGTATCGCTAATTTGGGAAGGTCCCATCGCTTACCTCGTGTTTTTAACAATTTCCATAAATTTGCATAAACCAATGTCCGTCGAATACATATTTAGTATTGCCGGGGTTTTTACGGTTGCTCATATATATATATATATACATATATTAAAACCATCCAGCTATTGGGGTAGCCCCCCATTTTAGGAAACCTCCATATCCACCTCTCAGCACGCCCAAGCGTCAAGGTCTTCGGAAGCTCAGCGAAGTTTTCGCCCAAGGTCAAGTGCTGCAGTTGGGGCAGCTGCACCTGGGAGATGCTGAGAGCACGTGATGAGCTACGGCTGGGGGTTGGACTGGAGATAGAAAACATAGAAAACACATAGAAAAACATGGTATATAATATGATATAATAGCTTGATATGGGGTACTCATTGTTGTACATAATCTAGACATAAGTTGATGGTCAATGAGTAGAACAAACTGCATTTTATGTTTTATGGGTATATCAATTGTGATTTCACCTCCATCAGTTGGGATACTGCAGTAACATGCAGTAGCTGCGACAAACTTATCAACCTAATGTTGTCTTTTCTTATGGAGATGCAATGGGGAAAAAACAAATATCAATGTTATATGGACAACCTGAAGATTTCTTGTGACCCGCTAAAGTGATCCTTGGGATATAACTTGATACAAACTATACATGTCTAGCTATCCAAACATGATGAGAATCCCATTTCATGGCAACTTTGACGGATCAACCAGGAGATAGAAGAGGGTACCATCTTTTCCGAGGAAACCATATAGGAATGAGCCGTTTCACCTTGGAATCAGTGAAATCGCGGCATTTTAGGGCTGGAAGTTCTAGATTTGCAACTCCCAGTTCAAAATTTAAACACCCCCCTTCTATGGTCCGAAGAATGTGGTTTCGTCCCCGACTCAACCGTTGTTTCTGGGGGGTGTTTCCTATGATTGGGGGAAGCATTGTATGGGAAAAACACATGACCCGTCCCCATACAGCTGCAGTGTCTATGGATCACATTGCTGATTGGTGATTTCAACCAATTCAAATCCAAAAACTAGTAATCATTGTGCATCATCATCTCAATGTGTGAACATAGACTGTCTTGAAGCCACCAACTATAGGTTTGTCGGAAATTTGATGAGAAAGACCTGAATGACCCCCAAATCTAGTGGTAATGAAGCTCATTTTCATCACTTTTTTCCATTACTGAGTGGGACACTCGAGACGTCTCGGCGGTCAGGCTCCGGTCCCCCAATTCCGTGTGATTTGGCCCCGTTTCTGCGGAAATCTGCCAGGGCACGTTCTCCAGGCGCTGCTTAAAGCAGTAGCCAAAAGTCAAGGTCTGAAGATTCGGAGGCAGCACCACATGATCCTCAGGCGCCAAGTCCGGAAAATGGGAAATGGTGGCATCCCCAAACTTAAAAAACATGGTTGTAAATTTAAAGCTTTAGACATCCATTAATTCTAGATACATCTGCCATCAACCATACTTGGCTATATCCTCACCTGGTGAACCCAGAGTTCCTTGGATCTCAAATGCGCGCCTGGATGTGCCACTCAATTTTGACCAATATCAAAATATCAACCCAAGCCAAACAACAAATACCTATTTATGAATGGCTTCTGTGTTGATTTGCTTTGAATTGTTTTGATCTGTTTTGTTGGCTTTTCATCTCTTGGTTCGCGACGAAAATGGAGCGTTCAACCATCCTTTCAACTCAACAGATCTGGCACCATAGCGTTCCGTGTAGGATTGAATCGATCAACAAATGTTTAAAACCACCAGTCAAATTCAAATACCATGTATCTGTTTGGTTATTATCCCTTTGACACCAATTTTTGTTGCTCTTGAGCTCCACGTTTTTGGAGGAAACGCTAGTTCTAATTCTGATACATTGACTTCATTAAAATTACTTGGGATATACCCTCCCGTAAACCAATGTTCTTAGATGTGGAGAATTAATTATTGATCATTTTCCAGGGGAAACCAAAGCTTTTCCACATCTGTTTGTATGTTTATCAGTTTATCCCAGGCTCGAAATCTGGAAAGCATCCGTTCAACGTTGAAGATTCTTTGAGAACCGCCCCAGCCAGTCACTGAGCGGCCATCTTCTGGTTGAAGTTGCTTCCCAACTTCAAAGTCTCCAGGCCTCCAGGGAAGTTCACCTGCGGCATCTCAGAAAGGGGAATCCAGAAGAAACGGCTACATAAATCCCGATGAATTAATTGATGACCGTCCCCAAACTTGAATATATAATGATATATATATAGAGAGAGATAGAAAAAAATATATATAATCCGGCTTTTGACGATGGATGCTGGATGACCAAATCTCACCCGTTTTGTCCAGACAAGGTGCTGGAAAAGTGATGTTTTCAATCATCAAATCATCAACCCGTAGGGATATCGCCAACCAATGGGGAAAGACAACCGAACGCTTCTTGACAACTTCCTTCGTTGATGAAACATATTTGGTCGGCATATGTCGGCATCCAGGCAGGGATATGCAATGATACATTCGCATACATTCGCAGCCAAAAAACAACCCAATGAGGCATTGTCTGGCCACTGGCAAGCCAGCTTCCAACACCACAGAGCATCCAAGAATTTGATGGAAGGAATATCAACATGTACTCAATGAGGATGTGCCCTTGAGTATCGAAATTGATGGAAGGAATATCAATATTGGCTAGGGGCAGGAATACATAAATATACTACATACCGTACAGTAGATCAAATGTATCTGGGACACCTGATACTAGTACCAACCAATTTCGGGTGCATCCGCCTATTCATCGTTCACCATCACTCATGGTGAGGTAGTTGTGAGTCTATCTATCTTTTCCAGAAACTATCTATAATCTATCTGTTCATTCTCATGTCCATAATTTGATGTATACATGTGTGTAATTGTGTATATATATAATATAATATAATATCATATATATATAGACACTGTATATTTTATGTATATATTCAGTGCATGTAAGTGATACACACACACACACTATTATACATTCATGCAAGTATGTCTTCTGTTCTCGCCGAAAACGCGTTCCATTTTGCTCACCTCAACCCCATCGCTGAAAACACACCTCCTGCAAGGGCTGGTCAAAGTAACTTCCGAAGGATAAAGTTCTCAAACTGCCTCAGATCGTAGGCTTCGCAAGTCTTCGCAGGCTGCAGGGACCGTGTGATAGGCCATGATTTCGCAAAACAATGGGCACACCATGGATATGGCCAGGCCTAGCTGTCAACATCTGGAAGCCCTGGTAATGTGTGAGCCCTAGATGGGACGAGGGTCACATTCGCCCCTAAACCACCCTACTTTCAATATGTTACTCAGCCTTTTAAGGTAAAACCTGGGGACAAGGGGACTAAGGGGACAGTTAGGGGGACTGGGGAACCTTTAGGGGGGACTTGGGGGCACATGTTAACTTGCCTCTCTATTAAATATGTTACTCAGCCTTTTAAGGTAAAACCTGGGGACAAGGGGACAGCAGTTGGGGGGACTGGGGAACCTTTAGGGGGGACTTGGGGGCATATATTAACTTGCCTCTCTATTCAATATGTTACTCAACCTTTTAGGGTAAAACCTGGGGACAAGGGGACAGTTAGGGGGACTGGGGAACCTTTAGGGGGGACTTGGGGGCATATGTTAACTTGCCTCTCTATTCCATCTGCTACTCAACCTTCTAGGGTAAAACCTGGGGACAAGGGGACAGTTAGGGGGACTGGGGAACCTTTAGGGGGGACTTGGGGGCACATGTTAACTTGCCTCTCTATCAATATGTTACTCAACCTTCTAGGGTAAAACCTGGGGACAAGGGGACAGTTAGGTGGGCTGGGGAACCTTTAGGGGGGACTTGGGGGCACATGTTAACTTGCCTCTCTATTCAATATGTTACTCAACCTTTTAGGGTAAAACCTGGGGACAAGGGGACAGTTAGGGGGACTGGGGAACTTTAGGGGGGACTTGGGGGCATATATTAACTTGCCTCTCTATTCCATATGTTACTCAACCTTTCAGGGTAAAACCTGGGGACAAGGGGACAGCAGTTGGGGGGACTGGGGAACTTTTAGGGGGGACTTGGGGGCATATGTTAACTTGCCTCTCTATTCCATATGTTACTCAACCTTTTAGGGTAAGACCTGGGGACAAGGGGACAGTTAGGGGGACTGGGGAACCTTTAGGGGGGACTTGGGGGCACATGTTAACTTGCCTCTCCAGTTCCTTGAAACGGATGTTACCACGTAGCATTCAGAGCATCCGGGAAGTTGATTGAAATGACTGTTACAACGTGGCATCCAGAGCGTCTTTGAACTTGCTCGAAATGGATGTGACAACGTAGCATCCAACGCGTCTTTGAACTTGCTCGAAATGCATGTTACACCGTAGCATCCATAGAGTCCTGGAAGTTGATTGAAATGGCTGTTGGAACGTAGCATACAAAGCGTCTTCGAACTTGCTCGAAATGGATGTTACAACGTAGCATCCATAGCGTGCTGGAAGTTGCTTGAAATGACTGTTGGAACGTAGCATCCACAGCGTTTTCGACGTTGCTTTTCCAACATAACACGTGAAAATGACTCTCTGAGGCGGAAAAGATCCTTTTGAGACTCTGAAACTATTGCGCCTGCCACACAAAAGCAGGGGTCACATTCGCCCCTACCCCAGGGTCACATTCGCCCCTAAACCCACTTCCGTTAGGGGCAAATGCGACCCCACATGGATTAGGGGCAAATGCGACCCCCCGTGCCGCCCTAGATGCCAGTACCCCTCAAACATCTTTGATGATCCATCCATCCATCCATCCATCCAACCATCCAATCATCTAATCAATCTAATCTATCTAATCTCACTAGTCTAACTATCTAAACATGGTCATCCATGGCTAAGACATAAATCATCAGAAATCCATCCACCAACCATCCACCAGTCCAAGATTCCAGGCAAATGCAACAGCTCCAAGGGCTGATTGAAGCGTTCCCCAAGCAACAGATCCTCCAAGCTCCGGAAGTGGCTGAGATCCAAGGGCTGATTGAATTCGTAGCCAAAGGACCTCAATTTTTGAAGGCATCAACTATCACTATGATCAACTGGAGGGACATGAATCATGATACTCATGAGATACCAAAATTTTTGGACAACTACGGAATTGTTGGTTGGGATCCCTAATGCGATTTGATGGTACCGGGCCACCAGGCCGGAGACTTTTCAGACTCTGGCTTGTGGGCGTTTCCAGGGCTTGTTTGGGCCATTTCTGGTACTTCTCAAACAGACTGGCAGTTCTCTATGAAACGTCTGGCTCCCGCAGAAGTCCGAATTGAATCTTTTGCTCCTCTTAGGAGCAATCCGTTACCCTTTATGAGCAGGAGACGAAACAAGACATAAATGGCTTTGTCCAAAAACAGGATACCCTTGAAAACAAATCATATAATATCATTTTCCCATATTTTCCCAGCGCCATTTTGGGGTATACCATGCATTCAGACCCCAGTTCTATCCATTTCTGGGTGGATACCTGCGAACCGACTGGGGGGATGAACATCACCATGTTCAAAAAGCAGGGTATCCGGTCAATTTAACGATGTCAGCTCCCAAACCAATGGAGCAACCAAGTTGGAGACACCTTGAGATCCATCAACTCCCAAAAAAACACGTCTCAGCAAAACTCAGTTGTCAGCTATCGGCACCAAGTGCCAAGATTTGCCCAGATTTGCCCAGAGCCAAGGGACAAGGAGGTCAGATTCGGACAGTCTACATCCAAAGTCTGATTGAAGCAATGGCCGAGGACCAAACTCTGCAGGTTGGGCAAGTTCACCAGCTGATGGTCGAAGTGGTATCCGAAGCTTAGCTTCAATAAGCCCTGCGAGCCGAATGGGCCAGAAATGTTCTTGAATTTCACTCTTGTTTTGGCACAAAATGGTCATAAGTGGGTATGGTTATGGTATGGGTCAGAACCCAAGACCCCGGTTTCTTCCACCAAAAAACAGCTACAGAAAACAGCCGGATCTTCATCCCTCCACATCTATTGTAGCTGACCCATGAGATCTGTGGGTTTCACCATAGTCCCACTTGGTACCAGGGATGACGGAGATCTGCCTCTGGGAACGTCACGTTTTCCAGGCTCTGGTTGAAGTTTGATCCAAAGTTCAAGGTCAACAAAGTGCTGGGAAACTGAAGACCTACGACAGAATGCCACTGACCGGTGGGAAGCAACGAACTCTCTGGATGGAATCCCTCGCAAATATCTCCTTCAGCACAGCACTCCATTGAAATCCACTGCAAATACAAGAGGAACAGCCAAACCATCCATTGTGTCCGGTATTTTTTGATCTGAATCTTGCAGTGCTTATATATATATATAGAGTTATAGTACAGATTATGCAAAGTCAATTATAGCTGTAATATGTTTACGTTGTTCTTAGCTGATTTTCCCTCCTCTGTTTTGGTGTGCAAAAATAGCAATCCTAAGAGCAGGAAAACATGCAGCGATCACCTGGGCCCCTGAACCTGGAGGTTGTTAGGATGTTCGTCAACCTCTGTTTGGTACTGTATATAGTGATGTTTTAAACCAAACATGTTAGAATAGGATGAAACACGTTGAAATGGAAAGACCCTTGATGAATATTGACATACCCATGTGGATTTTGGATACGTACAATTGTAAGATCTATAAGCATGCGGATTCGAGACAATCCTAAAATGCATCTTGACTTGCTCCCGCTAAATTCATCACCCCACTGGTGGTGGCCATTTCACCCAAGCGACCTTCCAAAGGTTCGTTGAAGCGATGGCCCAACGTGAGGTGTTGCAATCCCATGGGAAAATTGAAACCTCGACTGATGGCTGGGTTCCCCTGATCTTTTTGACTACATATTACTGGTGGGTTGAGAATTGGAGCTTCGAAGACCGAATCTCAAACATGACTAACAACCATATTTAAGAAATCTGTTGGCTTCTGTGGGTTGGGCCAATAATTACATACAATTACCCCATATTACCCCCGGGTCATGGGAACTATATCCTGTAACAACTGAACGGTTGAACTGCCAGGTTTTCCCGTGACATGGCGGAGCCCAATGGGATAGATGTACCCGACATCGCTCCAACATTGGGATCATCGCGTACAGTACATTCATGTACAATATGTCTATCAATTGTCAATATGTATCTATTATTAATATGAAAATATGATATGTATATTAACATATATTAACATATATTAACATATATTAATATATTTTTTTCATATATTAATATGTTCACAGAACTAAACATATATTAACATATATTAACATATATTAACATATATTAACATATATTAACATATATTAACATATATTAACATATATTAACATATATTAATATATATTAACATATATTAACAAATATTAACATATATTAACATATATTAACATATATTAATATATTTTTTTCATATATTAATATGTTCACAGAACTAAACATATATTAACATATATTAATATATATTAACATATATTAATATATATTAACATATATTAATATATATTAACATATATTAACATATATTAATATATATTAACATATATTAACATATATTAATATATATTAATATATATTAACATATATTAACATATATTAATATATATTAACATATATTAATATATATTAACATATATTAATATATATTAATATATAGTAACATATATTAACATATATTAACATATAGTAACATATATTAACATATATTAACATATATTAATATATATTAACATATATTAATATATATTAATATATATTAACATATATTAACATATATTAATATATATTAACATATATTAATATATATTAATATATGTTAACATATATTAACATATATTAATATATATTAACATATATTAATATATATTAATATATGTTAACATATATTAATATATATTAACATATGTTAATATATATTAATATATATTAATATATATTAATATATATTAACATATATTAACATATATTAATATATATATATATATATTAACATTTTCGGGGTATGATGGGTAAACAGCGAAGAAGATGAGTCGTCTGGCTGGGTCCAACGAAGATCCAATCTCTGACCAGCGCTGCTAAAGATAGATGGACCATTGGAAAGACCCAAGGTGGTTTCATGGAATGGTGCCACCAAATCATCTATGTTAATGGGATTTTCCATTATACACCATCCATTTGGAGGTACCCCGGTACCCCCATTTATGGAAAGCCCATATATCTATAGTTAATGGAATCTGAATGGGATATGGGATGATTATGGGTTATAAACCAACCATTTTGGATACTCCCATTTTAGGAAACCTCCTCTTGAATTCTGATCAATGTTGCAGTGGCGGATATTACCTCTGATACACACCCTGTCACTTAAAAAAAAAACATCTTTGGCAATTGGGAATTCGCAACCACTGGAAAATCTCTGTATGAGCTATGGGTGGGCATCCCACAACGGATAGCCATAGTCCAGGCATGGGATAAGCGCACTTTAAATCTTCATCCCTGCAGGAGACTGCCGTCAAAACGGGGGGATTCAACTGGTCGCTGGGGGTTTGGCCCCAAGGTGGCGCTACCTATAAGTTGATTGATGTTCCACCCATCTAATTGTATGTGAACATCCCCTGTTACTAGTAAAAATAGAGGTGAGCACCCTACAATATGGGTTGATAAATATATGTAATATGTAGGCTAAATAATGGCTAAAGATAGCTACATCATGTTACATCTACTTTTTCATCCTCTGTTAGCCTACTGCCTTAAGCCTAACGAACTCGGGGGCTCAACGAACTCCACCTTCACCAGCTGGCAACACTGGGTCAACAAACCCTGTGCCACTAGCCACTTCTGGTCGTAGGGGTGCAATGTGATGCTTCGTCCTCATTTTCCCCATCTTTTCCTTCAAAACTGCCATACATTATGACTGCTTGGTGGTTTTAACCATCTTGAAAAATATGAGTTCGTCAGATTGGATCATCATCCCAAATATCCCCAATCTGGTTGGGGAAAATAAACATTGTTTGAAACCACCAAGCAGTTCTGAGATTTTGGGCTGGTCCATCAGGAAACCTCTGAGACTTTGATGGAAGATGGGCCCGAAGGTCATCGTCTCCAGACTTTTGGGCAACCGAATGCCTCGACTCGCGAGCTGCGATGGCGTCAATGTTGAGCTACGACACACTCAATGTATTCGTGGAACCTGGGAATGATGGGGGATTTCCCCAAGAGGAATACAACTCATATAATAATTAAAATATCATTAACAAATCTGGTTTAATCATTACTATAAGTACCACTTTTGGGGCTGGAACCCAAGTGTTTCCAGCTGTCAGTCTTGGCGATTTCTATCATGGCGAAATCTCGGGATGCATTAATTCTTTCCATTCCTATGCATCTCAGATACACAAACAGGCATGGGATTGGCTGTGATGGACCCAAGACTTGACATTAAGAATCATTAAGACACTAAGATAAAGAATCACCGGATCGAAAGTTTACTGGAATGGATTGGAATGGATTAGTTCAAGGGAAACTTTACAGGATACCAGGCTTTTTGTCATCAAAATACCAGGAATTCCTGTCGAACTTCCCCTGCAACAGCCATCGTGTTTTTCCTCGTCCGACTCTCTGCCGTACTGACTGGGCCACGGAAACCACGACGGCCATCTTACCCTCTAGAGTAAACTCATATAACTAATAAAACTAATATCATATATATATATATATTATAAACATTGATATATGGGATATTTTTAATATCATTAATTAATAATAGAACTATATATATATATTATAGCATTATATAGCATCATTTATAGAAAACAACCCATGGATTCCATTGATAGCTGATTTACCTTAAAAAAAAACATGTTTTTTCCACAGCAACAGAAAAAAAAAACCAGAGGCTCCTGGCATGTCCCCGCTGGAGCTGGACCGAAAATCGTCTACACATTGAGGACCTACTGTGGTTGCGAACTCCTGCACCAGTTGATGGGCAATGTTTCATAGTGACCACTAGTCACCAACTGGTGCAGGAATTCGTCCATCCACAGTAGATCCACCAAAGAAACCTCAAAAAAAACATCTGTGCAATATGGCGATGGATCAAAGCCCCATCAGTAGCCCTCTGTTCACATCAAAATAACTGGAATGTTACTGTCATGTTGCATATATCCAGCTGCATGTTTCATCATCTCGATTTTTTTGGAGAACTATATGTGGCATGATCCATCTCCCAACAGCCCGCAATTTTCATCGTTTTTTTAAATCATAATTCTACGGTATGCCGCATGCCCAATATTTGGACAACATATCATATATGTATTGTTGACTATATGCCCACTATATATTACTATAATTCACTGTATACCCCTGAATTCTCCATTATTTTGCTATGCCCCTGAGGTCCCAATTTGTTGGCTATGATTTCTCTAGTTTCAACCCATCTGAACATATGAACAAATCGACCTATCTGAACCCAACTTGGATTGATCACATTTTCCTTCCGAGGCTCGAGTTACAAAGTCGGCCTGAGACGGGCAGTTTCGCGAGTTTCGGATCAGTCTTGATCAAGGGATCATCGGCCGTGACAGAAGAATTTCCATGAATTTACATCCTGAGTCCACTGAGCTCCCCGGTGATGTTTGTTGGTTAATAAAACCATTACCCTACCCTCCAGTAAATTAACATAGACCCTGCCATTCATCGGGGTTGAAAGATTAGTTTCCTCGAAAAAAATGTGATTTCCAGGGTCCAACTGATAATTTACCAGAGGGTAAGTAGTTCGTGACATCCCGCCAAACCCAAACGTTCAAGGTAGTCACCTTAGCTATCGTAAACGGGGGCCTCACCTTGCTCCAGGTCGTTCGCTTATGGTGACCGCAACTGAAAAACTGTCATGTGGGGTTCGAAACCAACTTATAAGTGGGGAGCACCACCTTGTATGGTAAGCACCCAGAAAGATAGAACAGGTTCAATTTACAAATCTGCATTCACTATGTTAGAATGTGTTAGAATCTGATTTCACTTTTCGGCATCTTCTGGAGGTGCTACATTTGTATTCAGATTTACTTGCCATGTGTCGCTTATCTTTGTTGACGCCACATAAACAAACGCTTGTCAATTGCAGCAAAGTAAGGTGGTAAAACAAAAGGCAGCGCAGCAAATTGTCAGGATTGTCAAATGAGATGGAATGAAATTCGCCAAAAGCTAAAAGTGACTCAGTGACAGTTTGGGCAAACGGCAAAGTCTTGATTGCACTCTTCGCTCTCAGGCCTCCTTTCAAAAGAGACTATGTTGATGATGGTTGAATCTATTTTCGTACATAGCTTTGGGCACTTGATTTTGATGCAAACATATTTATATAAAAGTAATACTGGCCAAAACCCTGCTGTTCACGCCAGTACAGGTGGTAAATGAACGTCCCCCCCAGATCAACGAATATATAGCTCCATAGAATCCCATAAGTGGCATGACCCACCCCAAAGGAATACACCTATCCACAGCTCTTAACCTACCCTGGGTTTACAAAATCAAAGTATACCATAGGTATAGTCTTGGCCCATCCCAAACTAAGGCAAAACATGGACCCACATCAAAATAATTGTCTTCCCCACTATGGCTGAAAACTAGCCACCTCTCCCCCCAAAAATTTATCTCTCTTGCACCGAGGTTTCCTAAGTCAAAGCCGGAGGGGCCGTGTTTCTGGCGAAGAGCAACGACGTCATGCCCTCCATGTGCTCAATCTCGTCCTTGGGCGCCTCGTCCGGTGGCGGGCCGCGCAGCGTCTTCCAGGCGCTCAAGGCGTCGCCGGGGAGGAAGATGTAGATGAAGCTGGAAGATGCTTCCACTCCTAGGAATTTTGCAGTTTTTTTCAAGATATTTTCTATAATATATATATATATAATTTAAGATGATTTAACATGGTTGAACCAAGATTTGAGGTTTGAGATGGTGAGTGGGGAGCATCAAGAATGGAAGATGGGTCTACTCCTGGGATTTCACACATTTTTTTTAGGGAGGATGGGTGGAACCACTAAGAATTGGCTATTTCAGGCCCATTTTAATTCGAAGAGGTACTGATTCAAGCAACAAAGAATGGAGGTTTAACACGGTTTATTGGGGAGCATCAAGGATGGAAGATCTTTTTTACTATGTTCTACTCCTGGGCGACGCATATCAGAAGAATTGGGATGAAAAACCAAAAAGTGGGGGGTTTTGCCCGGGTTTAGCCATGTATATATATATATACACAATGGGTTATAATATATATATATATGTATGGTCAACCATTTCCGATCTGGTTTTGCACCTGAAAGTGGTGGATTGACCCCCAAGTTGTAACTTGGGAAAATGACGACAACATCATTACCATTATATAACACAAGTGAATAGAATGGCGTACCCTATTTTCAGACAAACCCAGACATATCACTCCATAGAGCAGCCACCAACAAAGACATATACCGATACACAAATAGGGCGACAGTGGGTTTGAGGTTCACAATTCTGGGGAAATTTCCTTGAAATTCGGGTTTTGAACCTCATCTTCCTCGTTAAAACTCTTAGTTTAGGGTATATATACACACACTATTTTGGGACAACCCCAAATCACCTTAGATATCCTAAGATACTAAGCCGGAAATGTAAATTAGATATCATAGGGCTTTAACAACCAAATATAATATGCTAAGAACTCAACAATACAATGAAATTGCGATGGATATATATATATATATAGAAATATAGAATACATATAAGAAACTATATATATATAAATAAAGGATACTCCTACTTGTCATCCCTAGAGAATCGAAGACGAGATTGGGATATAACCAACCACAAAGAGGACATGAATCAAGAGTCAAATAGCTCACCTTGAGATATTGAACTACAGTATCGGCAAAAGCATTAGCAATTATTGCTAGCTGGAACAGATCTGGCACCCTGTTTATAGCCAAAAATTAGCTATTGGGACACCCAACTACGACTTATCCAGCCATATTTATCATACAGTGCAGATATCTGTGGCTGAATCCAGAAAATCTGCATCAAACGCAGTTGGCCAGAGCCAATCCAGTTGGTGCTAATCATTGCTAGTCAATTTGCTTTTCCATGGGTCTCCAACATGATCACGCCATGTTTGGTTCACCAGCCGTCCTTGTTCCTGCAACGTCACGTGGGGCTCCAGCGCTCGGTCCCCGTGCAGAATCCGCAGCTCGCCGCCGCGCGGCTTCGCCGCGCCCAGCGTCCGCCGCAGCGCGCGCTGAACGTCGAGGCCGGTGGCGTCCAGCGGCACAACGAGGTGGACGGGCTGACCGTCCAAACCAGTGAGGTGCCTGGGGAGATGGGGATTTCACATGGTCTCACCATTGGGGATAGGGTACCCAGGTGATACCATGGTGATAATCTGGTTAAAACATGTTAAATCTAACAATATGTTGATTAAAGTAACATCTCTATCCCCAAAGTAAGCCAACCCTGAATTCGTGTTTTGTTACTATGTGGGTGTTGAAGGGTCTGACATGTTGACTTGTATCATTTCAATTAATTTCAGAACCCTGATTATCATTGTCTATGTACTATATCTATATGTGTTCTATAATCATACATATATTTATATATTATATATATATGGCTACGGGACACAATGGGGATACCACTGAATGGATCCACAAAAAATCGTCATGTTGAGTAGGAAAGCATCTAATATGGAGGTTTCCTTAAATGGAAGTACCCCATTTTCATCATCCAGTCATTAGACATCATTAGACCATTTAGTATGAAAACACATGGTGACTTGGGGATCACCCATTTTAGGAAACCTCCATATTTGGAAACTGATAATTTTGACCCATCTGATCCGATATTCATATGACGAGGGCGGTCGGACATGGTCGGACTAAGCACGATATCGGCACTATTGGGCAGCAGGAATATCAATGGCTTAGGTTTAACATATGGGGATGCAATGGTACATGCATAAATCAATTAATCAATAATATATATTAATCACGTATATGTATGTATAACATTGTATAACTATATCCAGCAACTGAAGCACGGTCCGCATGGAGGGCAACCCACGGTCCATGACTCGATCTCTGCATCGTGGCATGCCATCTCTGAGAGCATTTCCTGAAAATTTGGGGCAGAGCGAATCAACATGGCTGCTTCCATTTCCCAGCAACATATATGGGTGTGTCTGAAAATAGTGTACCCCTAAACCCAATGGTTAATGATCATTATCCCTATTAAATGGCTATAATTGGGAATATACCCTATTTTCAGACAAACCCATATAACAACAAGGAGTTTTTGGGACGTTTCTGGGCCAGATTTGGGGTATCCAAATCTGGAAAACCAGCCCTGTGGACTCACATCATCCAATAGCCGCGTGATGCCACGTGGCACGTCCATCGTTTCAGCCTCTTGACCCATTGCGGCTGGCTACATCTTGGGGTCGAGGCGGGGGGCGTAGCTTTGAGCTGAAAGACCTACGACCTGCCGGTCTACCTTCTAGGTGGCATGGTTGGCTCAAAATGCTACCCTCTATGACTGACATGGCTATGGAAGCCATGACCCATTTTATAGATGATCGATGAGAAATGCCTTGGTCGTGGCCACCACTATGATACTACAAGGTCGGGCCAATCCGGCCCCATTCTCAATCCCTCCTTCATCTAGATGTGCAGCTTGTTCAAGGATGCATGAACATAAAGATGTATGCATATATATGTTTTTTCAAACAATACCAATACTAACTAATGTACATGGATAATATATTTGTATGTGAATCTATATGAATATGCATATACACACACACGACATACATGCCATTCTTGTTTGCGAAGAAGTCCATAGATCATCGCCACGGTGCCAGCTGTTTGCTGAGTTTCCGAACTTTGGCTCTGGCCAAAAGAAACGCTTCAGAGGCCTTGGAAAAGTGGTTTTACCTCATGTGCACACGCACAGAACGATCAGATATTATATATCAGAATATGATATATATAATTATATATTATAACCATCAGGCAAGCAGTCAGCTCACGCCCGAGTTCCGGTCCGAGTGGACAACTATTTATAACCACCTGGATACCAACATATAACTTAACAATCTGAATCGCACGATAATGGTGCTCTTGGTTTGCTTCCTGGAGATCCGTATCTTTATCTCACAGTCTCACAGTTGACTTTCTCAAAAAAGGTGCCCCACGTCATTCACAGTAAATCGAGAAAATTTAGGGTAACTTGTGAGAACATAATACATAAATTTCAACGTCGGTGTGTTGCTGTTGAATTCATCTTCTGCGGGCGACAAACGGTGCATGTGTCGTCAATGTAGTTCGATAGCTAACGGCATGTTAATATCATATAATACCATACCTGAAGATAATAATGAATGTAGTTGATGTATAGATACATTAGTGATGATTGACCCAGTGAATGTGGGTTATCAAATTGAGTATTTCATGATTATCACATTACCACAGCTCATAAATGCTAATAACGAATTGTGAATATAGCTAATGTGAAGAATATATGATCCCAATTCGTAGCTGGCTGTGACTGATATCCATGGCAACGATCCATGTAATAAGTCATAATCATGGCGATTCGAAGGCTGATACACCCTGAAGTGTGGAATTCGGAGTCAAATCAAATCAATTAAAATCAATTAAAATCAAATCAAATCAAATCAAATCAAACAAATCATCATCATCATCATCATCATCATCATCGTCATCGTCGTCATCGTCACTGTCACCGTCATTGTCACCATCACCATCACCATCAACATCACCATCACCATCACCATCACCATCATCATCATCATCAGCATCAGCATCAGCATCATCACCATCACCATCACCATCACCATCACCACCATCACCATCACCATCACCATCACCATCACCATCATCATCATCATCATCATCCTCATCCTCCGCATCGTCATCGTCATCGTCATCGTCACCATCACCATCACGATCACCCTCCGCATCGTCATCATCATCATCATCATCATCAGCATCAGCATCAGCATCAGCATCATCACCATCACCATCACCATCACCATCACCACCATCACCATCACCATCACCATCACCATGAGCATCATCATCATCATCATCATCATCATCCTCATCCTCCGCATCGTCATCGTCATCGTCATCGTCACCATCACCATCACCATCACGATCACCCTCCGCATCGTCATCATCATCATCATCATCACCATCACCATGAGCATCATCATCATCATCATCACCATCATCACCATCATCAACATCACCATCACCACCATCACCACCATCACCACCATCATCACCATCATCATCATCATCCTCCGCATCGTCATCGTCATCGTCACCATCACGATCATCCTCCGCATCGTCATCATCATCATCATCAGCATCATCATCATCACCATCACCATCACCATGAGCATCATCATCATCATCATCATCATCATCATCATCATCATCATCATGATCATCATCATCATCATCACCATCACCATCACCATCACCATCACCATGAGCATCATCATCATCATCATCATCATCATCAGCATCATCAGCATCATCATCATCATAATCAGCATCATCAGCATCATCAGCATCATCAGCATCATCAGCATCATCAGCATCATCAGCATCATCAGCATCATCATCAGCATCAGCAGCATCATCATCATCATCATCATCATGCTTGCGATGCTTGGGATGCTTGTGATGATCACCACCATAACCGTCAGGGTCACGAAAACAGATGACCCCTGGGTCCTCTCTTCTCGGCTTCCCACAGTAGATTTTCCTGATGCAGAACTTCATGCGGATTTCACTCTGAAGTTCTAGAGATTTTACCCAATTTTATGGCAATTGGGAATGTGTGCTGATTCAATCTGATTCCTGGATCTGATGTTTGTGGCCTGGCCACATTGGACAACATCCAGACATGCCTTGTGCCATCTACACATGAGAAAAACCTTCACTGGAATTGGGGGTACCTCATGAGCAAAGCCACGGAAACGCGCAACATGACCTGGCTGACCTGGCTGTGACCTCGCAAAACAATTCCACCAAAGCACAGTTGGACAAGGTGTGAACTCCACATCCCATTCAACCACAATCTTCGTGCAAATTCGGATATCACGAAACAAACGCATCAACCATTCTATGGATCCAATATCAATCACCTCAGTGAAGATTTTGCTTACTAATTTCCCACTTTTAGAGTTGATCATTGGGATGAAAACAGGATTTCCCATGGGATTTTCCCATCGAATTTCGTCCTCGTTCACTCGAGATTTTCCACTGATCGCTTGGGCGAAGCCTGTGCTCCTCAACAACATGGCGACTTCAATGGCGCTACTTTTTTAATGGTGACCATTCAATGATCAAAAACTCCAGATAGGAATCGGAAACCTCCAACAATGGGGGTTCAATGTTTTTACAAACAATTTGGATACACAAATCTGATGGTTCATCGTCATTGCTATATGGCGTTCACCACTGGCACCCAAAGAAGGCTGCAATGACAGGCCAAGTCAACTCCTAGTTGCCTCTAACTTATTTAGACATAGTTGTGTATTATTGTACATTAACATATCATATAAATATGATGCATATGATCATATGACACATATCGTTCAGTAAACAAACATATGTAAGGAAAAATGATCATTTTTATAGATGATTTGCCTACTACAAAATGATGTAATATGGTCATTTAGTTCGATGATCTGCCTACTAAAGAATGGTGATTTCCAATGAAATCTTGATCGTCCAAGTCACTTGTCCGTAGCCACGCCTGCCTGGTGCCGTGGGAGCGCCAGCTGAATATCTTTCTGCGTCCCCCAAAAAGATACTGGTGATATACACCATCTAAAATAGTTTGTATTAGTATTAGTAGTGGATCTCTTTCCAGTTTTTTGATCTATTTAGAAAATATCTACTGAAATCTATTTCTGAAATAATCAGTGGTGTATTATGGTGAATTGAACCCTTTCCATCTTCGATTCAAGATGGAAAGGGCACACCGTTACATATACCGGGATATAACCAAATGTATACGAACCATCATGAAATTGAACCATGTGCAAATCATTGGCAAATTCTTGGACTTCTATTTTTCCAATATATATATATATAGATATTCTGCCAGTTCATTGGATTCACATATTGGATTCATTCAAAACCCCAAATTATTGGATTACAAATGATTTTCCCATGAAGACCTCCATTTTAGTGCGGGGAATTCTCATCTGGCCATGTCTGACGACACCAACTGCTATTTAAACCCCGGCCTATCCGGCCAGTTCTACATATTTCCACTGTGTAGCGGCCCATCTCCACGTCGATAACAACGGCTAAGCGCCTGTTGAAGCTTCCGTTTCTTCGCTTGATGCAGCTGTCCCAGTTGCGCCTCAACTTTTTTTTGTGGCTAGAATCGCCTAGGAAAATGTAGGGCAAATCGGATTTCGACATATGTCATACAATACATTTATACAACCTACATCATATATATATAATAATTGTATGTACATATACGTACATATAGGTTTGTTCAATATGTACATAAGGATGTATGTATATATATATATCGCGTAGGTAGACCACAACTGCCTTAGATCTTGGTATTGCGCTGATCAAGAGCTTCCTCATTCCTGTGAAATACCTCCATGGGTACGGGTCAAAGCTACATGGTATTCTATTCCTACATTTCCCTTGGAAACTGAGCTTTACCAATCTAGAATCTAACAGAAACACTGTTGGGATGCGAAACAAATGTTATTGGGATTTGTTTTATTGGTTATTTCTATATTACTAATAATGGATATTGGGGATTGCTAATTACTAATAATGGATATTACTTATAATAAATCCCCAATATTTTTATTGGTTATTTCTATACTACTATTACCATCTGGTTATTTAACATAGCCATGGAAAATCACCATTTTCTAGCTGGGAAAATCCACTATTTCGACTGGGCCATTTTCAATAGCTTTTTGTTAGTTTACCAGAGGTAAGTGAAATCATCATTAATCACCATCATTAACCACCATTAACTATTATTAATCACCATTAATTACCAGAGGGTACTACTTATATTACGATATAATAGAAAATCGCCCAGCCGCGGCGGATTTTCCCCTTTGTTGAAACACCTTTCGATATGGGCGAAATCTCCACGGAAACATCGAAATGGAATGCGCTGGCAAAAGAACCAATCGATATGGGATACACACATAAACAAACACACAATATATATATATATGTATACATAGAAATCATATCACACATATATTATATAGAAAAATGAATACATATATATATATATTATTAATATAACTATGTATATATATATATGATATGTATATGTATATCAAAAATTGTATGTGTATATATATATATACACGTATTAACAGTCAT